ACAAAAAAAAAAAAAAAAAAAAAAAAAAAGAAAGAAGGGAAAGAAACGTTATTAATGAACGAATTAACGCGTGTTCGTGTTGTGTATTCGGTCGGCGTTTCTTACCAAGTATCGTTAGCAGTCGTCACGGTTGCTGGAACAGCAAGGTCTTCGCATTCTGGCGAGGTAACGAAAGATTCGCTTCTGGAACGAACTGTCGGAGTGATCGAACGTTCAGTCGCGGTCACGTAGTCCTCTATGTTCGAATCTTCGGCTAGACTATCGTCGAATGACTTCTCGATTACGTCCTACGATCGTGATATAAATATCACAAAATGCATTCGATGATACGTCGAATATAAACGTTACTTAATGTAGAGACATAGAAACAACGATCGAAAATGAAAGATCCAACTATTAGATCATACTAGATAGTATCGCGTGTACTAATTCTTCTAAATTTAACTCAACTCATTAAGAATATTATACGTTAGTCAATTCTGTCTTTTGATATTCTGATATTATCAAATATTTTCTCCATTGTTTATTTCTTTGATCCAACTCTTGTAACTTTACGATGTTTGGAGATATTAAAATGTTTACTATGGTCAAGAACTTACTTTTCAAATTGGAGATATGCTTTCAGCAACTTTCAAATTTTAATATATTTCTTATACTCCACAATGTAACAACGTTATAGTAATTTTCATGTACTTGTATATTTTTACGCACAATGCATAAAAATATCCAAAGTATAGTGTACATCATTTAGATCTCTTCCTTTTTCAATGATATTATTTCACTGCTTAATCTTACAATTAGTGGATCTTACAAATATGTAAGACGCTATCATGTTCTTCTCACCTCTGCGACTTCTTCTTTCGTCCTCGCATCGTCCGTTCGATCCAAATTCGCATTCTTACTTTCCTCCTCTCTTCGATTTTCTTCCTCCACAATTTTTTCCTCTATCTTGTTACTCTCCGCCGCAGTGGAACTAGTCTTGCCATTAACAGTACCAGTGGGAACCGTTCCATTCGCAGATTGTGGCGTCGATGTCACCAAATTGGACATCTTCTCCTTCGACGAGGCAATTTCGTTATTCGACGCGGAGGATAAGATCGTGGACACGCATTTCGGTTGGAGTTGCACCGTAGACACCGACGAACTGATGAGAGGTGTGGTGATCCCAATGGACGAGGTAGAAATCGTTTGAATTTGGCTGGGAACGGGGGTGGACGTTGTGATCGGTAGGTTCGACGACGAGAACAGCGACGAAGTGGAGGACATCGCGGACGACGACATCGGAACTGGTCGAGTCCTGGCACCAGCCTCGCAAAGCCTTGCGTCCAGCTTCTCGGCGAGCCGCGTTACTTCCGCCAGCCTCGCCGAGATCGCCTCGATCGCTGTCAGGTTACTGCCTTTGCCCGAGGCATCCTCGGTTTCAGACATTCTGGAAAAATAAATTTCCCTCGTTTTCACTTCGAGCTATTAATAGACTTTCTCTGTCGTCCATCGACTTTATAAAGGATTATGTGTCGATCGTGTAGAGGATTTGATAGGATCTATGATAAGAGTAGAGAAAATATTTACACTGTTGGTGTGTGAAACATTAAGTTGAAAGTCTCGAGTGAAGGTTTTTTAGAAAACTAGAAGTTTGAGAATTTGTTAAATTTTTTATGTGAATCGTAGACGGGCAGAGATAATTATTCTGTAAGTGTAAAAATAATTCTTTCATCATTCTTGATTTCTAGAAAATTAAATTTGAAAGTCTGAACAGTTGACAATTGACAGAAGATTGTTCTATAAAATAGAAATACGTAGAAAATGTAGAATGAAATTTTTGTGCTTAAGATTTTGTTTTTCTTCTTTTTTTTTTTTTTTGTCAATTGGAAATTTAAATAATTTTTTTTCTCTATATTCTTGAAAATGAACCTTTTGTTTTGGCAGTGTATTTTTTTTTTTTATGTATTCTTTACCTTTCTTTTCCCTGTGTTTGGAGAAATACGTGAATGGTGACTTAAGATCTTATCTTAAAAGCAATTAAAGCATTTAAAATTGAGCCATCAAGTTCAGAATATTAATTATAATATTCATCATATTGTATGTAAAAAATATGTTTCCTTTCCTATCAAAATGAAGCATATTTTTGAACAGGAATGTTTAGAATAGACAAGATCATTTAAACTAGCGATTTTACGATCGCGTTCCATTTCAAATTTAGACCGAAATTATCTGTTACAAACTGTTTCTCGGCATCTTCATTAGTGATATCTTTTCTGTTTCATTTTGTAAAATATGAATAACTTATATATATATATATATATATCGCATATTTATCAATTGCTATATAATTACAACTAATGGTATCTACATTTATGAAAGAAATCGAATCATCGTTCGAAATCGAATTCTTTGCTTCGCTTTCTATATTTTACAATGATCGATATACAGAAAATGATAGGTGCATTTCAGCACGTAGTATCAACAGAATTAGCTTCGAGAAAACGTCAGATTTCTAAAGAATTACGTAATCGACAGTGACAGCGCCGCAACGAAGCGTCGAGACGCGGATTGTGGACCAGATGGTAGCTTCAATGTGGGGCGGAGTTCTAATTTCGGTGAACCAAGAGCCGCCGAATCTGCACAGCGTCAATTTTAAGCGGCACTTTCAATCTTAACGCAGCGAAATTTTAATCAATCTAGTTTCAATCTGGTTTCTTTGAGGAATAGAAAAATACCGTTTTCTTTCGTACTAACAAATAATATAGCCCTAAAAGTTTATACTTGTTCCAAAATTGGGGAAATCAAAAAATTTTTAGAGTAATAATCTATTAACAACCATGTTATAAAATATACATATAATTGAAAAATTGGATTATTTGCAATTAATATTGAACGTTAGAAAGAGGAAGAAGACTGCACGAACGATGGAAAAAAAAATAAACAGTCTTCTCTTCGTTGGAAGAAGAAAAATATTGGAATTGAGAAATTAGTGGAGTAAACGTATTAATATTATTTTCATATTCTTTAACTTTATTTTACTCCGTAAGTCTCTATTGAGTTGTCAATTATCCATCCTAAATATGTGGTATATTTTCTTACCACTTATTTCTTCCACTTCTTTTAATCTATGAAGTTGTGACAAACAGGATTTTAAAACATTATATTCCACAGAAATAGATACATAAATTTTTCACCGTTTTATGATATTTAATTTGCATTTCTTATCCAAGTTCATAAACACGCGCTCTAAAAATATCAACTCGAATCTATGTCATACATATTAGCGAATGAATAACCTAAAGAATCGTAAATCATTTAATTCCAACAACAACTCAGAATAACTAAGAATAAGGAATTAAATTAAAAACCTTGCAAGTCGTATTTTACGACACGAGCACGACAAGAGACATCGATAGTCCACGTCTTACGTGGAGTCTTACGGCGAGTCCGAAAATAACGAATGAAAATCTTCGAGTTTCCGACTAATGGAAATCGTTTTTCGATCGTCGATCAGATTTTGAAGTCCGTGGACCGTGGCTAGCGTGTTTTCGCGACAGTGTCTATGCGCACGTGCACGAACTGAAGAGAAACGATACAACCGCGAGTGATAAGAATTTTAAACAAATGGACCAGAGAAGGAAAATAAGGGGCTAGCTGAAAACGATATTCGCTTGTTTTGGCTGGTTGCCAATCGGCTACATTTTCCACACACGAAATTCTCGCCATTTTTACGCGAGCTCTCGAAGAAACTCCACAGTCGCGATTCGCGAACGAATATTCGAAACGGATTCGCTCGCGCGTAACAATTTCTTGGCCCTGACCGTCCTCGTGTGAGTGAAAATAGGACGTTTGTCTCTACGAGCGCAAACGGTGGCGCGCATACGTCAACACTAGACGCAAGCGACCCATATTTATCTACCAACACGTGGCTGAATCTCGACAAACTGCTCATTTACTTTGTCAACTAAACAAAATTGCAGTGATTGAAAACAATAAAAAAAAAAAAAAAAAAAAAATAAGTAGCTAGGATAGTGGAACGAAAAGTTTCTTGATCAATTTCTTCGTTGTGTTACGTGAACAAGACATCTATTTGATCTTTTATGAAACGTGTGAATCAAAAGATATTGACATAAAATATAATGAACGCATTATTTAAAAATTTATTGATATTACGATATTTATAAAATATTCTCTAATGATTGGATAATGATTTATTGATATTACGATATTTATAAAATATTCTCTAATTATTGGAGAATGATTTATTGATATTGTGATATTTATAAAAATATTCTCTAACGAGTGGAGGCCGACAAACCAGAAATTGTAACAATCACAAAAATTTTGAACAGTTGAACTAAGAAAAATGTTAGCTAGTGTCTTCGTTGTATTATGCAAACGAGTGCCACTTAGGATTTCGTGCAATATACAAATCAGAAAAATTATATATTCAGTCAAATGCTGGAAATTTCGCCGATCAAAGAAATGAATTAATGTAAAAATTTCGGGCTCAACTTCTCGTTATACTTATCTTGTTATCTTCAAGTGTTATTTAACTTTCCACGAAAAATTTGTCTACATGATTAGTCTACTATTTCATCGAGGGATTATCATTATCTCACAATGGACTGAATAGGAAAGAACGTTTGGTATGAAAACGGTGCGCGATTAGGAACAGTGGTCGAACGAAAGCAGGGCGCGTTTATCGTATTTCGAAACGATCGGACTTACATGCAGCAATATCAAGATGTAGGTATCCGGTCGACGTGCAGCCATGGACTGACACACCGCCTCCGTTAAAAAGGAGGAGGTGCTCGTCGACGATACCGTGGCTCTCTTCGCCTCTTATATTACTCCGGCAACGGCCAACTCGATCTTTCTCTTCAACACTCGAGTTATCCTGCTCTCACGGTTAGACGACCGAGATACGCGTATTTTATTGCACCGAATCCGAAAGCGCCAGTTAGAATGGCGAGATGAAATCCAAGGACAGATTGAGACGATCGAGAAAGCTTGGAAATTCGATCGGGAGATGTTGCCAGAAGCGTTTGAAATCTCGATAAAAATTGGTTGGTGCGATTATTGACGTTCACTCGCTAATTTACGAGCAGACAGATCTTCTGGTTATTTCAGTTTTCAGTGGTTATTTTCGAAACAATTTCGTTGGAAACTTCGATGAAAATTGATCGGTGATGCTGGTGACGTTCATTCGCTAATTTAGGAACAGACTGTTTTTCCTGGTCATCTTCGAAATTAATTTTATTAGAAACTTCGATAAAAATTAGCTGGATCCATTCCTGACATTCATTCGCTAATTTACGGTGAGATGATTAACTTGAAACAATTGAAGAACTTTCTGAAAAAATGGCTAATTATGACTTTTTTTAATATCAGCCACGTTAAATTTGATGATAACAATGGAATTATTTTTATTTTATAATTTTCGTTTACCTTGTAAATGAAAAGGGGAACAAAGTTTTATTCATCATAATCTATCAGATCCTAGAAAGATCTTCAATTATTCTTTGCTCGAAAAATTAATCGAAAATTCTGATAAAAATTAGTTATTCCTGTTATTCATTCGCTGATTTATTTATTAGCTTTTAAATAAGTAAAATATTAGTAAACTTTGAGTTGCTAGATGTTTGAGTTTCTTTTGAGGATATCTTTCGAGACACGTATGATCACTGTCGTACTTGCCGTTGATGACAGAGAGGTTCCTTCAAGCGTGTTCTCAGGAGACGACCCAGCCTCACCATTCGTCCAACTTCGAGAAGTAGCTTTTCTCGATTATCCAGGATAATTACTATCTCAGCCTTGGCTCGAGCTTCTGCGGCCAAGTCCTCTGGCCTCCAGGAACGACGGAGCGATGCCACAGTCTTGATCAGATCGTACAGTTTCGAACAGTGCTTGAAGAAACAGTGTTATAGAAAGTTATAGAAAATAATTTAGACGATAGTAGTGACGAAAGTGCATTTCTTAATTTTTTAACAACGAGATAATTATGGACGACGTTGCGTAAAATTTATTTTACTTTCTTGGAAATTTTTTTTAGAAATTCTATATAACGCAGCAGTAACACGTGTTTTGAAGTTTGAAGAATTTTTCTGTGAAACTAAAGTAAATTTTTCTTTCCCAATCAAAGATGTTGTCACGTGTACTACTCTTTTTTTTTTTAACGACTCAGTTGATTAAAAGGAATGGAAAATTTTAAACGACTGATCAAATATGAAGTAAAGTGGTATTGGTCACGGTAAATTGTGCAACGGAATGATTAAATGACGGTCACCGTGCGTACATCTTCGACGCTTCTATGGAAAACAGCACACACTCTCAGTCTGGTTAATTGTTCTTGACTAACGGATCGAAGCTGCTTCCAGGCTTGACGTAGCTTCGAGAAGAGAGTTGCGTTGCTTTCCAGAGGTAGCCTGCAGGATAACCTTAGCACTTGAGCACCATTTACCAATTGGCAGCCATAGTCGTATGTCCCCTAGGAATTTAAATACCAAGGTACCATATTTTTACATTTCTAAATTATTCTGGAAATTATCTTATTCTACACTCTTATTCTGAACGTTCTCCTATATAATAATTTAACTGGCAAGATAATATTTATCATATTTAAAAGTGACATTGGAACAAATAGAATAAATAAAGATAAATTGAAATAAGTTTCTAATAGCTATTTAAAATCACAACTTATACAATTATTGAATAATTATTTCATCTTGTACCTTGGCAGTTTCTTGAAACGACTGATGCTCCTCTTTCTGTAACTGTATTTCCATCGCGTTGCATCCGATTTCCATATGATTTTTCAACAAAACATCGTACAAGTCGTTCAACCATTTAACAGCCTAAAAATTCCCACGTGTAATCATGTATGTTATACAGATTGAAAATACTTTATTACACTGACAATGAGACGATATTTCAAAGTTATACAATCACCTGTTTAGCGTCGCTTTCGTAAGTATATATCAAAGCGATCTGTTTCAAAGACAGTTTCTGCAACTCGACACTGTCATTGAAAATATTCTTTCTAGCGTTCGTTGCATCCAAAATATCTCTGACATTCACTATGTCCTCGCCATAGTCAACGTGCACGTCCCGACCTAGCGCGTCCTTCACCGGCATTGACAAAATGTCTGACAATTTTTCACCTTCCTTCACCAACTCGCATTCCAACGTTTCTATAATAAATGTGCGAATGTTTGTTTCAAGCGAAGTAATAGACGAGAGAATAAAAATAGAAAAAGAAAATTATTTACCTAAAATTGCCTGGCTCTGTTCCAATTTCAAAAGATTCGCACCAGCTTGAGAAAAATCGTGAGTTCTGTTGCCCATAACTAATTTGTCGAACACCTCGCTCGTTTTGTCAAAATACTGAAAATAACATAACGCTAAGGTTCGTTTAAAAGTTTATCCCTTTCTGTTTATCATATCGACAAGTACCTGAGAGACTAGCCTAAAAAATCTTTGAGAAGTGATCAACACGTTTCGTCGTCTCTCGAGTCTGTTTGCGAAGCTCCTGCACACAAAATCCATGAAATCTCGTTGAGATTTTAAATCCTGTGATAAACGCGTGCTTGGTAAATTGTCGATCTTGTGAAGCAATTCTGCGTAACGTCCATAAGTTTCCTGAAATTTGTTTTAACACTGTCTCATTCTAAATCTTATCGAATGATTTTCAATTCTTCTAGTTTTCTAGTTTTCTCCCAATTAATAATAACTACTTGAAATTAAATCATTTCACCGTCAAATCGAATCGTTTATTAAATTATTAATTTGGAATTAAATTAGTCGTTTTAAGGAAATAATTAAAGTATAACTATCTAGCTTCTAGGAATCATATTTAGCAGTTTATCATAATTCATTCGAATCACCTTTTATTATTTCCTACTATTATTTATTATTTACTATTTTATTATTTTCTACATCAATGATATCGTTAATTTTGCTCTTTCACCCTGCATTCTAACTCGAGCTCTTCGTGTCGTCTACGAAGTTCCTCCGAAGAGGAAACGTCGAATCCAACTTGGCAACAGGAGTTTAACATGGCATCGGCCGGTCCTAGAATCCAATCTGTAACGCACGACACACCCTTCTCGAGGTCACCGATTATCCTGGCTGTATCCAAGTTTCTTTCCATCTCCGACCACGAGTTCTCGATGTCCACCTAAAAAAATACACAATTCACTGTCTGCAGACGTACAGCAACACATCCTATATCCTTTCTCTTTTATTTCGGAGAATATGTGTTACCTGCTTCAATTCGATGGAATCGATCAGCTCGTAAATCTTTATCGTGCTGTCTAAAGTATCCTTCGTGGATTCTTTGCTCATCGAACTGATCAAGTTTCTGCCTAAAATTGTACAGATACAGATAATTAATGTTCTCTTCTTTTAACATTTCCCTGTATTGTATAATTCGTTTAATCGTCAATTTTAATTTGTTATTATTTAATCTTATTTGAGTAGTGATTCTGACTGGTTCAAGAATTTTTTCTCTATTTCTTTTATCGAAATATTTTAAATTACAGGTGGTATAATTTCAATGATAGTTTGAAAAATATTCCCAAATAAGGAGCTTTGAACATAAATTTAAAGATTCCAAAAATCTTCAGAATGCACGAAACGTGCTTGTATGAAATAAAGCACATATTTAGATTGTATCTCTTTGGTTATATTCGTAAAAAAATACAGAATTGCGTAAACGTTCACGGGCTAGTGATATAACAAAGATAACACCATGGTGCAACCATCTTTTTTTCTTTGCTTTTTCAACGCTTTAGGAAATTCCCTGAACGCATTTTAAAAACGCATCTTCAAGGTGATTCTTGTGCTCTGTCTGTTAGAAGACAGAAAAGAAAAAGGAGAAAGAAAAGAAACGGAAACAAAAGTTACACGAGCGCTGCATTGTCAGTGTTTTTACACCCTCGCGCGTTCCCGCGAGCACGCGACTCTGTCGGCTCGCTTCCAAAGAAACGTTGCTACTCGACATCCGGTTAAGCCGGTTTTTCGATTTTTCCGGGACAATCTGCCCGTATCCGAGTGTCGATCCTCGTGTGCAACCGGTTGCTTGATTTTATCAACGATCAGGAAACAGACATTCGTGCGATCGGTTACGACGACACGAGGAAACGAGCCCGGCTGTGACAGGCACGCAGCGAAAAACTAAAGATTCCTTTGCGTATAGTGACGTATATGACAGTCATCCAGATTCACGATTTACTGAAACGTTCAATTAACGGGGTTATTCATTTTTTAGTAGTAGATTTTTCAATCGTGTGATCGAACAATTTTTTAAACTTGAATAAATTAAGAATCAACCCTCCAGTGCTATAGATCGTCTGAAGAACCGCTTCCATTCTTCATTCAGTTCTATTCTCTCTCCCTACATTATTTTATATTTCATACATTTATATTTGTATTTTATTTATATTTTATATTTCATATTTGAACAATTGTATTTGCTAGTTTTCAATAACTGAATTTAATCAGCATAGATTATGTACCTGATTGTAGAACATGTCGCGCATGAGACGTTAATTCGCTGTTCATCCCCCAATAAGATTCCAAATCATCGTCCGACTCTGACATGCGAAATCCATCCAAAGTTATCAATCTTTGGTGTAGAGTAGTCATTTTTGTAACGAGATTGGCTGCATCTTTAGCGTAGTCTTCCACTTTCTGTCAATTAATTACCAATTAATTACAAAATCAACTCGTTAAAAATGAAAATCAATGGAATTAAATTAAAAAAAGATCTGTCAGTCGTTTTCGTTTAAAAGTGACCACGAATGTTCATTCAACTCTGCAATGCGAAAACTTGTACATTTACAGTATTCAATTATACGAAACCTGCCATTTTAACTCTCTAAAATTTCTTCTCTCCCTTTCTAACTTAATAACTTGATTCAACACAGAATACTGAAATTGAACCGTAATTCTCCATTTAATAAAACTGCACGTTCTAGTAACTTTAGATAATATTATATACTAAATATATAATATTAATATATTATTATGCATTAATAAAAATTGCTCTAACGCTATCCTGCTTCCTATCTATATCTATTTTATAAAGAAAAAAAAAAAAAAAATAAAGACTCGCTAAAAAGATCCCACTTTAGAAAATTACCAATTTACCTTATGACTTAATATTATATTATGTTTGGATTTTCTATATACACGAAGAAAGAAAATGAGGTCTCTCGTAAAGAAGTCTCGCGTAGAAAGTTACGTTTCAATATTAACACTTTTAATATCATCCTGCTTGTAATTTCCGGTAGTTCTAGATTTTCTTATATAAAAGAGACCTAAATGAACCGTCAAGAGGTTCGTAAACCGCAGAAAGTCACGTTTTATCGTTTTCTTCTTTCTTCTCTTTTTCAACTTAAGACGGTGAAACGGTTCGTTTAAGCGTAAATTATAGATGCAGAGACGATTACCACGCGTCTCTGGATCCAGTCGACGTGGTCGTACGGTTTGTTGCCACCCAGCTCGTACGGCAGCTGAGTGAAGTCAACGTGAAACTGCAGCCTCGTCAGGGTGAGGTACGTCGGCTGGAACAACAACAACGAGCAGAGAATTAATTCGCGTCACGCACCGTCGTAGGCCCGCAATTAACTCGTCGTCCCTCGTGGTTTTTCACGCGGAACGATTTTGACAAGTACGCGCGGGGATTTCACACGATAACCGTAACGATAAGCAGAACACATGATTGGAACGAGCGAGTCTCTCGTGGTCAAGTGATAAAACAAGCAAGTAACAGCTCAAACTAGTTTGTCTGGTCTTGGGATAGTTTGAATTGTGTAACCTTCCAGTAAAATCGGGAATTGTACTTCACTTTGCTGTCTGAGAATATATTCTGTCTCAATTTGAACGATTCATGGTAATCGTAATGTTTACTTGTGAATGTTCATGCAAATTTGTATTCTTGTGCGAAGAAATGTAGACGAATACAAATTTGTTTCACTTTTTAAGTGATTTATATATTTCGTTATTATATTTTATTTTGTTAGGCATTTCGGGTATTTTATCATATTTTATCATGCTTACATTTTCAGTCTAACTTTACTATTTTTTTTTATTTTTTACCAAAAACATTCGTGGGACAAGCTACACTTTCTTTTTTTGTTCAAAGATATTTGAACACTTGTTGTTGACAAATTATTCAATTAGAAAATTGCAGACGATTTTATTGTATAGAACATTCTTCACTTTCAGATTGCTTAATTTCTGATTATCGAATTACGTACTTGATTGTGATATATTACTGGCTGGTAATTGAAAATATTACTTTCAGTTCTATTTTCAATTACCAATTGAAGATTTCAGTTCTAATACCATTTCTGGTTATTAATTCAAGTGAAATTGTGATATATTACTGGCTGGTTTCAGTTCTATTTTCAATTACCAATTTGAAGATTTTAGTTCTAATACCATTTCTGATTATTAATTCAAGTGAAATTGAAATCTCGAATTAATTAGATATTTTTGATTTGTCACCAACCTCTCCCTCTTTATGAGACTTGGTACAACTGTCTACTCTCTTGTCCCAGAAGCCGTCTGGGCGCACCACGATTACAGAAGCTGCCGAAGTTCCCAAAAGTATCGTGGACAATCTTATACAAGATCTTGCCACGCGCCACGCCCCTCTTCGTGCATCCACTATCAGGACCAATCCATTTCTCTTTGTCTCCTCGCTAATCATAAAACACACAAATTATTAAATAATTACATTAATTATTTAATAATTATATTAATTATAATATTAGAAAATATAACTTCATAAGACGTTTTTTCATAAATTTCATATTTATTTAAAAATTTATTAAAATAATAAATAATAATTTTATATATATTAAGTATATAAATAAAATTTTTTAAAAAAAATTAATATTATTTTAAAATTTATTTCTATTAAAATTAAATTTATAATAAAACCTAAAATAAATATTTTAATAACAGAATATCTATAAATTTTTAATAAATTAAAATTAAAAATTATGAAATTAAAATTAAAAATAATTTTTCTTAATATTAATATGATTATTATTATAAATATCATACAAAAATTTATTAATTTCGCACGATACGCACGATGCATAGTACGCACGAATTTCATAACTGGACTGTGAATTTTTACGCAAATTTATATTTTCTTCCTTAATATTTTAAACTCGGAAAATTACCTAAAAATCGACAAGAAATAGGCGATCACGGCTTCCAATCTGGGTTTCGTGGTCGGTTGAAGCTCCGAAGGGACATTGACTACTATCAAAGGTCTTCCCTCGCGGTCACAACCTCCTGGAATGTACGCAAGCTTCGATTCGAGAGCTTCTAAAATGTCCACTGCCTCTAGGTTCCTCGTGGGCATGGCTGAATAACAAACTTTACTTTATTGTCCTATTACGACTAAATTAACGAACTTGAAAAATATTTTTATTTGGATCAGTATCAAGACATCTCCTGACTCTGTGTGTTAAACAGTCGATTGAAATTATCAGGGAAATAATTAAAGGGGTAGAAACGTGTTTAAATAGAGTGTTTCAAAACGAGTTTAACATTTGCGAATTCTTTTTCACGAATAGTTACTAAATGAAAAATTTTTTTACACAAATGTGACATTCAACTTTATATTCCAATATTTCTCTAGTCAAATTCTTACAAAGTCGCGAAGAGTGCACAAATAGAAATATAGTGGACAGATTTTTAAAAAATTGTAATTGTTATAAAAATAAATAATTAAATAATGCAACCGCCAAAAGATCGTATTAAAATATAGTTAACACACAGCAGACCTAAACAATCACGTCTTAACCTATTTTATTTTCTGCAAGTGTTCTAATGGATAGGATACGTATGAAGAGAGAGTTTCCAGGCTATTGAGACGATCGATAGAAATGATTCTCTAGTAATTTATGAAAAGTGGAGCGTCGCATAGCGCGTAACCAAGTGTAACGCAAGATGGATTAAACGGGTGAACGATCGGCGGAATTGTGTTACACGCGATCAGGTTCGTCGACTGGTACGAGAAAAAAAGCAGTCTTGTGGTTTGCATACCGCGGTACATTCACCGAGATAGAAACACGAGCGTGGTTTTATCTCGCGCGAAGTTTTGTTGATTAATGGCAGGATAAATAGCGCGTATCCGATTTTGTAAAATTATAATTATTCATAAAATTGAAATTACAACGTGAGAGAGAAAATTCTTAGAGACAATGTTAAGGACTAAAGTTATTTAAATCATTATATGCGATATTTATATATAGTATATAGTTACTTTTCGTTCAGATGTACATTCAATTCAAATTCTTTCGATATTATAGCAAAACTTTTCGTTACCATTTCATAAAATTCAAAGAAATTGAAATATTTAATGTACGACGGTGTGATTAGATCCCGGATTTTTATGCGGGAAAATTCCTATTTTTTGGAATGTAGTAGGAAACCTAGAAAACTGTGTTATTAACTATTATAGAAAGTATTATTTTTTAGATATTTTACAGAATTTTTCATATTATATACACTAGCATATGAAAGTTTCATAAATACATAAAAATCCACATTCTTTTTACGATAAATTATAATTTCTCACTTAATGAGTTACAAACTGACTTAATTCTTACACCTACTCAAAAGTCTTGGAACACTTTTTATTTTTAATATTCAGTGTTTATCGCAGATCATAATATTTTTAAATTGCGCGTATGTTTTGTAATACAATTTTATTTTTAATATTAATTTAATTAATATAGATTCTTTGTCTTGAGATTTTTGAGCGGATTATCTGTCTTAAAAATTCTAAAAACGTTCATTAGAAAAAGAAGATTTAGTAAATCAGTTGAATAGATTTGGGTTGTTAATATGGTATACAAGCTACTAATTTACATGCTGAAATGAATATAGACCATAGTGAAATTTAAACGTTCCAAACACCCTATGTCGCACCTTTCCTCCGAAACTTTGACCAAATTAAAAATTAAATTAAAATATAGTCGAGTTAACAGTTAAAATATTCACGAGAAAAATGTTGAATTAAGTTTGTTTTAAATAAGTTCATTAAGTCAGTGTTTAACGAACTTATGAAGAACAAAATGTACATATGTCACTGATAGCGGTATAATTATTTGCACGAATAAATCCATTAAATAACAGGTTATTGACGTGAAACAATGACGGTTTATCTCGAAGCGACTTTAAAACTGGTCACGAATCACCTTACCGAACCATAATTACAATCTTGAACATTTACACATTAACAACCACGAATTCGAGTCCAGTTGACATATGATATTCACGAGTATAAGATTTTATAATATTTCAATATTATATGTAACGTTTGTAATTAAAATATTCACTGAAATATTCAAAGATTTTAATCACTTCTTTAAATAATTTCTTTCTTTTTACGTCTTGTATAGTCTATTATACGCGAAATAATTACAAATTATATTTTAACTTCGATCAAAATCGGTATCAAAATTCCTTTAAAATCGTGAGATTCGTTTCATTCTTTGGTTTTCTTTGGTTTTCAATTTGTTTTCAGTTGCACTTATACATGTCATGTGTACGAAAAATGTTACAATCACCGCTCCAATTAAAATTTTTATCAACATCCCCTCACGAGGATAATTAAACTTAACACTTAAGGACAACACTTGAACAATAGTAACTCAGATCCTTCCACTTACCTCTTGCGCATCTGTCACACACGTGGCATTTTACAAACGCTCTAAAACTTCACTTCGAATCTTCGTTAAAGTCCCTCTCAATGATTCCCTTCCTTGTCAAAGAATTCGCGTACCTCAAATTCCTCTTCGTTCACTTCGTCTTCGTTATCGCGAGTCTCAAACTTTTCGCGCATCATTCCCAAACCCAACTTCTCAACTCGAACGTCCCAAGCGACACCGTTTACAGTAAACAACATCCGAAATACCTTTCGTTTCTCGAAACGTGTCTTAAAATCGAGGAGAATTCACGCGTAGTCGCGACTATGGACGCGTTAACGGTAAGCACGAGCGAGGAAAGGCGTTGGCAGCTGTTGCGCGAGCCCTCGTGTTCCAGCTGCAGGTGCACGTGGTTGGAAACGGTTGTCCCACGGGCGAGATCCGAGGCGGAAATGCGCGCGCGGCGCGTAGAAGCAAAGAGACACTCAAGAAAAAGGGAACAAAAAAGAAAGAAGGAAAGAAGGAAACTGTCGCGTGCTTTCACGTGCACGCGCATGTAGCCACGTGGCCATGTAAGTAGTGAAGACTGACGGCGATTAGCTAGACGAGAAGAGAAGAAAAGAGAAGAGAAGAGAAGGGATGAGAAGAGAAGAGAAGAGAAGAGAAGAGAAGAGAAGAGAACGGAGCTGCAGCTGCGACGGAGGCTGCAGGGAAACCGAAAGCCACATCTCGCTGCTCCATTCAGGTACAACGGTACTCTGGCACCGATTAACCGTCTTCCCCTTCTCTTTTCTCTTCCTCGTGCTCTTCCGTCTCCTTTTCCCGCGCCTCCGCGACCTCTTTCTCCGCGAGCCTCGTCCCCTTTTGTATCCTGGCGAAAATGCCGGCCACAGCTGGAGAAAAAAATCGCCAAGCGCCTCGCGAATTCTCCGTACCAGCGACGAGAGCGGATTTTAAATCAGCCGGACGCCATCCGGTGACTGTGTTTTCGTACGATGGCCACACTGTGGTGTTTTTTTTTTTTTTTTTTTTTTTTTTTTTCTTGTTTTCTTGATGCGTGTATTTGTAGGAAATTTTAAATTGCAATGTAGACACACGAGATGTAAATTTTTCATTCAAAATTCGGACTTCGATTTCGAGAGTGAATTTGGAAATTTTTTGGTGGATGGATGCGAATATTATAAATGATGTACATAATTGTTTGTTTGAAGGAAAACAGAGTTGGAAATATATAATGTACTGATTGTAGGGAAACAATTTGTCATTTTCACACAAGAAATAGTCAGGAACGACTTCTACAAGAAGAGCCTGCACCCTACGATCAAGTCATGATTTCAAGAGTCATAACAGAACACCCGTCTTCCTCTACAAAGAATCTCCAACCTGTGAACTCTGCAAAATGACAGAGGACCATCTTGGACTGTAGAAGATACACCGAAAAACGCCTAGAGTGCAATATAAAACCCACACTGAAAGACAACATAATAGATAACAGCACAACCAAGAACCTTCTACAATATTTAAAACTGACAAGACTATACAAGAGGCTGTGACTTACCTGAGTCGCTAATAATCCACAAAGTGGTTGATGCGACGTTAAATAACGAAACAAAAAAAAAAAAAAGAAATTTGTCACAGTATTTCTCGTTAATAACGAATTATCTAATTAAACTTGACGACTGATTCGGACGCGTACTTTCTGACACGTTCTACAGAAAGAATGCATCTTGTCTTTCTTCTCAAGTTGGTGCCTCCTCGGTCCAACTCTTATCCCGTTTTTTTTTTTCCTTCCTTGTGTCTTTTGCTGCAGTCCCTAGGGTTATTGAGGGTCCCTTTAACCTGCATTTAACATAAATTTATAGGAGTAGAATGATGAGTAAGGTTCAAATTTGCTTTTTAAGAGTAGATTTAGTTTATGCAGGAGAAAAATTTTCAAAAACCTGCAGCTACTTGTGTGAAGATTCTTGTAGTTGTGTGCTAAGTGTTTATTGTTTGATCATTGCGTGTTTCGGCAGTTTTGTTCTTATTTTTAATGGTAATTTGTCAATTTGGTAATCTCCTATAGCCCTGATTAGAGGGTTTTCATGATTTGGGTGGTATGCTTTGGTCATGGCAGTGCGTATGTATTCTTCTATTGTTGGAATGTTTGCTATTTGGTGTACTGTTTTTACCGGTGTGTCATATGGCTTATCTAGTATTATTCTTAGGAATTTGTTTTGCATTTTTTGAATTTTGTTAATGTGTGTGTTAGTGGTTGTCCAGACTTAATATCTTATCCCGATACCCGAGCTTGGTTTATAAACATCTGAATCAGCCCCTGATCTTTAAAGCCTCGCATGGTCTCTTCTGCCCATATAGGCGAGGGAGTCGTCTCACGCCAAAGGACGAGTGGCATTGTTAACACTCGCTCACATGATGTTTTTTGTTAATTTTCAAACATAAAATGAAGATCATATTTATGTTATGGTGTCATGATTTCTACGCACTCCATCGTGACAGATGTCCCTACGCAGGCAAAGCTATCGTATATCTCTGCCAACACTATGTCTAAATGTATCCTTCAAATATAGCATCTTTATGAATATGATAAAAAAATTTTTAAAGTGACAAGATGTCAATAACTTGTACCGTGATTTTTCCAATGGAACGAACAACTGTTGTAGCAAGTTTTAGTTAGTAAAATATTCAATTCCAATAAAAGACTAGCAAATGCAATAATTTTTTACTGAAAAGATACGTAGTTTGCACCAATGGAAATTTTTGTTAATGTTATTTCTTCGCGAGAGAAATAAAATTATCAAGACCAATTTTTTAGTCAAATTGTCGATGCAAATAACCGTGAGTAGTCGTGCGTTGTTCTTTTTCGTGGATATTCTTACTTTTGTTAAGGATCAATGTTTGAAAAGTTTCTGCTGTTTCCTTTGAAGGTGCCACAATTCAAAGAAGTCGGGTTCTAAAAAAGAGGAGATGGCAAACAATGAAATCACTGGTTTCAGCGAGTGACGTTCAAGTGATGGTATGTTTCTCGTGACGAAGAGTGTTTCTTCGTGATTTATAGGTACGATTGACCTCTTCTGCTGAAGTCACGCTACGAAAATATTTCGACCCGAAGAACAATCGTGAATACCGTCTGATCTATTGTGTTCTTGGTGAAAGAAGAAAACCGTTCAATCATTTATCATTTATTAATAAATATCTTTTTTTTTGCATACTTCTTGCTTTGCGATTTTCTTCTCAGATATAAAAAACATTGTAAACGTATAATTGGCATTTATTTATCTACGGTTTGAAGAATTAAAATCGAAAATTCAAATTCATATTCGATAAGACTACAACTTGCTCTTTCTTTCAAATCGAAACGATAATTTCTACCACAGGTGTAACTCGACACACTCAAAAGATTAATAATGTAGAAATACTCCATAAAATTCATTACTAGTTTTATTTTTCTAAAAATGATGACATTTAGAAGGTGACAAAATTTCTTAATATAGGTTTTTATTAATTAAGAAATAATTAACAACTTGAGAGATTTTTTTAACGATCTCTGGCGAAGGTCATCTTCGTTGACCAGAACATGATACCACACGATCCCACCGCGAAGCATGCAAGATGATCGCGAAGGACGATCGAACCAGGTTCAATACGAAACCTCAAATTCTTTAGGCATTCGTGTGGATTTATACCTAGTTAATATGTCGTGGGATATCGAGATTCCAACATAATCCACACGCACAAAACCTGATCTCACTTCTCTTCACTCAATAAGTATTTTCGATCTTCTCACTGAATAACAATTATAAACGAAATGAAATTAACGAATTCAAAATCAATGAACGTTTTCTCATATAATTTTATTTTTTAAACGTAATTTTTTAAAATTAATTATAAATCAATATTACAGATTTTGAAGTTCTTTGTGGAAGAAGAAAAAAAAAATATTTTTTCACAACAATTCTTCTTGGAAATTTTTTTTAAATTAATTAAACGAATCGGTTCTAAAACTTTTTGCGAAGAGAATAATTAGAGATCAGCGTTTTCGTAAACATTTCCATATATTATTAATTATATTATAATGTATTATATTATTATATTATTATAATATATTATATTATTATATTATTAATTTATTACGTGTCAAAGAATCGAAATGCGAAAGAAATAATCGTAGCCTCACGTTAATTAAAACGTAGAAATGGAAGAGGGAACGGAAAATCTCGTTATACGCGTGCTAGCAACGATTTGTTCCATTATTTCAAGTTGTTTAGCAATTAATGCATAATGCATAAAGCATTTTATTTTCTCGGTGGCACGCGCACGAGCTGGCAAGGTCGGTGACCGGCGTTGACCAAACACCGTGAAAAGCAAGGTGTGCCTTCGTAAATATAAGCGTATGATACATTCCAGTGGGAATACCGGAGGAAACGTGGAACAAAGTCAGCGATCGATTCGTTGCGAATGAATTGAGATCGCGAAAATATCGGAGATTGACGTCACGAACGTGTTCACCTATTTATGTACGTCACCGGAAGTTCACGTTCGCCAACGCTGGTAGGGTTGTTTAAAAAGAGTTGTAAAATTTTCCACAGGAGAAAGAAATAATCAAAAATCAATTTTTATGTATCATTTTGTCGTAACATGCCATGAAATGATTGAAACTGTCAGTAAGAAGAAAATAAAAATTTTCAAATCAAGAAATATCTTCTTTCTGGAGGAATGATCTGACTGAGAACTACAATTAATATATATTAATGTTTATAAACGACGTTCGTAAATAAATTGATGCGAAGGAAATTTCCAGAGTAAATTTTTCCTGTAAAAATTAATATATAATATAATTATATGCTTTATAATAAATTCGATATAATTTTTAAAATGGAACCACACAGTGTTACATACAATCAGATCCTCGGTAATTGTAGAAAAATTATGACAATAGTTATAGTTGTCTTCAAAACTGTCTTGGGAAATATTGTTGTATCAGAATGCTGGAATTTGAATATATGTTCAATTAGTATGTCTAACTGAATATATTTATAAAAGATTAGATTTAAATTATTGGAATCGATTTGAAATTTATTTGTTGTAATGCGATTACATTGTATAATACGTCCTTTTAAACAAACATTACGAGGAACATCATCGTAAATTATAATTTTTCTAATTTCAACTAGCTTCGAAATCTTATATCACATCATATTATTTTAAAATTATATCAGTTGTATGAATTGAATTAAGATCCACAAAATGTTCCTTCATTCCCTGTTTTTAAATATTTAACACGGATTTGATAAATACGCGATATCAATTAACAATATATCGAGTATATTTCTACAAGAAAATGCCACACCGTTGGTCATTTCGAGCACGTTTGATAATTCCACCAATTAACTCCCGCGTTGCCAGGAGGTGTCAGCAACGTCCGGGCGAAACTCTTCATTGTCAGTTACATAACACGACGACAATCGAAACGACCAACTTCAATCATCCGCTAGCTGCAAAGTCAACGACGTTCCGCTCTCTTCGTGGATTTCGAGGGATTTCGTCGGTGAAGAAAGAGGACCGGCCGCAGTGGGACAAAGATAGCCTGAAGAGGAAGCCCGAAGAGGCTGGCGTCGCCACGGTCGTCGGCCACGAAGAGGTCCGGCAGTGCTGCATCGAGCCTCGCGCTATATCGAGCCGGACACGTTCTTTCTCTCTCTTTCTCTGCCTCTCTCTCTCTCTCTCTCTCTCGGTTCAGCCATCGTACGGAAGACAGTTCGGGGAGACACCTCGAGGGCTTTCCCCACTTTCCTCGACCGATCACCGCGGAAATCACTCCGGCGGATCGATGAGGATCTTTCGGCGCTCGATGGTCCGAGAACCGTCGAAAAGCTGGCCAGGAACGGAGTGATCGTCGAGCCAGGCTCGACGTGGAAGTGGAAGAGGAGGAACGTGGATCATGGGCAACGCCACCACGAAGAGCCACTACTCGAAGAGTCATCCTGCCTCTGCCACCAGGAGGCCACGCTGGGAGGGATCAGGTAGACACGCACAGTTGCTTCTGAATGTGTTTGAACCGAATGTTGCTTGAAACCGTGACGTCTGACGCTTTGGTGGAAACGATCCCTCGAGGGACGAGAAACAATTCGCCATCTTGACCGAGAGACGATACATGAAACTCTCGATAGATTCAGATCTGCACACAGATATTAATTCGTACACGACGAATTTTATCCTCGATTTCCCTTAGCCGAGGATTCTTTTTCTCCGATCTGATTTTGCATCTCTCTGGTATTGAATTTTTTGGTTCAGAGAAGATTCGAAGGAGCGTGAGATGCGCGCGGCCGTGGGGCGCGTCTGGTGACACAGAGTTTCCGGTAACGACGTCGCGAGAATGACGATGCTCGCCTGTGTTTCGACTTGTGTCTCACGATTGGCTTGCCTCGATAGTGGGATGACGGCTATAATTAGACTGCTTTTGCCGACAGATCTGTCAAACCCGTGGCAGAACGTTTGAGTGATCGGTAATGGACGAGGAACTGGGGTAATCGGCAAAGTTCATTGGGTCAGTGTGATTTTCTGGATCACACTTGTTACACGGCGTGAAATTGCTGATCGATAGTGGATGAGATTTCGGAATAACATTGATGAAATTCTCCGTGACAGTCAATGAGAAACTATCCAGTATCTCTGTCAGTGGGAGTTTCTATGGAGATTTATCCGAGGATCGTGTATTTATTTACTATCAAATCAACCGGTTGTCCAAAATTAACTCGCATGCGTTGGCGTTTATTTTAATAGTCGAACGATGGGTCGGCTGAACGATTGGCGGGGAGCGCGCTAGCACCAAGTGAAAATACAATATATCCAACGAGAAATAGTTTTGCATCTCATTTATATTCGTATTTAATTAATGAATTAATCTCTTCTTTTATTAATATTTCGCTAATTAACTTCTTATAATACATGTACTCATGTGCAAGTTTTTCCTAGTTTGAATATAATTCTAAAAGATATTAATACTAGATATTAATATGAATAAATGGGAAATCATTTTTACGAATAACTGAACTTAATATTTAAAGATTAATTTTAAAAAAAGTAATTGTATCTTTATATATTTAATTTTATGATGAACAAGAAATATACATTCTCTTCAAAAAATTTGGAACAATTTAACTTTACTGTCCGAATTTACATTATAATGTATTGATTAAATGTTACAAATATCATAATCTTCATTCTTTGGTGCAGAATTTAAAAATTTCGCAGCTTTTGCCTATCCTTCGAAGGTTGGAAGAAATCATTCTTCTCCGAGAGTTATAGTCTCAACCTCTGATTTCAACAATGTTGCTAATAATCTATGAGAATGACTGTCACGTTTGTAAATAATTAATTGAAAAGTTTTACAATATCGTGTAATTCGATTGTCTTTTTTCTTCCTTGAAACATATGTACGTTCGATGACAATCGATTGGCACTACGTTTAAATAGACTTCAATCAATTTGCACGTTGTGACAAAGTGTCGAAGACGAGCTCAAGCCGATGCGATGTCCGACATCAGAGTTTCGCATAGTTTTTATCTGAGGACAGCGAAGCAGCAGCCCTAAGGTTGCTGAACAGTTTCAAATTTTATTTTGGGATCGCCACCTGCGAATCTCTGTATTAGAGAACGTGTGCTAACACATACACGAGCACCATCATTCTGGCACGTGCGAGCTTTCTCTGAACCTATTAATCAAAAAAAAAAAAAAGATCCCTCGAAACGATCGCCATTATCCAAACCAACGACACTATTTTTCACTCAGTCCGATGTAAATAGAAATATCGAAAATCAGGACTGAAAATCAAATTCACATGCAAGATAACTAGTAGAAACAAACGCTTAAAAAAGAACGTCTCGTAAAATTCCGTGTGATCTTCTTCACGTTCGAATCTTTATTTCCGAGGAATAACGTAGAAATAAATGGACGGAGATTCGAGGATATCGATAAAAATGAAACTCCAATCGATCGTTCCATCGTTAAAAATTCGAAAGAACGGAACACGCGGAGTAAGAGAAGCAAAGAATTATTTGTTGTTCTTTTTCGAACTCGTTAGGACTCCCGGCGCCGCCAGGGAAGCCGATTTTAATACCAGGAGCCGACGAATCGCAGCCGGATGTGGTCGCTATCCGTTGGGAGAGGTCACCGAGTAACGGTGGCTCGGCCATCGTCGGCTACCTGGTCGAACATCGAAGGCTCGGTTCGCAGCATTGGGTGCGCAGCACGCCGGGGCTTTGCACCTTTCCGGAACTGACCTTGAGCGGCCTCGAGCCAGGATGGCGCTATCAATTCAGGATCAGGGCACAGAACGCGGTTGGCTTCTCCCGACCCAGCGAGATCTCGGATCCCTTGACAGTGACCTTGCAGAGGTCCGCTTCATCCGCGCCTTACTTCGACCTCGAAGTCAAGGACACCACGGTGCTGGAGAACGAACAGGTGACTTTACGATCTTGTTGTGATTTATCAATCGAAGCTAGAGAATCGTGAGAAGAAAAATTTTTATTCTTGGTGAAAAAAAAAAGAAAAGGAAAAAATGCAAATGTATATGCCTTGTACTTTATATTCCTTGTACTTTGTTGGTTTCACCGTGGAAAAAGTATAGAAAAAAAATATACTTCTTAATTTTGGTTCGGAGACATTTACATCGTAATTTTGTTGGAGTTGCATTTTTCGGTGCGCAAAGAGATAACACTGATTTTTATTGAAGTAGAAAGGTGATTGTATAGTCTTCGCAGGCATGTTTGGCTAGACCATACTCGAATTCCTATTTTTCCCCTCCAATTCCTATTTTTATTGAACAGAATTTTTCACGTTTTAATTGAAGAATGATCGTATGATACAGCAGAGTTTACAAGTATCGTAGAATTCTTTCGGATTTTTTGGCACCTTGGATCAATGAGAAAATTAGTAAAGCGTGTCTGGTCTATAAAGGGACAAATCTACTTACTCGCAGTACACCGTGCAGTTCTAGCGTTTGCGTTACTTTTCTAATTTACGAGAATAATTTTAAGAGAAAATTGAAAGTATATTCACTTAACTGATTAATTGATCAATTAATTTAACATTTAATTTTTCTGATAAATAATTCGTTACAGTAACAATCGTATTAGTTCCTGTACACTTTTCCCTCGAACTTCTAGGCTGAATTTGTGGTACGATTTGGCGGATCGCCGCTGCCAAAAATCTCATGGTTCAAAGATGGCTTCGAAATATTCAGTAGCAGACGAACGAGGATCATTACGGAAAGTGGCAGGAGCGTTCTCCTGATACATCAAACCGCACTCAACGACGAAGGGGAAATAAAATGCACCGCCACTAACAGAGCTGGTCACGCTAGCACCAAAGCCAGATTAATTCTAGAAGGTCTATAATCAAGTTCAACCCTTTCCTTTGTTCGAAGTTAACATAATTAACTCTGTCTAATATAATTTATAATCTAATATAATTGTATTGTATTAACTCTGTTAATATAATTTATAATCTAATATAATTGTATTGTATTAACTCTGCTAATATAATTAATATAATATAATTAATGTAAAATAAAATTTTCGACTAGCTCCTCCAAAGATACGACTGCCACGTCAGTACGAAGATGGTCTCCTCTTTGAACAAGATGAGACCATTAGATTGAAAGTGTCGTTAGCCGGAAGACCTCCACCTTCGGTAATTTGGTACCACGACGGCGAAGTGGTTTCAAACGACGATAGACACATTTTCGAAACAATGGACGGCGAATCTATTTTGAAAATCCCCGATGCTAAACGTGTCGACAGAGGAGAGTATACTGTTAAGGCGATAAATAAGCTTGGAGAGGATACGTCGTCGTTTCTGGTGACCGTGACAGGTTATTATTAAACAAGTGAAAATTAGAATCACGAAACACTTGTATTATATTTCTTGTAGATAAGATTCATTTATTTTCGCAGAAATTTTCGCGCTGTATTACTGATAAAAAAATATATTTCCTTCTATCTAATTTTTAGATCGACCAGCAGCACCTGGAAAAGCAACAGTCACAATGACGTTAGGCAGATCGGTGACATTGTCTTGGGAGGAACCGCGAGACGATGGTGGTTGCAAAATTGGCACATACATTGTCGAGTATTATAGAGTTAGTGATAAATATTAATATTTCACTTGTATTTTCAACTTCATTAAACTGGGTTAAAATGTGTTCATTGTTTTTCTTTTTTAGGTTGGTTGGGACGTGTGGTTAAAGGCAACGACGAGTAGACAGACGAAAGCAACGCTGTCCGAGTTGATCGAAGGGTCGGAATATAAATTTCGAGTGAAAGCTGAGAATCCGTACGGTGTGAGCGAGCCAAGCGAGGAGAGCGACGTAATCTTCATTCCAGATATAAAAAGGGGGTATGTTGATTCCATAATTAAAGGATTGAATAAAATAAAGACAGAGTTATTTGATGATTCACTATCCAAATTTTTATGAAAAACGAGCAACTATTTTCTATCATAAAGAAATCAGATCTTTATAAATTTTTAGCAATTAGTCATTGAATAAATCTTATATTTTATATTTTAATGCAGAATTAAACAACAGTCGCGAAATAAATCTATATTTGTAATATATTTGTATTTTAGAGTTTATTTCTTGTATTTCGCAGTTTCTAGTTTCAATATGAGTAACATAATTTCTTCGATTGTTCAGGATAATGGCGCCCTCGTTGAGCGGAAAGTCGCAGAGTCACAGAGAAATCAGATCGCGAGAGAAACGTGAGGTCAGTTTCGCAGTGCCTACTCAAAGAACGAGGAGCTTGACTAGAGAGGAGGCTCGAAGTCGGGACAAAGATGACGACGTACATTTCGCACCAGCTAGTCGATCGGTATCAGCTCAGAGGCTTACGGGAAGGCCATCTAGAGTCGACAGTAGAGTGACGTTTGCCTTGGACACGATAGACAATTCAGACGCACCTGTTCCTCCGGCTAGATCGAAGGATCATTCCACTTTAAAGGTTGTTGAAGGCCAGGTTGGAAATCACGTGGATCGTTCGAGTGTTAATATAAATCCACCGAGCAACGAGGCAAGTGTCAGATATTTATTTCACTCATTCTATTTACTAAAATAATACTAGATTCCTATTCTACTGTGTAACGTTTGAACTTTTATTTTAAAAAGATAATATCTATTATTTATTTTTAGTATTTTATTTATTTTATTTTTGAAAATAAAACTTCTTGGACTTATGATTTATTTTCAAAAGGCATATTTTCAGATGCAGTTGCGTGGAAAGAGAATGAACTAAAATAAAGAATAAACAAACAAGACAAAGAATAAAATCCATTTCATTTTTACTTTTTTTTTAGAAAATCATTAAAATAGATTACTATTTTTCCTGCGATCTCTGTATGCAATAATGTTAAATTTTAATGTAGAAATTTGTTTTTTATATTTGAAATAGAACTTGATTCAAAATAAAGAGCCTCCAGCAACGCCAGTGTCTTCTACGAACGTGACAGTGACACCACCAACGATGGAAGAACCCAATAGACGTTCAGCGTTCAGAGAATCACGATCTCGTTCAGTTTCGATATCCAGAGAGCGTAGCATGTCGCCATTGTCAATGCCCAAAATTCAAGAACAGCACGAAGAGGAAGCTTCTTCAAGTTACTCACCTCTTCGTCCGTCGATGAACTTAACTTTAAAGAAGCAACAGGCGATCGTTGATGAACCTGAACCACAGTTCGTCAAGAGTCATTCGTTGGATGACAAACTAACATCACCTACCTCTCCTAGAGAGAACGACGACACTGTTTTGCACGGAAGTTCAGAGTTTATGCTGGTTTTATATCCTGAGGATCAAGAAAAGAGACCGGAGGATACTGTTGAAAGGCGGAAGAGCTTAGGTGAGACGATTTATTTCATTCTTATGACGATTTAGATAATGTCATACAAATTTCCTATAGATGTATAAAATCTCGAAAATGTTTAAAAGTAGTATTGACGTTAATGTAATACTACTTTAAATAACATAGAATATATGATGCAATGACAACAAAATCAATAATAAATTAAATATGATATGTTACGTTGTAACATTGTCGAATTTTTTAATGATTCTTAAAATCAGAAAATTTATAATTAAACATTTAACTTTAAAATCCTATGAAATGACACACGTGCAAAGTTATAAAAATATATATCGAAAGAGGAAATATCGACACAGCATCCTTGAACGATCGAAATCGGAAATACGATCAGGTTGATAAAATAATTCACGATGATTTTCCGCTCCACAGAAACACCGCGAATCACCACAGACATCACAGCAGACGTCACAGAGGACATCGAAGACTTGATACCACCACCCATGTCTCTCTCTCTTCCAGAGTTATTCAGCGCGGAACATCAGGTAGTGGAAACCCTCCGCGAGGCGGTCAGCTCCACGGAACTTCTCCACGAACGCGCCATGGAACGATTCTATCGCGCGGTCGCGGCGGAAGAAGCTTCTGAGGTGGCGAAAAGAAAGGTGCAACTCGAACGTAAAACCGGTGAATTGGCGTCGACCGGAGAAACGAAGCCGGCCATCGAGAACGACGTCTTCAAACGGCGATTGTCCAACACCGCTATCGCCTCCCCAAATTTAATGAACTGGCAGTCAAAGAAGAATCGCAGGAGATTAAGCGAGGGTCAAGCAGAGACTGTGAAACCTGCTAACTTGAAACTACTAACGTCTAATCTGCTGCCGGAAGTGGAAGCTGTGTCCGATCCGAACATACCCAGCGATTCGGAGAGTCCGATAGTCCCTTCGTGGGGGTTGGACAAGCCGGAAGAAACGACCACGCCACTGCGCAGGTGGCACGACACCAACGTGCCATTGGTCGAGGAGAAACCACCGGAGGAATCGATACTCTGGCAGTCCAACTCCAATGAAGACACTCTGCGCAACGAGGGGCTGTCCCCTGACGCTGAAACCTCGCAATCGAAGAAAGAAACGAAAGAGGAGACGGATGACGAGGAAGAAGAGAGCATGGAAACGTCCGAGGAATCGTCGGAGGAGATCAGCAGCGCCGACAGCGAGGACTTGAAACTTCTGAAGGCTAGAATCCTCGCCAGACAGGTGCTAGACGAAGAGGACACGTATCATCCAAGGGGAAGACCCATTCCGCACGTCGAACCTGAACCACCAGCTGTTCCCGCGCACAGAGTGCCTATCGTAGACGTTACACCGCCCACGCCGACTACCACAGATGCTCCCGTATTGTTGACTGCGGTCGTTCCTAAATCGATTCTGAAAAAGCCCAAGGAGGAACCGATTCCAGTGAACAGCTTCGGTAGACCGATCCCTCCTGAGAAACCTATCAGAAAATCGTTGCCTCCGAATGTTCAAGCTGTGAGCAGGAACGAAGAGGAGGACATTGTAGACACACAGGTTACAGCCGAATTAATTAAAGTACCTGCTATGTCGGAATCCGACACTGACAGCGTGTTATCCGCTGGCGAAGCAGCGAAGAATCGCAGGATCCAGGCGAAGGCAAGGACCGCAACGCCAGAGGAGGAGATCGACGAGGAAGACATCGAGGCGCGAATGGCGATGGTTAATCACTACACCGAGATTGTCAGGGAACACTCGAGTCGGTTTAACTACAGAAGCTCCGAGGAGAGGAAGCTCGACAATACGACTGGCTCCAGGAGATCCTCGTTTACCGAGGATCACGATCCGAATCCGGAGAAGCTGAACAAAAGGCAAGATTTCAGGGAAACACGACCGGTGCAACAGACGAAAGTGAGGAAGGGAAATGAAGTGGACAGAGAGGAAAAGCCGCAGGTTAATAAGAGGAGCACCACTCCGGCTAGAGACACGAAGCCTGCGAAGGAAAAACGAACGAGCAGACCAAGCTCCAGGAATCAGTCCCCTGTATCAAGATCGAGGAACGTGTCTGTTGAGAGAGGAGTCTCCTCGAGGTCCTCGTCGAAGACCAGAGCTCGAGCTCCGTCCCAAGATAGAAGACCACCTTCGAGAACCGGTTCCGAGGATCAACGGTTCGTTCGTGAGAGATCCGTCGACGAAGGTCCTCGTCGGTCGAGGAAACCTTCTTCCAAAACGCCTTCCAGATCTAGTTCCAGAGACAGGAGCAGCAGACCCGAGACGCCGGTCGAGTTGAAGATGGAACGTTTGCAGAGAGCTCTCGAGAGCAAGAAGTACAGATACTCTAGACGCGGGTCTAGCGCGAAGAGAGAGTACCCTGAGAAAGCTTGGAGAGAGAGCCGATTGAACGAGGAAAGATTGGCGATAGAGGCCAAGCACAATGTCAGGTCAATGGTGGGATACGTGACCGATTTGACTCTATTGTTGGCGGCTGTCTATATTTATTTGTTCAAGAAAGAGACTATGGCGATCCCTTTTATTGCGCTGTTGCTTTATAGGAGAGTTTCGGAGGAGATTAAGGGGAGAATGTTGGAAGGCTGGTGGTCGAAACGAAAGCAATGATGCTCAAAATGGAAATTTGAAATTTCTGCGGTTCACCGACAGAAATTTTCAATGAAAATTAAATGGATTAAATGTTGGATTGAGGATAACGTAACGATATTTCTAACTGAAACTTGCAGGAATGTAAATTTTTTGAATAACAATTAGAATTAATTTGGAATGATAATAAGGATGATTTAAATAAGAGTGTCGGTATTTCATAACAGAAGAATGAAATTCGAATGAATTCAGAATGAAAATGATGATGTTATTTAAAGTCGTGCACCTTGCAGTAGAGAATTTCGAATGAATTCGAAGTAAAATTTGCAACAGAGGTGTACGGAAATGTCTGCAGTATGCAGTAGAGAATTTCGAAGCAGAAATGAAGCAGAAATGACGACAATGACTGCTCGAAGTAAAAGAATTGGAGTGAAATTCGAATGAATTTTAAGAACAACTGTTAATCACGCGAGAGAGATCGAAAATATTCTTCGACATTGGGGATTGTTACGAAGAAGTGATTCAAAGAACAAATTCCTCTGTGCAGCAATTGTAGCGTGTTGAGTCTCGATCATTTTAATGTTGTAGACTTTGAAGTACAATCTGTCGAAAACGCATCGGTCGATGGTAGAGCCATCATTCAGAGAAGCTAAATTGTTATATTTCGTTGAGGAATTACACCAAACGAGTACCAAAGATGAATAGTGTATTCTAAGAGAATGACATATTATTATAAATTATTATTATTATTATCATTGTTATTATTATTATTATTTATTCCTATTTATTATGGATGTTCTTACTTGCAATAAACGTGTACATAACTGTTGAATTTAAGATCGATCTTCTTCTGGGTTTAATTATCCTATTCCGTGTGTTTTTTATTTCAATTGAGCGACATAATTACTCTGAATGCAAATACACGTGTTTCAAATTTTTTCCGCTAATACAGAAATTCTTAGCATGGGAAATATCGAAAACTCACTCGATACTATGCCGGAATATATTTATGTACAGCTCATTCTAAATTAGCGGAAAGTTTCTCATTGAATCGTGACAATTACGTCGTTGCTAGCCAAGAATCTGCCGTTCCTTATTTAAGTCTGACGTTCGACTTTACCACAAAAGCGAGCCTTCAAATCATAATCGCGACGATGATGATGATTGAAAAATTGCAACCATGCATGCCTTCGTTGTTTCCGTTTCAATCGATCTGTGCACAGTCATCGTCGCTGACAACGAGCCTAAAGGCTCAACGTTCTATCTACTAATTCCATACTTATTCATTTTCAATATTTTTGTCTCGCACACAAAAAGAACATCGAACCGAAAAATTGTCCAATATAACTCAGCCATATATCGTTTATACTTGCAATTAATTTCTATTTACATTAATTAATTTTACTTCGAACTATTCAACCCCCCCCCCCCCCCCCATCTGGGTGACCAACGACTATTACAAAATAACTCGTTTCATATTTCCGTATTCATGTATTATACATATCGGCAAGTCAAGGTATATACATACTTCGACGTTCGATATTTTCAGACGGTCAGAAAGAAAGGAGAAAAGGGAAAGGTGAGGGCGCACCGTGAAGAGACGGGGCAAGTTATTCAAAGATAAAAAACCAGCAATGCGCCGGGTTACATCAGGGATAGATAGCTGGCCAAGAGAGAAAGAGGGGCGAGAGGGGCGTGCCGATGAAAAGGAGAGAAAGGGAGAAAGAGGCGTTCGGGGACGGAGCGTTGCGTTGAAACGGCGCATGTGCGCGTTTCGTTAAAACGACGAAGCCGAGAGTGGCGTGTCGAGACGATTTTAGACCGGAGCAGGGCCTCCTGCCGTCAGATTTCGTGGCGCACAGGGTGTGCTGTGCCACGGGTCACCAGAGTGAAGAAGAGGTCGCCCGGAGGGAAGGAACGGAAGCTTTGGCGGTCGAGGCGCCGGAGCCCCGCGACCGGAACAACGTGCAGGTTGCCACTTTCCTCGAATCGAAACCGCCACCAACGTGCCTCCCTTTCGCGAGTGATGTCAATGCGAGGAAGAATCGGCTCTCGTATCATCTGACGAGATGACCTTAACAGGTAAGAAGTACGTGGTCTCTCCTCTCGAAACGCGAATTCGGATCCAGTGTCGATGAAGAAACTCGAGTTCGAAGATCGGAGTCGATGTCGATCGGAATATTTGAGAAAGAGGAGAGGAAGAATGATTATGAGCGTGTCTCGATTTATTCTTTGAAACGTGAATCGAAATTGGATGAATCTTGTATAGTTGTAGAGAATGTGTGAGATGCGATCCAGAGTTGAAGATTACGAGTAGAGGTGAAATATTTTCCGAAGGAAAATTCTGTCTGTCTGACAGAACAATTTGGAGTGAATTGGAGACAGATTTGAAACTGTGCGTAGAAGATCAAATGAATTTTGATTTTGAAAGGAACGTGTGGGATTCTTCAGAGTTGTCGAAGATGCACGAGTCAATGTGCTGGAATATTTTTGAAAAGAAATCCGTGACGATGTATTTCATTTTATCTTTTCAAGCGCGAAAATTAGTCAAAATTGGAACTGTGAATGGAAGATTCGGTAAATCTTGCGTAAGAAGTACGCAAAAAGCTTTAAAATTATCGAAAAATTCCGAAAGTCGATGCAGAATATTTCAAGAAAGATGTCTGTGATTAAAATTAATTTCATTATTACTTTTCTAAATTTCTAGATCGAAAATTCACCAAATTTCGCGTAAAAGAAACATGCGAGAAAGTCTTTAAAGATCTCACAGAGAGAAAATATTATTATAAAAAGATCTACAATTAACGTCGTGTGTTATTATTGCCTTTCAAAATGTGTGTCCATAAGCATCAAGCTTGTCAACGAAAAATTCAATGAATCTTGAACCAGAAACGCGTGAGTAGTTTTGTTATCAAAAATTTCAAAATCGCATCTTCCGTTGCTACCTTCCGACACGCGAACTCCCGTAACTTCGACATACATATCTTACCTAACAAACATCTAAAAAAATTCGCAGTTGCCTAAAGTTAAGAAACGCAAATCAACGAAGTTCCAACAAGCTAAGCTCTGCTTCGTCGAGTTTCGGTGAGAAGATGGATCATGGATCCTCGATCGATGACGTCGAGTGACGAAATTTGTTTAGATCACTGGTCGTTGAATCTTTCCGCTGGCTGCCAGGTGGAGGTTGCTGTTGCACGAGCAACGTTGAACCGTGTTTAACATCGGTTATAGGTTTAGTTTCACGATCGGTTGTTACATAAAAATCTTGCCGCTGGTGGTCTCGGCCGAGTTTAGCGGCAAAGTCAGGATTTATGCATGCCGCGTACTCCAGCGACCGGTAATAACGAGGCTTACGTTTACGAGAACGAAATCCGCGTTAAAAATAAGAGTTAAAAGACCGGATTTACAATCGCAGCGCGGAGAAGAGGCATAGCCGGGAAAAATGTTCGTCGGCGTCGGTGTTTGGGAACGGAACCAAGTGTCCGAAGCAGCCGCGGCCATGTTTATTTTTTAAAGTATTTATTTACCCGTATTGCCGGGTTTCACAGTAGAAACACGCAACGCTCGGGATTCCCTCGCGCGAGATCATCAAAGAGACCGACGAAATTTACAAATACGAATTTCTTACGGTGAACATGAATTCGAAATCGCGTCTGGTTTTATTTTCTTAAGTGGTTTCCATCTTGGTTGCTTTCTCCCCTCGAATATCTATATTTACGCTGCCGGCCGCAAGTATCAGAGCATCTATCGATATTTCGGACGAATTAAACGACATTCACTGTCTCTCTTTCTTCATTATGTACGGTGTCATTTACATACGGCGCGCGTGTTGTCTCTTCGGTGTGATCAGCGTGGCAAATCATAGCGGTGCGAGTGAAGATTTGAAAAATTTGTGTTTAGTGTATTTCGAATTCTCGGAGTATCACCTATTTAGTTAATTATAGTTAATTAAGTGAGAACTTTGTTCTAGTAATCGCGATATATTTTTGGACCTTGGAAGAATATATCGAATCTTTCGTAGCAATAAATTTTTTATAGTACTTCTTGGTAGTCTTATGTATTCATTGTAAAAATCTAAAATTCATTTCATCATATCATAATTTTATAATCTATTTCAGTTTTCCAACAAATGTCATGAGTAATTTATGATCAGCAGTGTAACTATCATACTTACCAAACGTACAATTAGTCACTAGGTATTGCGACTTATTAATATATTAAATAATTAACTGTTTTAATATTCACTGATATTTATGATTTATATAACTGTAATATATAAATCATAAATTATTTATATATTTATGTTATATTTATTTATATTTATTTATATATTTACATATTTACATATTTATTTTAATAAATAATTGAAGCTTCCTGATGTAAGCGAATATTATAAAATCATGAAAAATCATTAAGATTTTTATTCATAAATATTTATCGACGCGTATAATAATATATTCAAACAAATTAAACATAAACAATTCGTGTAACATATTTATAAACACGTTCACAAAATATTTCCACAAATATATTTATAAATCATACTACGACCGCGATTCTCGCCTGTACATACATATGCATACATATGCATACACTTTTGTTTTTCTAAGCATTTTAGAAACCACGTGAGCGCAAAAATACCAGGTAGCCTTTCGCGAACAATAAATTTTCGCCTACGGTCGAACAACGTTGCGATGTCATATATAGTGTTTTCCATTTGGGGCCACGTCTCGTTCCACACGTGAAATATTGTCACACGTTGAAGGATGTATTTTCATAGCTAGTAGCGACTCACTTCGTTATGCAATTCGTTGCAGATCAAGCGGCGAAAGCCAAAGGACCGCCACGATGGCTGGAGCCGGACCAGGTGCTTCCGGTTCAGGGACGAGTCGGCGAGGACATCGTCATCGAACCGAAACTACGGTGGTCCGACGTTTTCGACGAGCTACGATACGAACTGTAAGCTTCAGAACGCGAGTCCTTCATTTCCCTCCGTGTATTTTCTCTTGGTGTCTCGGAACCTTGTAACATAGATATTCTAATTATAAGATTTCGCTAACCTTGTAACGAATTTCAGTAGCTCGGTAATAACCAAACACCTTTGCCTCGTTACGATTAGGCCGCAAACGTTTATGCAATTTTTTCGTATTTCACACGAGCGGAGAAACTAAATGGAAATTTGTTTCACCCGTGGAATTTTTCTTCTCACGATCTTGATTTTTTTTTTTTTTTTTATTCTTTTTGGGTTAAACGATTAATGTTTCAAGAACAGTAAGAAAGTCAGATAAATCAGTTTACATCCCCAAATTTAAGAAATTTTTTTAATGACAGAGAAACATAGTAATAACATTGTGAGTAACACGGAGAGTAGAGGGTTCAAATTTCTTGTAAATGCATAAACATTGACAGTCTAATTGTAATTCTTAATTTTATTGTTTACAGACTACATTTAAGTACGCATACAATATTTTATGTATGATAAATAATTGAAGATAGTCGTTACATTTACATAGAATTTCGTTATTAAAAATATTGGTTGTTATCCTTTGCGTAAATTTATTGACTCAATGCAAGTACGACGGTCACAAATTATTTAACAGGGACGATTATAGTCTTGAAAGGGGAATCGAAGATATCGGAAGTTGGAAACGCGGGTTGAAGCGACGCAACTGGTAGCGACACAAAAGTTCACGACCTCAGTGCGTTGTTTCGTCTCGTACTACAATGATCGAGCATCGTCGTTTACTTGTTATCGTTCATTCTCGACTATTGGCCCTAATTTCGGGTGGAAACCTTGAAACGTGCCAAGGATCAAACGCAGTTTATTTCGAGCTGTCGCGCACTTAATTTTCGCGGAGGACCAAATTACACCGCCGTCTCGTGTAACTTCGTATACGCGAATTTTCGCGTAATAATTCTCGTGTAAATTTTTCCAATGCCAGGGACGTAGCTAAGTCATTCTTTTTTCAAATTTTTCAAATCACGTCAGCAGTGAAGGGGGGAGGGATCATATCTTTGTTAAATTCTTTTTAACTAAAGAAAGGAGGAAAGGAGTAATTACTAATAATTACTAGATTACATGCAGATCAGTTTTATGCCATTTTTATAAGTGAAACTAGAGAAATTAGTTAATTATGTTAGACTGTGGATTTTTACGCAAATTCATGTTTCTGAAAATATAATTAAAAGAATAGATGATCTTCTCTTATGTATCGAATGTTAGAAATATATTTAATAAAAATAATAATAATACAGAGAATTATATTTTTTTATATGACATGGATTCTGTGAAAGTACACTTTTTAATTTTCTACAAATGAATAAGAATCTGCACACTTTACAAGTAGTGGATTAGTTTCCTTTTACTGAAACTAAATGAAGAGAGAGGGAAAGTATTTAATTGCATAATTTTCTTCTTTAAATGAAACAGAAAGAAGAGCAACACATAATTTAGCGATTAACAAATTTGGAAAATTTAAATTCGATAATCTTGAACCAACATCCAACTGTCAAAATTAAAGATTTTACTTATTAAGCACGTGGTTCTTAAATAAGTGACCGCTATAAAAATAAACTTGAACTAATCCCAAAGTACCGAAATTTTCATAATGTGGAATGTTGGAAGTCTTGAATAGAAAATCGAAATCTCATTCTTTATCAATGAGAGTTAGTTTTCAGTGTATGTTGAATCGAAGATAATCACTTTCCTAATGACTAGACTTCGAATGCTTAAGAAAATGCATACATGCGATGTGCAAAATGATCTGACTTTTGCATACTTGTTAAAAAACATGTACACATTGCTTTTATATCTATTTCATTTGTTACTTTTATATTTGTTTCATTCATAGGGAAAAGCCATGTGCAAAGTAGGCAAATGTACATGAGAAATATGCAAATACATACACGAACAATAAGCAAATATATAAATATACAAGCATGCAAGAACAATAGGCAAATATGCACGAAAAACAGGCAAAATATTTTCATATTTTTCTTACACATTTGCAAATGCTTTTTGCACATGTTACGTGTATAAACATCCGCGGTCTAGTAATGAGCAATGTATTAAGTTACTTAGGAAAGTGAAAGATTGGGTGCATAATCATTGAACGCTTATTTTAGGAACGTAAGACGTGACCTCATCTAGCCTCGCTGCTTAAATAAGACAAGGGTGACGGATCGATGGTAGTAATTGTTGTTTTTTTTCAGAACGATTCGTCTTCTGACTCATTTCACTTGTGCTTGCCGAGTCCTTCTCCTCGAGTACATCTGTTAAATTGAAACGTTTCGTCGAAGAAACCGTATTATTATCGTGTTATTAATGCTTCTTGTCGAAGAAAAGTTACCATTTACCGTATCATACTGTCTTATTAACGTAAAACAAAACAGCACGTCACAGTATACGTAATAATAATCATAATGATACAATTTGACACTAGTTTTCCTTTTTATCGAAATAATTTTTTTCCAAGTTATATCACTAAGATGTCATAAATGGATCTTTAGTTGACATCTTGCCCTCGATAAGAGAAAATTTCTTAAAACTAAATGTAAATAACAGAAGATAAAATCGTATCAGAATTAGAAATTAATGTCAAACAGATTTGTTTCTTACGAAATAATTGGAGAGATAGTTGACAAACGAAATAATTATCGACACATGTACTCAAAACGTGCAACAAACAGTGATCTTAACTCCTTACTTTATAATTTACTTTATAATAGTTATTCCAACGAATAGATGACGCAACATTGAAACGCTACCGGTAATTTATAGTAATCTACAACAACTTTACTCCGAAGAATCAAAATTGATACGACTAGAATTGATACGTCTTTGTTGCACCACAAAACTATAATACCTGGATTTTTCTGTAATTAGAATCTGGATCAGTCTAATCGTAAGTCAGAAAATTAGAAACAATTCCAAATATTTTTTCATCATTATTCGAGAAACGAAAATCATAAGGGGAACTGCATTGTTCCTGGAAATCTGGATATCGAAGAATTCGAAGCTGTAACTTTCAACGATCGATTCCTTTCATCAGCGAATTGGCCCCCTAACCCCTCAGACGCTACGACAACGGAAACATAGTTCACGTTCCTCTCGCGAGTTACGAAAACTCTGAACACGAACTTTTGACGTTCTTCTCTTCGAGAATCTCTCCCTCCCTCTCTGTCCCGATGCAATCTAAATTCGACCGAGGCTCTCGAAAATTTTCGCGAAATGACGCGAAAGTGGTGGCGCTGGCTCCTTGCGTCCCCGTCCGTTTCGACTCTAGGATGCTGCCACGGCACGTTGCTCGTAGTTCCTTTCGGAACTATAGCGGAAGGTGGCGGATGTGGAGGTGGAAAATCGGGCGCGGACGATCTGGCGCTGGCATCTTGCTATCAGTCTTCCGAGGGAGCGTCGTGACGATCGACGAGCGGCCAAAAATCAGCTCGGACCTCTCTCTCTCTCTCTCTCTCTCTTTTTCTTTCTCTTTCTCTTTCTTCGAACTCGTTTTACTTTTACACGCATCGGCCGTTAATTAGAACAGAGAGGTCTAGAGGAACGAACCAGGGATCGATGGCTGACAGATCGCACGACGATCGCGCGCTACCCCCCCTCTAGAGTTCGAGACCAACCATTTCCTCGAGTACCTTTTTTTTGCATACACAGTATTTTTACATAATCGTGCCAGCTTGTTACATCCAGGCGAGTCAATTTCCATGTCGAACGAAAGATGTAAGAAACACCAATTTCGCAACTGATCGAAAGGGAGAAGAACAGAGTGGATTACGAGTGGATCAGTGATTTGGTGCGAGTTTCGCGGTCCAGCTGGAGTTGTCGTTGCCGGAAGCTGTTTGGTAGAATGACGAGCAGCGTCATCGGCGCAGACGAAGCGAAGTCATCGAACAGACGTGTCAGGGTCGTGCGACACGAAAGAACGCCTGGTGGATTTATTTTTGCACGCTTGCCACCGAGTGAACGCCGAGCAATATCACGTCGACGATAAATAACGGAACGACGATGCCAACGTTGGACGAGATCGTCGATCGAACGAATGCCGATCGGAATTTTGTTTGATCCGAGCTGATCAGTCGGAGTACGAGGAAGAATCGATGCATCGATTTGGATTCCATCCGCCTCTTCAACCCCCTTGTTCGATCCCCCGTGCACGAGGCATGGAACTTTCGCCCCCGTTGGTTCGACGAACTCACGTCAGTGATTGTCATTGGTGATCGCGAGTGGTGAATATTGATTCAAGGAGGAAGAGTGCGTTGAGCGGACGCGTGACATGGGGAGTGACTGTTGCAAGTGCGCCGATGGCAATAAATCCGCCATTAACGGCTCGTTCAGGAACCGTTCCGGATACCGGTAGGATTTTAGAGTTATTTGCTGGATATTTTTGATGGATGGGCTCTACTGTACGCGTAATTTGTATTTTTTGTAAACGTGGCAAAAATACGATTTAAATTGAAAACGAATTCCAAGAAATGCTGTGTTCTTTGACATTCTATATATTTTTGTGCACGTTGAATCTTGACTGTTGGAATTTGTTTGATTTCTCTTTTGTTTTCGTCGCTGATATTAGCAGAATGTAGGATATTGTTGAATTGAAAACTTTAATTGGAAGCTTCACTGACTAGGTTCTAGTTTGTGAATGGAAACTAGAGGAAAATCAACATAATTTTCAGCAATGTAAGAGAATTATTGGTGACAATTTTTCTCATACAAAACACAAAATCGAAAATGAATATTAATTGAATAAAATTACGATACTCTTCATTTGTAATTCTCATCAAAGTGGCTACTATCCCGAGTGTGTCATCAGAATTAAATCCAAATGGAATTTTCATTGTATAAAATTCTCGCCTAGAAACCAATCCCAAATCCAATGTCGAATTATTTTCGTGGGAAAACCTTGAGCTTCGGTTGCTCGAATAACACAGGTATGACAAGTTACTAACGAAGCTCGAACGAATAAGATATCATTGATTCAGTAAAATGAAATACTATTTTTTATAAAATACGCACGATTCTCGAGCGATCGAAGAGAAAAGCAAAATGTTTTTGTCGTTTAAAGGCATCTAAATAAAAATCGGTTGCACGCTTCCAACGTATTTCGGGCAAACAAATGATCTAGAACGCCTCAAACTCTTGGCATTGCTCTACTGCCCTATTTTCGTCGCCTTTTTATTCAGGCGTGCAAGCATGGCGACGAGAACTTTGTTGTTCGATGGCCGCGGGATCGCGGCAAACGCGAGTATCGATCAGATTTTTCGGAGGCCGTGGTTACAGTGTTCGGATCATTGAGATATCTCGCGACGATCTAGAAATGCCGCAACGCGAAAGATCAGTGGTGCAACCACAGCGTGCGTTTGGACGTAAGGGAATTGGGCACAGTTCGACCGCGACACGACTCCTCGTCTTTCCACTTGTTTCTTCTTCTCATCTTCATGTTGTCTCAGTCAACGCGATCAAGCATGAATCAATACGATGTAACGTAATCTTGACGATATCCTTGACGAAATGATCAAAGAATTAATTTTCTATATGAATTATTTTTACTTGGAGAAAGTATCGGTGTAAGTGAGTTTTAGATTCTGTTTAATTTTAGTTTATACTAAATAGTGTATACATAATTATCCGTTTAGTTTTAGTTTATACTAAATAGTTTATACATAATTAAAACTGTTGATTGAGTAGCAATTTTGGAAGGTACAGTTCTTAAAATTAATATTTTCTCAACGTTCTCAATAGCAGTAATGCTATATATAAAATATATATTTTTAATATATAATATAATATATAAAATATATATAATAATATATAAAATAATTATAATGAATCATATTGGTGTCGGTGCACAAATTTAAAAAAAATAAATATTCTTACATATCCTTTTTATTATATTATTATCACATCATTACATATATTTTTCTTCTGTCGTGTGCACATTCTACATGAATAAATAATGCCAGCATCTAATTAAATTTCGAATCTAGACTTGCAAACGTCAAATTCCACGAATCGTTCTCCAATCGTACGATTCGAAAAACTCGTACTATTTTCCCTGAAAATCCCGTCAGTCTTCGATATTATTTGTTTCTTTTTACCGAGTATCTTGCAGTCTACGCAATATAAACGACGATAAAGATCGATCGAGATTGCAGAACGTAGAATTCGTTTCTCGGCTAGACAAAATAGACATTGCGTCATCGGGCTTGAACGCGCGTCGTTGTCGGGGAGGCGCCTATGCACGCGCCCCGAGTTTGCGAAATTTTTAGGTGTACATATTGTACAAAAACGAAGATTTTTCTCACGACGATCGATTCGTTTTATCTTGCAAAAAGATAAAAATGAAACCCAAAGTCTATATGAATCGTAGTTACGAGAGTTGAAATCTTAAAGACTTCATTAATCTGTATATTCTCTTTAACAATAAGGGTAGAAGATTCATTAACGCAAGTTAAAAAGAAAGTAATATAACTAGATCTATTTTTCTAGGTTTATCAGAAAAATGTGTGATGAAGATAAACCAGTGAAAAAGTTAGCTCTCCGTGGGCAACTGTCACTAGAAAATCTCACTGTCCATGACCAATTTTTGTCATTGCTCTAGGCTTCCAAAAATGTAAAAAAATTTTTCAATTACTTAATGAAACCCTTATTACAATTTTTAAGTCAAATCTTTAGAAGGTTCCTCTGGGAAGAATAGAAATCATGAATGAAATTTCTTTCAGATGACGTGAGTGACTCAGGTTAAGTTTCCACATCGCTAGTAGACAGAATTAAATCGCCAGGCGAAGTTTAATTTTACACGTTTTCACATAAATTATTGTATTTCCTATATTTTCAAAGTTAATCAAATGAAAAAAATCAAATTAAAGACTCAAAACAAGAAGAGAGAGAGAGACTGTCGATATATCGGACATTCGGCTTTCTCAGATATTATATAGGTGTCGATATGACGTTAGTACTTAAAAGGTTAATTTCAGAACATGTAGTAGCATAACTGTTGTGGAATTGTTGGGGTCCACAAGAGGGTATTTAAATTTTCGCTTCGTTACTACATTCAGAAATTAAAATTTTTCTTGGTCCTCGTAGCAGAAAAACAATCGACTTATGACGCTTTAAGAATTTCTTCTTAGAACCACAAATGAGAAAAACAATTCGTTCGTGAAAAACTAAACTAAAGGGTAGAGGAGCACGAAGGATGATGACTGGTCTGATTGGACCTCGGCCATCGCCCCGACAAACTGGCATTTGGATATTACCAAACCGACCTCGTTCCGTTAGAAAGTGTTCCTCCCTGCTTTCTCGTTGGCAATCGATTCGTCTGTGTTTTCTTTTAATCGACCAGTTAAATTTTTAATTTAAAAAAAGAATATGGAGGAGTTTCGCCTTATCGTTAGCAAAAATACCTCTAAATATTGAAACAATCATAATTATAAATAACAGCAAGTTCTAGGGTGAATTTAAACTATAATATAATATTTCTAATATCGTCACGTTCTTCTGTTTTTCACTTTATTTAATTAATTGATGAACACGAGGTTTTGACTTCGTACACGTCACACGGTGGTTGATACGAGTCGTAAGGACGAAATTATGTAAAACGAGGAAACTGAAAATAGCGGAATGTTCGTATAGAGTGTGAGAATTCGTTTTTATTAGTCTGTTGTTTCAATGCCCGCGTTTCATTCCAAGGATATTTATAGTTCGCCCACGTTCTACCGAGAAATCGTAAAACTTACTAGCGTTATCTGCGAGATAGCTGTCTTTCATCATTCTATGAATTAGATTGGAGAAAAGAAGTGACAAGAATTTATTAGTTGTGATGTCAGGTGATTGAATTTAATTGCAAGATGTGATGATTTATGAATAGTAGATGTCAAGAATAATAGTAGTATGAATAGCATTACGATAGAAGGTTCACTAAATTAGAAAAACAAATTTTGTTGTTTATTGCGATGATTACAAATTTTGTCAAATTTTCAGTACAGAGATATTGGAGTAAAAGTCGAGTGAACTATTAGACATTAAAATATAAATTACAGCAGCAGCAATAAATACTACTGTTTATCAATGACGTTTATTTTCCACTTATAAATATAGTTTATGAAAATTAATAGTGTCATAAAATTTATCAGTAATAAAATATTGAAACTGCTGATAAAATTATATTAGATATATAATATTATATATTAAATTATATTATATATAATTATATATTATAATTATATTAGATATATTATATATTAAATTATATTATATATATATATATAATTAAAATTATATTTAATTATAATTAAAAAGTACCTGGAAAATAAATTAACTATTATTTATTATTATAATACAATAAACTAGCAAATAAGTAGACATTATTTAATATTGCATTGTATGTTATATTTGATTATCACATATATTGATTCATGTTGTATATTTTATAAATTAAGCGTGAAAAGTAATTTCATTGCAGATTACGCGGAGATGTACCGATACCGTCCGATCGATACCGCGTACAAATGAGAGGCAACGTCGTCCAATTGACTCTGAAGCAAACACAGAAAGACGACACAGGGCATTACGCTCTGGTGGCTACGAGAGTTGGTCAAGGATTCGACAAAGGATCTTCCAAGAAAATACACCTGAGCGTCGACGAACCTTCGGAGGAGGGTGATCCACCAACCTTCTTACGAAGATTGACTGATCTCGCGGTCAAAGTTGGCACCCGGACCAGATTCCTCGTGGAAATCCGGAGTTCGACTACACCGATGGTAACGAGTTACATTATTATAATTTACCAATCTTAACGATAGAACAGAAATGAACAAATCTTATGAATTAAAAAAGAAAAAAAATAAAGCCTAAATATTATATTTTAATTTTCAATGTTGCTGTGTCTGTATGTGTTTTACTTCAAATATTTTCCATATCCTCGCGTATTATCTACACGTGTTCTGTATATCTTTGCAAATTTAATTTCTTTTACAGATATACACATAAATAGTCTAATTATCGATCAATATATCCATATATTTTTATAAAAAGATGTTTGATGGGAACATGTTATGTTAGAAAACAATTCTCCAAAAAATACTTCCAAAAGGTAACTACGTATATACTAACGCGAAAATAACTATCGTTAAGCAAGACAATTCCTTAGATAAAATTGGCATTAATTATTACTATTCGTTATGTTGCTTCAACTATTATTATTTAAAGCAGTCGGAAAGATTGCGGGCAATTTACACTTGTTCGTCTTCGATATCAAGAATTTAAAATTTAAAACTGCAATCTTGTTTCCTTTTCTTCTTCTATCGAAATCGTAATTCGTGCCTCGATACCAGAAGGCAAGGGGCCAGTGCAAGAAATTAAAAAGTCGATCGATCTCGAGTTCGAGATTTGAAGAGAAAGAGCGAGCCCGGTATGTTCCAAAATTGGTAGGCCGGGTAAGGGAACGATGGAATCCGTGCCAACGTCGGCGATTAACCCGGAAGGTGTTGAGCCGGAATCACACGGTGACTTATCGCGACGGATTTCTGTTGGTTCCTCCACAGCGGACGGCAGACGAAGCGGGAAACGCGCGCTAAAAAGGAGCCGGCTGAGGTCCATGACCCGAGATTCAAAGAGACGAAAGAGCAGAAAACGAAGATCGTTACCGCGGTCTTATGCGTCGTATTACGACTATTATTACGCGCGCGCGTACACTATGGCCTGAAACTATGCCCCCAGATCGTCTAAATCTGCGACTGCTCGCCATAAACTTTCCTATGTTCGTTTTCCGCGCGACGGTGTCCTCTTGCCGGGATTGCGCAATCCAAAGTTGTCTCGTTCAGACAAGTAATAGTTTTAAAACAATTGTTCTGGATCGATATTGAAATTAAAATTATTTATTGCAAGTAATAATTTGGAGTTATTAAGAATCGATCGTTCGTCTATTGGCCAAATCTAGAAGAATCAAACTTCGCTGTTTTTTTTTTTTTTTTTTACTAGATTGAAACTTGGCCATTGAATTTTTAAATTGTTTCCACTTAACAGTAAAAGATATAACTTGTCGCGTTCTTCTCCCGTAGTTTTCTTATTTAAAAGTGAAAGACGCAATCAAAAGATTATGATGGTTTCCCCCCTCATAATTAGACTCTAATTTTACATTTTTATAAACACGATCGAAAGTTTAATTTAAAGTTTGAGCACAATGTGCAGTTTAGTTATACGCAAAATAGACTCCAACTTTATATTTTTATAAACACGATCGAAAGTTTAATCTAAAGTTTGAGCACAATGTGCAATTTAGTTATACGTAAAAGAGATCCAGAAGGTTAAAGTAGAATATGTAACGTGTCTACTTGTCCTCTGTTTTTTCCTGAAAACGTGTGACAAGCCGCTACTAGCTTGTCGCGGCTTCGATCTCTGTACAATTAGCCGTTGTTGTTGAATTCCAGATCACCTGGCACAGAAATGCCGAGCCGGTGCACGCGGGTTCGAGATTCTCTTTCGTCCACGAGGGAAACTTCTACTGCGTCGACGTGGCACCTGTCACGGTCGAGGACGAAGGACACTGGACCTGCATGGCGGAAAATCGTGGAGGACGATCATCCTGCACCTCTCAACTTACCGTCATTGGTAAGAACACGTGTCTCTGACTCACTCTGAATATTCGATAAAATTACGAGTGTGGTCCTGGGTTTCCGGAACTCGATTTGTACCGGCTGGCTATAGTCTTATTATCGAAAATAGATGCTAGCCGTGCGTGGATGGCATTTTGGGATTTGGACGGAGAAACAGCGAATTGTACAATAATTAGAACGAGAGTCTCCTAATAATGTAGGAAATTAATAATAGGAAATATTGTTGTAATAATAATAGGAAATTCTTGTAACAATTAATTGTTAATATTTAATAATTATTAATTTTGTTATTTATTATTAATATTTAATTTATTGTTAATTTTATTATTTATTATTAATATTATTAATTTCTAATATTTAATATTTATTATTAATTTTATTATTCATTATCAGTATTATTAATTTTTAATATTTATATTATTTTTTTGTTGTATTATATTTCGTTTTATTTATTTCATTATATGATATACATTTTTTTAATTATTTATTATTAATATTATTAATTTTTAATATTTATATTATTTTTTTGTTGTATTATATTTTGTTTCATTTATTTCATTACATGATATACATCTTTTTTATTTTATTTTATTATCACACTTAAGTAGGGTAAAATATAAATATTTAATAAATACAGAAATATGTTTGAAATTACGGTCTTTTCAGTTTGTAATTTCTTCTAATAGAAAATTTTATCTAAATATAGTTTCTTAGAATTCCTTTCTCGATAGAAAGTACTTTCAAACGGAGTTTCAGTACAATTATTTATTAGATATTAGAAAGGAAATTTTGAGTAATCTTTTTATAATAATAATAATAATAATAATAATAATAATAATAATAATTTAATGGCTAATAAATTTACAACATATATTAGTAATATAATTTTGATATATAATAAATTTACAATAATGTCGAATTATCTTTTTGCACATCATTTTTGTAATAATCAACAATTCTTCTTCATTTTATTCTTCAGTTTATTTCTCTAAATTCACGTCAATTACTAACATCGCAAATTTCTTTCTTCCGGATGAAAATCTCTTCTTAAATATATTCTTCGTTTACTTTAGAAACGTTTAATTTCCTTTCCCTTTCTCTTTTACCAATCTACAGTTCCAAAAGCCTACAAAAGACCAGAATTCGTGGAGGAGCTCCGTGCCCTTCTCACAGAGACAGGCACAGTGTCCCTGGAATGCAAAGTAGTTGGTGTACCTACACCAGTGCTAAGATGGTTCAAAGACAACAAAGAAATCAAGGCTGGCGATGTCTTCGCTTTAACTGCCAACCCCGATGATCCAACCTCCCTTGGCATTTATACCTGCGAGGCAGTGAATTGTATGGGAATTGCATACTCTTCTTCAAAAGTAAATCGATTCATTATTTGCAACAATAGAATTGAAGAGTCCTTGTAGAAAACACTGTAAATGGCAAACGCTGACTGAATTTTCAGTCATTGCCAGGTACATTCTACTTGAAAATAAAAATAATGTATTACATTGATATACATTACCCTGCGTACGAATAATCTAGGGACAAATAAAATTAACATCTACAGTGTTTGCAAATTTGAATAAATGGTAACTGTCTTCTTCGATTTGAAAAATCTAGCGCTTGGCACTTTCAGTGTTTTCTAGGTCTCTTCAATTAATAATTGCTCTTGAAGAAATAAACGTAATTAATTTCTTAGGTACACGTGGTTGGAAAAGGAAGTAGGGAGGGTTCTTTAAAGCCAGCAGATTCCATGACACCGTCTGGCCCTCTTCCTATTTTCATCAAGCTTTTGCAGGACGAATGTTGCAGAATCGGGGACACTCTCCGGCTTTCTTGCCAAGGTATTTCCCCCCTTTCCTTTCTTTTAGGTTAACTTGCTGATTATAATAATTGGAATGGATGTCTGTGATTATAATTGAAGAAACGTAGCTGTCGAATATTCTACTTTATTATGTTTAACATATTATTACTATGTATTGTGCGCGTTCTCTGCGTCTTTAAATTTTCCATAAATGAGTAAAAATCTACAGTTTGATGATTCATTCGCTGTTATAAATTTAATTGTTCGATTCGTTCCAACAGTCCAAGTACCACCGTGGCCGAAAGCAATTACGTGGTACAACAAAGAGGGACGTATCGAGCCAAGCGAAAAGTATCATGTAATGGAAGATGGCCTTGGTGGATATTTTGTTGAGGTATACCCTGTAGAAGCTATGGACGAGGGTGAGTGGAAATGCGTCGCCACGAGCGCTGAAGATATGAAACAGTTTACTACTTGCTACGTTGCAATGTCCAGTAAGTGAAGTATCTTTAAATTGACTGAACATAAAAAAATATCCTTTCTAGTTTCAATCAATCTTATTCTACATTCATGCATATCGATCGATTTAAAAAAACTTTTTTAAATCGCCAAATTGACCCAAAGTAGTTAATATTTAAATTTTATTAACCGAATATTAATTATTACAGTACTGTTATTAATAATGTTATTATTAGCTACATCAAATCGCGTAATTAATCTTTTGTTCATCAAGTTCCAAAGAACTACAGGAAACCACGGTTCATGGAAAGCTTGAAAGCTGTCCTAACGGAGGAAGGTTTGGTATCGTTCGAGTGCAAGGTCGTAGGTTTCCCCACGCCTCTGCTGAGATGGTTCAAAGACGGCCAGGAACTAAAACCAGGAGATGTTTACCAATTAACTGGGACCAATTCCTTAGGTATCGATCGCACAACCTATATTTCTCAAATGTGCAACAATTTATTAAATATTTAATTGTGTTTCTTTTCTTTTTTTCATGTCTGATTTCTTAATAGGTTCCTATTGTTGCATTGCAAGAAATTGTATGGGAGAGGCAAAGAGCACAGCCGAATTAACGATCGAAGATATACAAAATCAATTAAACGAGGAAGAACGTTTGCAACTTCTAAGCACGAATCAACCGCCCACTTTCATCAAAGGTCTTAGGAGTTGCGAAGCGAGAATTAACGAAGACTTTCGATTTACTGTACAAGGTAATAATGGACAATTCGTAATTGTTTTTATCAGAAATTTTAAAATACCACTCTATCAACGAAACGCAACGATAAAACAGAAATCCAACTTACAGTGTTTTCTATGTATATTGTTGCTACGAATCGAGATTCTATTTTTTTTAAACACTCGACTGAGACTTGAAAGATTCCATCTAATTTTGAATCAATAGCTATTTCATGCATTGGTGTCGATGTTTGAAAATTTATTTAATCCTATATTGTTTCTACGAAGGAAAATTTGCTTCCTTTTCTCAATTCGGTAAAAATTAAACTGTGTAATTGAAAGTTCACTTGAGAGAATTACATTTACATAAAAATCTGTAACACCAAGTGTCACGAATGTAAAGTGTGAAGCTTGATGTGTGTCTCTAAATTATTGTAGTCAGTATTTCCCCCGAGCCGAGCCTAGCTTGGTACAGAGACGACATGCCAGTGGAGGAGAACGAGAAATACCAGATTGCCAAGGGGAGTCTCGGCACTTGGCACCTCGACGTGAAAACGCTCGAATTCGTCGATCAAGTGAGTAACCGTTCACGAAAATAACAACGTGGAAATTGCAACATCCGGAGAGAATCGATCGATAAGCCACTATTTCGCTGTGTTGAAATTCAGGCCGAGTGGAAGTGCGTGGCTACCAACGATCACGGTCAAAGCGTCACTTCCTGCTTTCTCAAATTAATCATTCCCAAACATTACAAGAAGCCGAAGTTTCTCGAAAGTTTGCGCGCCATACTGTCGGAGGAGGGTGCAGTGAACTTGGAGTGCAAAGTGATCGGTGTGCCTCAGCCGATTCTCAAGTGGTACAAAGACGGTGTCGAACTGAAGCCGGGAGACATTCACAGGATCATTTCTGGACAAGATGGGACCTGCTGTTTAGGAACTTATACTTGCGAAGCGACCAATTGTATGGGCACTGTCAGCAGTTCTGCGTCTCTTCTCGGCTTTGAAGGTACATTCATTAATATGATTTTAATATACTTGTAATTGGTGCAATTATTTTTAATTTAATTTAATTATAATTATTCTTAATATAATTATAATATAATTATAATATAATTATTAATATGATTATAATATAATTATAATATAATTATTAATATGATTATAATATAATTATAATATAATTATCCTTAATATGATTGTAATATAATTATCCTTAATATGATTATAATATAATTATCCTTAATATGATTATAATATAATTATAATATAATTATCCTTAATATGATTATAATATAATTATAATATAATTATAATATAATTATAATATAATTATAATATAAATATAATATAATTATAATATAATTATTTATTATAATAGATACATCCTTAATATAATTACATTAATACATTACATTAATACATCCTTAATATAATTTTTAATGATCACAATCAAATGGCGAAATAATAATGTGACAGTATTCTTATTCTCATTTCACATTTTTAATCTAATTTTAATATAATTATCCTTAATATCTTTGTATTAAAATTAATTATTCGTTGATTTAACAAAACAATCTTACGACTGTTAGAAATCCACCAAGCATATTCAAAATAATGTTTTGTCAGATAAATTCCCTGTTCGAAAAGAAGCAAAGGAGCCACAGTCACCAAACGGTCACGAACTTGCTAGGAACCTGTCACTATCAACGATTCACGAAGAGAGAACATCGCAATTGTACGATACACCGCAGACCGATCATTCCGTCACGTTAGACGATCGAGGGGAAGTGTCTTTCAGTTTCGATGGTAAAGAAGTTTCTGTTAGTTTGTACGAGACACCTGATCTCACTGAAGAAGAAGCTCTTCAGATCGTCGAAATGTATGCTGATCAGTTATCTGAACACGTAACAGGTAAGTCAATTCCTTGCATTTTCTTTTTTTTTTTTTTTTTAGATGTTACTTGTAGTTATCTTTTTCCGCGGAGGAGAAAATTTATGTTTAAACAAATGATCCAAATTCGAGGATGTGAACGAAATTTTATAGAAACTTTATTTCTGCATTAAATGACAAGATTAAGGTATATTAATATGAAAATCATAAAACTTTTCTTTAAAAAATTAAATAAAATGTTATACACAGCGTATTATATTTAATGAAACTGATTTTTAAATTGAACGAGATGTCATATATAATATACTATACTATACTATAATATACTATAAATATAATATGTAATATATTATAATTATATTATATACAATATATAATAATTATAATTATGTAATTTTCTTAAATTCTCACAACGATGAGGAAACTAACAAAATTAATTATCATCTCTCCGTTCCCCCAAATCTCCTTTCACAGAGCACAACGTGATCGAACTTCCGCCAATGCGGTTCGTCAAAGAGTCATCGAATTCCGGAAACCTGTTGATGGAAGCAGTGGTGATCGACGTGTCGCCAGATTACTTCGTCAGTGCGGAGGAAGGCGACGATCTTCGCACGGAGGCCGATTTCGAAGACGTGTCCATCATGGACGACATAACTCGCGTCTTCTCATCACCGGACCAAGACTCGCGCAGCTCGCTGAAAAGATCCGCCTTGGACGAGGACGACAAACCGCCGGCGAGACCTCCGCGAAAGAAATCGAGCTCCTCGTCCAAGAGCGAGAAGAGCGAGAGGAGTCAAAAAATGGAGTCGGAAAGTTATCACAGCGCTCAGAGGGACGAGCCGTTCTCGCCGGTGTCGCCAATGTCGCCGGTCTCTTCGTTGAAGCAAGACGACAGCGACACGTTCGCCGATGCGCTGTCGTCGGCGAGGCTCTCGATTTCGGAGAACCAAGTGCAAAAGTTGTACGAAGACGGACGCGAGAGGAAGCGCAGCCTCAGCGGAGAGAAGACAGCCGGCTCGAGCATTGACGATGGGATCGGTGGCGATTCCTCCTTCGACTCAGTCACTGGCGCCCCGAAGAGGAAGAAACACCGGAAGAAGAAGCACAAGAGGGAGAAAGGTAGCTCGGAGGAGTCGTCGATCGGTAGCGAGATGGATGGGAAACGAAGGAGGAGCGGATCAGCGAGCGCCAACACCGAAATGCTTCAACGCATCGAGTCAATAAACAAGACCGAGGAGCCGTACGTGGAAGACGTGGCTGACAAGTCCAGCGAAAAGAAACAGACCACCAGCGAGTCGGACAGATCTCTGTCGAAGAGTAACAAAGAACGACTGTTAGACAACACGAAGAGACTGAAGGAACCTGTCCTCGTGGTGAGAGACACGTTGGTCAGCATCGACAATCTCGAGACCAAATTGAACAGTGGCAGCGAGGAGGAGTGTAGAACGACCATAACGGAGAACATCATCAAGCCTATACAAATTTTGTGCGAAGAGGTGTCGTCCATCGAGTCGAAAGCGCTGAAGAACGCCGGCGACAGATCGTTGAATCAAACTGTTCGAATCTCACTGTTGGAAGCCATCGGTGGTCCAACGGAGGAGCTTCTCCGCGGAATGGAGCTGATAGAACGTCAAGAGAACGTGAAGAGTCGCAAGACGGATTTGATCGCGATCTTGGAGAGCCTCACGGACCCCGTGGACGAGATTCTAATGGGGATCACGAAGATCGAGCACGAGCTGACTGGGCGAGCGATCGGCGAGAAACCGATCGCCTTGATTCGAATGATCTCCGCGGTTTCCAAGCTCGACGAGAACGTTAGAAACGCATTGACCGCGGACAAACGAGCTGCGAGATTGGCCGCGAGTTTGGAAGAGATTCTCAACACGTTGGATTTCTTTTTGAACGACGTTTCTGTGGATCCAACTAGAGGAACGATAGAAACCGTGGACACTGTGGTGGTCGAGTCTCTCTCGAGGTCTATAGAAGACATGGCGCGAGCTCTCGGTCGTAGTTGCACGACAAAAGCAAACGTGGACGGTGGTTCGAACATCGTGGAAGAGCTTGCCACACCGACGCGCGAGTTGAAAGCGAAATTGGACACTCTGCGGTCCGCTTTGGAAACTTACGAGACGAAAGGCACATTGTCCGAGTATCGAACGAAATTAATCGAGTCGCTTCGAGATTCCGTCGGGCAGACCGTCGGCGAGATTCAGAGAATGAAGGAGAAGAAACCAGCGGAGGATGAGGGAAGAACAGCGGCGGAAGAGCCGAGGCAGGATATTCTGAAGGAAGTGAGATCGAGTCTCCAAGAGGCGTTGAAATCGTACGAGAACGTGGCTGGCACTCTAGATCCGCGACTGTCCAGCATCTTCGACCGAGTCGACGAGATTTACCGAAGGCTGAGAACACCGCAGAAACGAGAGATCGGTTTGGAATCGCTGACGAGCTTGGAAGGGCCTCTTTACTCCCTTCAGTGCGCTCTAACGTCAATCTCCATCGCAGAGAACTCCGAGACGATATTCAAACTGCTGGAGCCCGTCGTTTCTCAGTTGAGGTCGACGATAACGAGTCTGAACGAGAGCTCGTTGCAACCGATACTGGAAATGGTTGGTAACATCGAGGGGATCGTTCGGATTCGAACGGACAACGAACTGGAGGAGGGTGCGTCTTCCAAGTCGATGCAGGAAGAGCCAGAAAATTTGATCGACGGGATCCTGGATCCGTTGATAGACGTTCAGTCAGCGTTGAGCACTACTCTGGAAGACGTCGACTCTGTGACGAATGGAGCGACGAGTTCTGAGAAATTCGCCTCGTCGGAAGTAGCTGCTTGCCTGGTAGAACTCAGGCAGTACGTGTCCGACGCCGCTCACACGGCCATGACTCTGAGAGTGGACGAAACGTTGAGCAGTCTGATGGATCTGAAGGAACCGCTGCTGGATCTGCTGGCGGTTCTTGCTTCCGAGGAGAGAAGTTTCCAGGAGCTGCCTGTGATTCGTAAAATACCGATCACGATAGAGAAGTTGAAGACCGTCGTTTCGAAAGTGTTGGAACACTCGCGGTCGCAGGAAACGATCAAGCGGACGAAAGACCTCTGGAAAACGTTGGGAGACGTTGAAACTCAGTTACCAAAGACGATCGTTCAGTTAACGGATGCCGAGGAGGCGGCGAAACACGTTCTGGAGCGTTTGAACGTGGACCAGGGTCTCAGTAACGTTCATTTTGCTCTATCTTCGGTGTTGGAGAGGCAAGAGAGGAATCATCCATCGTACTCCTCGAGTCTGACGATTTGTATAGAGGATCTGCGACAGAGTATCGGTTCTTCGGCAGTGGCGATTGCCAATTTGAAGCATCCGGTGGACGAGCAGATCGTCGAACAGGTTGCCCTGTTGAAGGAGAGTCTGTTGAGCTTGCAGAGGTCTCTGCTGACCCAAGAACACGAGCCTGAAGAGGAACAGGTGTTGAAGGATCTGACGAGCCCGGTTGAGAAACTGAAGAACCTGATTCGGACTGTGGTGGACACGGAGGCAAGGACGGACGTGCTTCTTCCAGTTTTGGAGCTGCTCGACGAAATAGAGAAAGACACGCCGTTGATCGCGAAGGAGGCGTCGAAGAAGAAGGCCAGGAGAGAAGCGGAGAAACTAATCCCGAAGAGGGAGGAACCGATGAAACAAAAGGTTCGAACGTTTGGCTTGGCTGATAAGATCTTCCGGTCCTTGGACCCGATGAAACATTGGCTGTCAGCTACGTCCGAGGAGAGCACGAAAGACGAGGAGGAGTCGGCTCTCAGCTCGACCGTCGACGAACTGAAGAGAGACGTGAACAAAATTGCCATCGAAACGTCGTACTCGGAGCCTCCGAGTGACGAGAACCTGATTGAAGCTTTGGTCGATCTTCGCGAACCATTGACCAGACTGCGAAACGCTATAGCAATGTATCACGAGCCAGCGGACTTGGCAACTTTGGAAGAACTTGGCAGACCGATGAAACATCTTCTGCAGACCATCATGGACGTTCTGAGAGACCACGCGGAGGAAGAAGCTCTTCAACCAATAGTGGACGTGGTGGAGGAAATTGAAAACCAAATACCAATCTCCATCAAGGAGGCTCTCTACAGGAAGGAATTGAAAGAAATGGTTCGATCGATCGAGCGAGAGAAGACGGGAGCCTCTCAAGAGGAGTCTATTCCTCGAGAGGCTGTCGCTCGCGCGAGAGAAGAGATCACTGCGCACACCTCTCAGGAAACTATCCCCGAGGGAACTCTGACGGAAAGCTCGACGGAGATTTTGCCTGAGACAACACGGTTCACCAACGAATCAATGACTGAGCGAACTGCGGTGGAAGAGTTCTCCGAGAGGACGGAACAGTTGGTCACAACGATCGAGGAATTGCCAAGGGGAACGGAAGATGCTAGAAAGTCAAGGAGAGAGGAAGAAGCTAAGAGTTTGATCGTTTCTCTGTCCAAGACGCTGGAGAATGTTCAAATGGATATAACGGGCATTTTGGAAGATTTCGAGGAACCCACAGCTGGAACTACCACGATCCCTGTTTCCATATTGGCCAACTCGCTGGAGGAACTCAGAAGGACCGTCTCCGGTATGAGAGTGATGACAGTGAGTTACGGCAGATCGGCAGACTCTTACGAAGAGATAGTCGGCGAAACAATTTCGGTGCTGGGGAATCTCGCGCGACCTCTGAACGATCTTCAGAAAGTTCTTCAACAGTCGCACCAGCACGGAGCTCAGGAGCTGGTGATTCTGAACCATTTGATTCAACCGCTGGACTCGATCGAATCCGAGGTGATCGACCACACGATTCGGAAGCTCGATGAAAATTCGAACGTGAGGGAGAGTTGCCAGCCAATTTTGAATCTTCTCCGAGACGTCAGAGACACGATACCGATCGTCGTGAAGGATATTCACTCGAGGCAAGAGCTTCTCGGATCGCTTCGCGAGATCTCGAAACCGTTGGAGAACATCGAGGAACGAATGAAGATCCTCGAGAGCGAAGCCGAGGAAACTCTAGAGACGGACGTTGCCAGAATTCTGGTGAAGCCACTGGAACACTTGTTGAACACGATAAAAGTGACGTCGCTGGAGCTCGAGGTGTTGGACCAACGCAGAGCGATCGTGGTCGAACTTCGAACTCTGGTCGAGCCGCTGGTCGAGTTCCTGAGCAGCCTTTCGGTGGTACAGAGCAGCAGGAAGAGTTTGGTTCCAGAGGCGGCCCTGTTGGACGAAAGGCGAAGCGTTATTTCAAAGTCTGTCGAAGGTTTGCAGAGGCAAGCCTCGATCGTTTTGGAGAGGATTTCCAACTTGGAAGGGGCGGCGTTGTTCGAGGGTGCGCTGAGCTCGCTGAAGAGCGCCATCCTCTCCGTTCAGAAGCAAATTGGCAGGACTGATTACTCGAGAAGATCCAGCTGCGTCGAGCTCACACTTCAGTACAACCTTTCGAGTTCGTTCAATCATTTGAGGAACACAATCGCGACGTTGGACGAAAGCGTGGAGAAACCGATTCACGATGTCATTGCCAAGTCGCTGGAAGCTTTGCAGAAGCAGATTACCCTGTCGCAAACGCATTTCATGCAAACGATCAACGAGCAACCGGTGGACGAAGAAGCGATCGTGGAAGGATTTTTGTATCCGACTAATCAGCTAAGGTCAGCTTTGAACATGCTGAGAGAGAAGATCGATCAGAAAATGATACCATCGATTTCGGTTCGATCCGTGACGCTTCTTCAGGCTCTGGCCAATTCTACTATGGAACTGGCTTCTTCCTTGTCCCTTCATAAAGTTCGATTGATAAGAGAAGGAGCATCCGAGGGTTCCTCGCTCGTCGAAACGTTGTCCGCCATGGTGGACGTTTTGGAGAGTGTGAAGGATTCGATAAGGGAGATTGAAAAGGTGGCGAGCGTTGCGACGGAGGAGAAAGGAGAGAAAATTTCACCGGACGTTCCCATTACCATTACGCAGATCGAAACGATCGTGGACGAGATTATCGAGATTTCAAAGGAGGAGGTGGAGAGTGTGCTGACTATCGAGAAAGTGCCATCTGAGAAAGATGGAGTGAAGATAGAGGAAATAAAGTGTGAAGAGACGGTCGACGAGCTTCAGGAAATGAAAGCGGAAAGAGTTGAAGATATCGAAGAGACGATGGAAGAGCTGAAGGAGAAGAAAGTAAAAGCTATTGAAATTACTCGAGAAGGAGAGATGAAAGTCATTCGAATAACGGGAAAAGAAAAGCTTGAAACTCTCGAAGGAGTAACTGAAGGAAAAGCGGAGACTTTGGAAGAAACGAAAGAGGAAAAAGTAAAGGCACTAGAAACAACCGAAGAAGGAAAAATCGAAGTTCTTCGAGCAATGGGAAAAGAGAAAGTTGATTCCCTTGAAGGAACAATGGAGAAAGAAGTTGAAGCTTTAGAAGGAACGAAAGAAGAAAAATTGAAGACTATTGACGTAACCGAAGAAGGGAAAGTTGAAGCCTTTCAAATAATGGGAAAGGAAAAAGTTGGAACCCTCGAAGGATTGGCAGAGGATAAAATCAAGGCTATAGAAACAAGTGGAGAAGACAAAGTGAAAGCTGTTGAAGTAACTGAAGAAGGAAAGCTCGAAACTCTCAAAGTTGAAACAGTTGAATCTTCCGAACTGATAAAAGAAGAAAAGATTGAGATCCTCGATGGAATAAAAGAAGAAAAAGCTTCTCATATAATTGAAGAAAAGAAAGAAGAAGTTGCTAAAGTAACAGGAAAAGAAAAAGTTGAAACTCTCGATGAAATGACAGAAGGGAAAGTTGCAACGCTTGAGGAAATGAAAGAACAGCCAGCCAAAGCTCTTGAAACGATCGAAGAAGATAGAATTGAAAATCTTCAAGTAACAGGCAAAGAAAAAATTGAAACTCTCGAAGGAGTCACAGAAGGAAAAGTGGAGATGTTGGAAGAAACGAAAGAAGAAAAGGCAAAGGCACTAGAAACAATCGAAGAAGGAAAAGTCGAAGTTCTTCGAGTAACAGGAAAAGAAAAGGTTGAAGATCTTCAAGAAATGATAGAAGAAAAAGTTGGAACTTTGGAACAAGTGGAACAAGAAAAAGTGAAAGCACTTGCAACAACCGAAGGAGAAAAAGCTGAAGTTCCTCGAGTAATCGGTAAAGAAAAAGTAGAGAGCCTTGAAGAAACGAAAGAAGAAACAGTTGATATTTTGGAAGAAGCGAAACAAGAAGAAACGAAGGCAGCTGAAGTAACTGTGGAAAGAAAAGCAGAAGTTCCTCAAGTAATGGGTAAAGAAAAGGTTGAAGATCTCGAAGAGATCAAAGAGGAAAAAGCTGAAATATTGGGAGAAAGTAAAGAAGAACAAACGAAAGCTTTCGAAATAACTGAAGAGAGAAAGGTTGAAGCTGTTAGAGCAACGAGAAAAGAAATGATTGAAACCACTGAAGAAATGACAGAGGGGAAAATTGAAACGCTCGAGGAAACGAGAAGAGAGTCAATTGAAGCTGTTGAAGTGACTGAAGAAGGAAAGGTAGAAAGTCTTCGAGTAACAGGGAAAGAAAAAGTTGAAACTCTTGAGGGAGTTGAGCAAGAAAAGGTTGAAACTTTTGAAGAAATTAAGGAAGAGAGAATGAAAGCTCTCGAGGTAGCTGAGGAAAGTAAAACTGAAGCTCTTCGAATAACGGCGACAGAAAAAGTTGAAACTCTTCAAGAACTTCCACAAGAGAAGGTTGAAGATCTTAAACTGACCAAAGAAGAAAAAATTAAAGCTCTCGAAGTAACTGAAGAAGCAAAAACTGAAGCTCCTAAAGTAACAAGGAAAGAAACAATTGAATCGTCAGAATTGATGAAAGAAGAAAAAGTCGAAGCTCTTGAAGTAACTGTGGAAGAAAAAGTGAAAGCTCTTGAAATAACCGAGGAAGGGAAAGCTGAAGCTGCGAAAGTAACGGGGAAAGAAACAGTGGAATCTGTTGAATTGATAAAGGAAGAAAATGTCGAAGCTCTCCAAGGAATGAAAAAAGAAAAGGCAAAGGCTGTTGAAGCTTCTGAAGAAGAGAAACTGGAAACTCTCCAAATAAAGGGAAAAGAAACGGTTGAATCTACTGAACTGATAAAAGAAGAAAAAGTTGAAGCACTTGAAGCAACGAAAGAAGAAGCAGCTAATGCTCTTGAAGCAACTGTTGAATCTCTTGAATTAACAGAGCAGAAGAAAGTCGAAAGTGTAGGAAAAGTCGAATCCATTGACCTGAAAGAAGAAAAAACTGAGAATCTTGAGACGATGAAAGAAGAAAAATTAGAAGCAGTGGTCGAAATAACCAAAGAACTGTCTAAAACAGAGGAAAAAGTTGAAGTATTATCCGAAGAGTTATCCGTGAAAGAAGAAAAAGTGGAAACTTCACCACAGACAGAAGAAATAGCAAAGATTGTTGAAAAAGTAGAAACTCCTTCTGGAAGAACTGAGAAATTGGTAAAGGAAGAAAAACTTTTATTAGCGAAAGCGGAAGAGACAGCTATTGGAGACAAGAAGACGGTATTGTCTGAAAAAGAAATGGTAGCAGAAAAATTAGAAGCATCCACTGTCGAAGAAATAACAACACAAGTGATAGAACCAGAGAAAAAGCAAGACGAAATTGAAACAATAATTGAGAAAGTAGAGGAAAGAAGAACTGAAAAAGAGGAAGCACTTGCACGAGTCGAAGAAGCAAAAATAGAAGAATCTAAAACATCAGAAGAATCAACGCAGAAGCAAGAAGCTAAAGAACAAGTATCTGAAAAGGTAGAAGAGGCATCAGAAACGGAGAAAATCGCAGAAGAATCTTCGAAGAAAACAAAAGAGGAAACCAGAGGTTCGAAAGAAGCAGCGAGACAAGAAGAGACGACTGAGGCCTTGTCTCAAAAAATAGAAGACCTAGCGAAGTCAGAAGAGAAGGTAGAAGAAGAAAGGAAACAGACCACGATCAATCAGATACAAAAAACCGCTTCATCGATCGATACTTTGCAACAACCATTCAAGGAATTAACCAATCTCGTGTCCACAGCACTAGACGAACCTCTTTTCTCAAAATCCGAAGAGGAGAAACGAAGAATCCGAGAACTAACAGCCCTAATTCAAATCCTCTACGACTTGAAAGCAACAAGCGCGTCTGTTCAAACTACGTTATCCTCTTCCTCGCTCTCAGAACTCGAAACGCGATTTCTTCGGCTGACTGATTCTTTGATAACCGTGGATCAAGCTACAGAAAAGATTCTTCGCTTGACTCAGAAAGAATTGGCACCAGCGCTGAAGGAAAACGTAATGGTGTCGCTGCAAATACTTCTGGAACCTCTAGCGTCCCTTCAACGCGAGCTTTCTTCCATCCAAGATGCAACTGCTCAACTGTCCACGGACCACCTCTCGCTGCTGACGAACTCGCGAAATGTCGACGAAGCGATCTCAGAACTCGCGAGAGCAATTCGCAAGACTGCCGAGACGAAGAGTATGAAAGTGGTCGAGGAGATGAAGGTGATGGCGAAATCGAAAGAGGAGAGTTCAGACATCGAGGAAACCACGGCGAAGCCTCTCGAGGAACTCATCGAGGTCCTCATGGTTTCCCAGGAGAAAGTGAAACCAAAGGATGCGCCCTCGGTAGAATCGACTGAATTGCAACAGAAATTAACCAGCGACGACGAGACAAAATTGGAAGCAGACCTCGTGAAGAAGATAGTCAGTCCAATAGAGAATCTTCGCGAAGCGATTGCGAAGATCGAGCAAGAGAAACTGGAGGAGACTGAAGTGTTGCCTACGAAGAAGACAGCCACCGTCATCTTGAGCACCATTGTCCATCCTTTGGAAGAACTGCAACAGTCTTTGAACGTCTCCTCGCAGCAGCAGACTGCAAGAACCGAAGAAATTGCGGAAGAAACGAGATCAAACGTTCCGTCTCGGCAGCGGTTGCCGGTAGCCGATGTTTTCGAACAACTGAAGCGATCCATCGCCACGATTCAAGAAGATGTGATCCTCGAAGCGAGCGAAGAGATCAAGAGATCGGAAGGCAAGGCGTTGATCGTAAAAGAAATGGAAGAATCTCTGGAAAATCTCAAATTCTCTATCGGCGCAGTGCAGAAGATAGTAACGTCCGAAAGTGAAACAATCGAGAAACTTTCTGACACAGAGAGGACATCTGCAATTGAAACGTTCGTTGAGTCTGTGAAGGATTTGGGAGAGAAATGCATGGCGGTTGTCAGTCACCCTCCGGTGAAAATAGAGTCGTCTGGAAGGATTCAGAAGGAAGAGTTGAAGCAAGTTTTGGAAATGATGGCTCAGCCTATGCGAGTGCTGCGCGAAACTGCTTCTGAGATCGAAGAACGAGAAACCGAAGAGGTACAGGTTCTAGACGAGACGAGTAAGATCGTGGCGGAAGCTTTGAAACCTCTGGTGCATCCTCTGGAGGAACTGGAGCAATTGCTATGCACGGCGGTGCAAGAAGTTGACACGTCGAAGGAAGAGACGGTTGAAGAAGCAAGAAAGACTGCTTCGTCCACGGAGCAACTGAAGCTTAGTCCTGTTTTGGAAGAATTGCAGAGATCTATCGTGACGATAGAGGAACAGGTAGCTCTGCAGCCGAAGAAATCGAGTGAAACGATGGAAGCGTCTGTTGCCGAACTGATAGAAAGTCCGCTGGAGAATTTGAAATCTGCAGTAGCAGCCATTCAAACCGTCGAAATGGAAGGGACGAAAGAATTAACCGGTGCAGAGGAAACAACAATTTTGAGAACGATTGCCAAGTGCGTGGAAGAGATAGCAAACGTGACTTCAGTTGCTTCTGCTCGGCAGAAAGTCGAGGTTAGCGTCTTGCAACAGCCACAAATTGCCAAGATGGACGTGCAAGAGTTTGGACGGCAAGCTCTGGATGCTATAACGAGTCCAATTCAAGTTCTACGTGAGACCGTCTCCAAAATTGACGAGCAACAGGCGCGAGAAGTCGAGGCTTCGATTACGCCCGAAACGAAAGAAGTTGCCAACGTTTTACATAGTTTGGTCGAACCTTTGGAACAGTTGGAGAAATCTCTGTCAGTTGCTGTGCAAGAGACGAGCACGATCAAAGAGGAGTCTGCTTCGGAATTGAAAGACGTTCGAACTTCGGTAAAATTGAATGTCGAACCTGTTTTGGAACAATTGGAGAAGTCTATCGCTGTGATTCAGGAACAGGTCTCGCTGGAAGCTGGTAAAGAAGAATCGAGGGATCGGTTGGAAACTTCTGTGACGAAAGCGATAGAAGAACCTCTGAAACACTTGAGATCCTCAGTAGCAGCTGTCAAGGAACTAGTAACGGAGACAGAGCAAACGAGTGATTTGTCGGTCGTGGACAAGACTTCGATCTTAATGTCGTTCGCAAAGTCCGTGGAAGAAATCGGCGAGAAGTGTTTGGCGGTGATCTCTCAGCAGCAAGTTGGAACGCGGTTAATTTCCAAGGAATTGAAAGAATCTCAAATAGAGATATTGGAAATGGCGGTCGCTCCTCTTCAGGTACTGAGAGAAACGATTAATAAACTAGGAGAAGAGAAATTGCGACAGGCGGAAGCTCTCGAGTTGTCGAAGATCTTGGTGGAGCCGCTAGAAAAATTAGAGACTTCCTTGTCATCCGCCGTTCGACAAACAGTCTCGACGAAACTCGAAGAAACTGAGGAGCACGTGTCTCAGGCAGCTCCGTCAGTGCAACGATTGGACATCAAACCTGTCGTGGAAGAACTTCAGAAATGCGTGGCGACGGTGCAAGAACGAGTAAAACTGCAGTCGACGACAGAAGAGTCCGTTGAGAAGAGGACCTCTCTCGTGCAAGCTGCTGAGAAATCACTGGAAGACTTGTATTCGTCCCTTGCGATCATTCAGAGCGCGGTGTCCGCCGAACCGAGCGCGGAAGAAACGCTGTCAGAAGCGGAGAAGGTGACAGTGTTGCGGCAGTTCGCAAGTTCGGTGCAAGAACTGGAGGAATGCTTGGCAGTGGTGAGCCAGCAAGAAGCAGAGCTAGATGAGACGACGATGGAATTGAAAGTAGCTGAAAAACTGGAGGCACGAGTCCTCGAGGCGATTATCGCGCCGGTTCGCACGCTGCGCGAGACCATTACGAAGTTACAGGAAGAGAGCGCCGAAGAAGTCGAAGCGTTAGAGCCAGGAGATGTTGACACGCAGACGTTGACTCCCTTGATGCATCCATTAGAACAGTTGGAAAGATGTTTGGCGAACGTGGTTCAACAGGCGAGTAGCGAGAAGGTCGAATCCGTGGAAGAAACGAAGAAGGAGACTATCATTCTGCCGATTTTGCGAGAACTGAACGAGAGTATCGTTAGCGTTGAAGAGCAACTAACTGCGTGTCTTGAAGAATCTTCAAAATTGGAGATTGCGAGGAGTGTGAGCGAGGCGATTGAAGAATTGAAGACATCCGCCATTGCTGTCGAACGGGTAGTCACGCTTTCTTCGGAAGAGACTGAAGAAACGAAGACTGAGAAGACGTCTGTCTTGCAGGCTTTCGCCAAGTCGATAGAACAGCTGGAAGAAAGGTGTTCAGCAGTTGCGAGTCAGAGAAAGGTGGAAAAGAAGTTGAAAGATGCTGAGAAGCAGCAGGCAAAAATGGTGGATGTGGAAGTTCTTCAAAAGATAAGTGATGAAATACGCGTACTTTGCGAATCGTTTTCTGTGGTCGAAGAAGAGAAAATGCAGCAGGCGAAGGAATTGAAAATATCCGAAGAGCAGATTTCAGGTGTGAAATTGAACGTCCTCGTAGAACCGTTAAATACATTGCAGCGAGTTTTACAGGCTGCACTTGAAGAAGGTGAAACTGTAGAAGAAGATACAACGAAAGAGTTGAAGAGAAACGAGATTCCTCCCGAGAAATTAAATTTACATCCTGTATTGGAAGAATTGAAGAGATCTCTAGTCGTTGTTCAGCAACAAACGTGCGAGACTGCGTCGGTTTCGGCGGAAATCGATGAAATTAGATTGATCAAGGCTGCCGAGGAGTCTCTGGAACGGATGAAGCTGTCTGTCTCAGCTGTTCAGGAAATGACAATTCCTCGGCAAGACGAAACAAAGGAGTTGAAGACAGGCGAGGAGAAGTCTCGATTGGAAGCTCTCGCACGATCGATAGAAGAAGCTGGAGAGAGACTGTTAGCCGTGGCGAAGCAGCGCGAAGCGAAGAAACCTGAAGAAATTCCAACGAAGAAGAAAGTGGCCGACGATTTTGTGAGAACTGTGATCGAGCCTATCAACGAGTTACAAACCGCCATCTTGAGTATAGACAAAGAGAGTGAATTACTGGGAAAGAAGAGAGAACAAGAAGCTATAGTACTGCTGAAGATGATACAGCCGCTGCACAAACTCGAGGATTCGTTCCTATCAGCCATGCAGGAAGAGACAATTACCGAGTACGAGACAGTCAAAGAAGTTTCTCAGGCAATTCCAGCTCTGCAGCAACTGCCCGTTAAGTCGACGTTAGAGGAACTAAACGAGAACGTGGTAGAAATTCAGAAGCAACTGGTCCTTGCGAAGGAAGCCCTAAGTTTGACAGGAGACACCGACGACTTTTCAACGATGAGAAACCTGGAGAGATCATTGAGCGACTTGAGAACGTCGGTGGCTGTGGTGCAGCAGTTGACAACGATAGAAAAGCCTGGCGAGCAAATTCTAGACGTGGAGAACGCGTCGGCGTTGCAGGCGTTTGGCAAAGCAGTGGAAGAGTTCAAGAGGCAGTGCTCTCTGATCGTCACGAAGCCAAGAGTCATCGCTACGATCGTGGGAACGTCAGAAGAACCAAAGGAACACGAAGCTCGAGCCTCGGGAACGATTCTCGTCCCATCGAGATTGTTGCAAGAGTCAATCTCGACCATAGAAGAGATCAAGCTCCAAGAAGCCGAGACGTTGGAAACGTCTGACACGAGGAAACCCGTGACGCTGCTGAGCGAGTTGATACCGCCGTTGCAAAGACTGGAGCAGTCGTTCGTCGCCGCGATTCAAGGGGAACACATGACGGAACACGCTGCAGAGAGTTTAGATGCCGACGAGAGAGTGTCGTTCGAGAAAGCAACTTTGACACCGATACTCGACGAGTTCCAAAGGTCGATCGCAACGATTCAAGAGCACGTGACGATGGAAGGCGACGTGGGAAGTTTGTCAGAAGCCGAGGACGCAGCGTCTCAGTTGAAAACAATGGCGCAGACGTTGACAGAGTTGAAGACCTCCGTCGCTGCCATTCGACAGATCACTGAATCTACCGCGGAGTTTGCGAACGATCTGTCGCAGACTGAGAGCGTCGCAGCGTTCGAAACGTTTGCGATGACTCTTCGCGATTTGGTGGAACGCGTGGCCACAATCGATCATCAACAGGTGATTGTAGAACCAGCAGCGGATACCATTTCGGAGGACGCGTCTTCTTTGAAGACTTGGGCCGATGTCGTGGAGGGAGCAACCGTTCAAGTCACGGAACCGATGATCGTCGACCAGGGTGTCGTAGAATCGCCTTCGGAAATGGTTCTTTCGATATCTGAGGAGGAAACGCAAGCTCTGAAGAGCTTGGCCAGACCTTTGAACGAGCTGAAGGAGTGTCTAGCGGTAGTCGTCGAAGAAAGGAGATCAATGGACGCGAACGAAGTTACCTTGACAATGTCCGAGAATGAGGATGCTTCTTTGTTGAAGACGATGGCTCGATCTCTGTTGGAACTGAAGAACGCAGCTGTGTCTGTTATTCAGGAGCAAACAGCCGTCGAATCGGCGAAAGAGAAGTCGTTCGAAGCCGTAGAGAAGCCGGAGACTACGTTGAATCCATTGATTGTACCGTTAGAAGAACTCTGCAACTCGATTGCCTTGATCGAGGATCGTATGCTGGTCGAGTCGGTGGACGATCGATCGATAGACGAGATTTCATTGCTGTCCGCTCTAGCCGAGCCTTTGATCACGCTTCACAGAAGCATCTCCGTGCTTGAAGAGCGAGTGATGTCACCTGAAGCGGAAGCAATGCCAGAAGAATCGAGCAGCTGGATCACTGAGTGTTTGGCTGTCCCTTTGGAAGAGATAGAACAATCTATCGCTGTGATACGCGAGTGCGTTGTGATGGAACACGAGCCCGGAGCTGGCGAAGAGGTGAGGATCGACACGCCAGATTGGTCAGTGGTAGAGAGACTGATGCAACCTGTGGAGGTCATAAGATCGACGATCGTTCGAATGGAGGAAAATATCACGAAAGATGAGAAAGCAGAGGAGGAAAGTGAGTACGAGGTTGTGAAAACACTGGTGCAGCCGTTGGCTGAGGTTCAAGAGAGCTTCCTGGTGCTGAAGAACAAGACTGACATGAGTATAGAAGAGGAGGAGGCTAGCATCGACGCAATTGTAGACTCGTTGTCTAATCTTGAGAAGAGCATATCATTCATCGAAGAACAGGCTGCTGAAAAATTGCGGAGAGTTCCGAGTGGAGAGGAAACTGTAATTGGAGCCTTAGCCGAGCCTCTGACGCAATTGAAAGAGAAGATTATGACAGTGGAAGAGTCCTCGACCGTGTACCTTGAAAATTTGGAAAGGCCATTGAAGAGATTGCAAACTGCGTTGGAAACAATATTATCTGGCGAAAGTCAAAGTGTGGAGAAACGAAAGAAAGAGAGCGCCGTTTCCGTTGAAGAAGCCACGAGAATATCGATGAAACTGATTAATTCTATCAGAGAAGTGAATGACTCTATCGAGTCGATTGATAATAAGATAGAAAGCTACAAGGGACTGCTAGGACTGGAGATTCAGATCGAGAAGGAAGCTCTGAAGACGTTGGCCAAGCCTCTTGAACAACTTAAGCAGGGAATTCAGAGTTTGTTGGACAGACAGGAGATTGGAGATGAGATTGTGGTTTCGCTGAAGAAGCTTCGAAAGGCGATTGCGATTGTCAGAGAGCAATCTGCTGACAAACCTCTAGCTGAACCATCGCATTTGGAGATTACGGAGATTTTTGGAGTATTAAGAACTTTGAATGTATGTTTGAACGAGTTGGAAGCTTCTACTGAAAAGGTTGAAACATTGTGGAAGGAGAATTTGAGCGGAGAAGGACTTGTAGAATTGGAAACTCCTGTTTCGAATTTGACGAACGATATAAGTTTGCTTCGGGACAAATTGTTGAATGTACAGATAGTGTGGGAGACGGATGAAGAGAAGAAGAAGATTAAAGAGAAGAAGAAGAAAAAAGAACTTGAGAAAGAGGAAAAAACGATAGATACGGAGGAGGAGGAACGTAGGAAAAAGGAGGAAGCTGAGAAACAGAGGGAAGAAGAAGAAAGAAGGAAGAAGGAAGAGGAAAAATTGAAACAAGTGGAGGAGAAAAAGAAAAACGAAGAGGCTGAGAAATTGCGGCAGAAGGAAGAAGAACGTAAGGAGAAAGAGGAAGCTGAGAAATTAAAACAGGAAGAGGAGCGTAAGAAAAAAGAGGAAGCTGAGAAATTAAAACAGGAAGAAGAGCGTAAGAAAAAAGAGGAAGCTGAGAAATTAAAACAGGAAGAAGAGCGTAAGAAAAAAGAGGATGCTGAGAAATTAAAACTGGAAGAAGAGCGTAAGCAAAAGGAAGAAGCTGAGAGACTGAAACAAGAAGAAGAGGAACGTAGAAAGAAAGAAGAAGCAGACAAACTAAGACAAGAGGAAGAGGAACGAAAGAAAAAAGAGGCAGAAAAATTGAAACAAGAAGAAGAGGAACGTAGGAAGAAAGAAGAAGCAGAAAAGCTAAAACGAGAGGACGAGGAACGAAAGAAAAAGGGGGCGGAAAAATTGAAACAAGAAGAAGAGGAGCGTAAAAGAAAGGACGAAGAAAAACTGAAGCAAGAAGAAGAGCTAAAGAAGAAACGAGAAGAAGAGGAACGTAAGAAGAAGGAAGAGCAGGAGAGATTAATGCGTGAGGAAGAAGATCGTAAGAAGAAAGAGGAACAAGAAAGATTAAAACGCGAAGAGGAGGAACGAAAAAAGAAAGAGGAGAAAGATAGATTGGAACGTGAAGAACAGGAACGTAAGAAAAAAGAGGAAGAAGAACAAAAGAAAATAAAAGAAGCTGAAAAACTGAAAGAAGAAACTGAACGTAAAAAGCAAGAGGTGGACGAAAGATTAAAGCGAGAAGAAAAAGAACGCAAGGAACAAGAAGCAGAAAAACTACGACTTGAAGAAGAGGAGCGTAAGAAGAACGAGGCAGAAAAATTAAAGCTCGAAGAACAGAAACGTAAAACACAGGAAGAAGAAAAATTAAAGCTCGAAGAACATAAGAAACGTAAGAAACAGGAAGAAGAAAAATTAAGGCTTCAAGAAGAGGAACGGAAGAAGAAAGAACTAGCTGAGAAATTGAAACAAGAGGAAGAAGAACGTAAGAAGAAGGAAGAAGAAGAAGAAAGGCGAAAGAAAGAAGAGAAGGGACGAAAGAAAAAAGAAAAAGAGGAACGATTGAAACGTGAGGAAGAAGAACGCAAACAGAAAGAAGAGGAGGAGCGTAAAAAGAAGGAAGAAGCTGAGAAATTAAAACTCGAAGAAGAACGTAAAAAGAAAGAAGAGGCTGAGAATTTGAGACAGGAGGAAGAACGTAAAAAGAAGGAAAAAGCAGAGAAATTGAAGCAGGAAGAAGAACGTAAAGAAAAGGAGGAAGCAGAAAAATTGAAACAAGAGAAAGAACGTAAAAAGAAAGAAGAAGCTGAGAAATTGAGGCAGGAGGAGGAGGAACGTAAGAAGAAGGAGGCTGAGAAACTGAAGAAAGAAGAGGAACGCAAAAAGCAGGATGAAGCAGAGAAATTAAAGCAAGAGGAGGAACGTAAAAAGAAGGAAGAAACTGAGAAAATAAAACAAGAAAAGGAACGTAAAGAGAAAGAAGAAGCTGAGAAATTAAAGCAAGAGGAAGAACGCAAGAAAAAAGAAGAGGCTGACAAACTGAAACAAGACGAGGAGAAAAAAAAGAAACAAAAAGCTGAAAAGTTGAAGCAAGAAGAAGAGCGTAAGAAGAAGGAGGAGGCTGAAAAGTTAAAAGAAAAGGAAGAACGTAAGAAGAAAGAAGAATCGCAAAAGTTAAAAGAGGAAAAGGAACGTAAGAAGAAAGAAGAAGCTGAGAAACTAAAACTGGAAGATGAGCGTAAAAAGAGAGATGAAGAAGAGCGTAAGGAAATGGAGAAAACTGAGAAATTGAAACAAGAAGAAGAACGTAAGAAAAAAGAGGCTGAAAAATTGAAGCAAGAAGCGGAGCTTACGGAAAAGGAAGAATCTGAGAGATTGAAACTCGAAGAAGAACGTAAGAAGAAGAAAGAGGAAGCTGAAAAATTGAAACGAGAGGAGGAGCTTAAGAAGAAAGAGGCAGAGAGGTTGAAGCAGCAGGAAGAAAAACGCAAGAAGGAAGAAGAAGCTGAGAAACTAAGGCAGGAAGAGGAACAGCGAGAAAAGGAGAAGGCTGAGAAGAGAAAGCAAGAGGAAGAGGCACGTAGGAAAAGAGTGGAAGAAGAACAAAAGATCGAGTCGGAGGCACTGAAACAGAGGGAAGAGAAATTGCGAAAGAAGAAGGAGGAGCGAAGATTGCAACAGGAGGAGGACGAGCGTAGGGAACGGGAGGAGGCGGAAAAGCGAAAGAAAGAGCAAGAGCAGAGGAAACGCGAGCGGGAGGAGCGCGCGAAGAAAGAGGAAGAGGAAAGAGTCAAACGTGAAGAGGAGGAACGTAGGAAGAAAGAGGAGAGAGCCAAATTGAAGAAAGAGGAAGAAGAACGGAGGAAAGTCGAGGAAGCGGAAAGATTGAAGAGAGATCAGGAACGAGACGAGCAGAGACGGGAGGAAGCTAGGAGACGAAGGGAAGAGCAAGAGAAACAGATAAGAGACGTGACAGAGAAAGTGAGGAAAGCTGAGGAAGTACGTCTGAGGAAGGAAGACGAGACGCGTGAAAATAGAAGACTGGAACGCGAACGAAGAAGGCAGGAAGAGGTGGCAAAGTTACACAAGGAAGAGGAAGAAAGACTTCAAAGAGAAGAGGAACGCAGACAAAAGAGGAAAGAAACGGAGAGACAGTGGAAAGAGGACGAAGAGGCTCTTAGAAGAAGGGAGACCGAACGTTTGGAAAGAAGACGCGCAGAAGATCGTCAGAATAGAGAAGAGTCTGACCGTTTGAAGCGAGAAGACGAGGAAAGGAGACGCAGAAGAGAGACCGAGAGACAATTAAGAAGAGAAGAGGCAGCACGAGAGATAAAGGAAGAGGAGGAACGTTTAAGAAGACGACACGAGGAAGAAACGTCCAGACTTAGGAAACGAAGACAGGAACAACTGAGGGACGACACTTGGTCGAAGATGAGACAGGGCGAGGCGGAACAGTTGTTCAAGAAAATAACGGACGACGCGCTACGAATTGAAAAAATGAAAGCTGGCTCTTCGGACGTGGAATTTTGGCGGGACAGGCGAGACAAATCTTGCCGATACGACTCTGGTTTCGATTCGGGGCTTTCCAGCACGTCTAGATCGTACAGTTGGAGAGATTCTCTCACTTCTCTGACCAGAAAGAGAATCGACGACTTTCTGGATTACAAGTTGAGGGATACTTCGATCGACAGATACTACCACGACACCGGGACGTATTACAGAAGAAGGAAAAAGAGAGACGATCATATCACTCGAGCAAGATCTATCAGTTTGTTGAAGTACGACGACTATTCGACGGGGGACAGCGACACGACTATTACGCCTACTGCTGTTAGCAAACCACCGAGATATAGCAGCAGGCTAAAGACGAATTTGCGAACTGATTTTGAGGATCGTGGCTCGAATTTGTCGCTATATCTGCCATCAATTAAAGACGAGGTAAGAAGAATACAGTAACACAATGATCTGTCAACTGTCGAAAATTGAAAGCGTGTGAAATGATTGTTACATAGCTCACACCGCGCGACAAGGGAAAGAAGCCATCGTTCTGCACCAGATTGACAAATAGAACCGTGGGGGTTGGTATGAGGACGAGATTAACCTGCACTGTGCTTGGACACCCAGAACCGAGGGTTTACTGGACGAAAGATGGCGAGAGGCTCGACGTAACTACGAACAAATGCAAAACTCGTTTCGATAATGGTATGGCTTATTTTGAATTGCACGAAGCACTCCCCGAAGATTCCGGATTGTATACCTGTGTTGCCGAGAATGTTCACGGAATCGCGACCACAGAATCCACATTAAAAGTTTACCCCGATTTCCAACCAGCATTGTCACCCCCTACTTTCACAAGATCTATCAAAGGTATGTATCCAAAAGTATTCTAACTGCTAAATATTTGTTCAGAGAAAAAAAATTATTACTTGTCCAAATGTAAAATTACGAGACGTATTGTGTCAAAATTTAAAAGAATTGAATTATCCCCACGTTAAAGATGATTGCACGGTTTCCTTGGATTTTGAAATATTAATACGCATACCATTGTTTGGAAATGATCGTTTGTGATTAATTATTTTATACCATAAATTTCTTATTTCTTATTCCTGGCCAATCAATTTAACACTAGAACTACCGAGTGGTCCAAATGACTAATTCATAATTTCTTTTAGATACATTGCAGATGAAAAATAGTATATCTTTAGAGGTTTAAATGATTTCTTTATAAAATACACGAATAAAAGTTTGCGTATTCTATTGTACTTCTATTTTTTTCACTTTAATATCTCTGATCAAAATTCTATGCTTTAGTCCTTGAATCATAAATTTTAAAACAATATCTACAATGTCAACAAGTTACGTCAATATTAATACATTTAATGATAGAATTACTTATTTATTTAAACATAATACTGGTACTTTAATAAAATTACCATGGCACAGACACTTATCGACCATCTGACAACGAGCTGATCCTGGAATGTCGAGTTCGTGGCCATCCAATACCAATTATCTCCTGGTTGAAAGACGGTTGCATTCTTCAAGGCGATCGTTACAAGCAGTGTTACCTGGACGATGGCATTTATCGGTTGGAAATTGCTGCACCCAATTCTTCAGACAGTGGCCGATACATCTGCAGAGCTATGAACGACCTACGAACTGAAGAGATATCGCATATTGTTCAGTTCAATGGTAATATTTCTAACGTCGCTCAACAAAATTTCTTTCCTAAACGTCACGTTCGAATTAACCTGTTTCAAGAACGAGAACGACGAATTGTGAGGAAGCACGAGAAAACGTTCGACGACTACTTCAACATCGAATCTTACAAGAGACCGCGATTCTCCAACTATTTAAGCGACCACAGCGTTCCCACTGGTGGCACCATTGCCTTGCAAGTCGAAGTTAAAGGTATTAAACATTCGGCCAATGAATCTTCGATTTTTCTTCACTCAAACGTTGTCATGTTTCAAAATTCCTGACCTCAGATTTACGACTTATTAATTTCATAAGTTGCAAGCGACAGTAAACTATTTAGAAAGTAATAATGAATAAAATAAAATATAATATCTCTCTATTTTTGGGCACTGTGATATCTATTGGTAGTTCGTCCTATCCAATTAAGAAAAATATTTAAAAGCTGATAACTGGCAAATTTAAAAATTGTTGAGAAATTACACAAGTAGATTTTAATATATCAATAAATGGATTGTCATAATTAATCATAAATGCAGGTGTTCCGGCACCGGAAGTAAGATGGTTCCGTGGCGAAAGACGAGAGCCAGTCTCGATCCCAAAGGCGAAAACGTTCACAGAATCCGATGTTCACACCTTGGTTCTACCAGAAGTTACTGAATCAGAAAGGGGCACGTACATTTGTAGAGCTATCAACGCTTATGGTCACGTAGACAGTATTGCTACTGTCGACGTAATATCGCCTAGCGCGATCGATGGTGGAAAACCAGCAATGTTCGTTTCAAGACCCTCGGAAAAATCGATCACAGTCACCGCTGGCGAAGATGTCAGTGTTTCCTTTAGATTCTGTGGTGTTCCTAAACCTCGTGGTAAGAAATCATTGAAACGCCTGCTTGCCAAACTGTGAATATTTCACGATATTTTCATTAAAGCTATAAGAATCAATATGCTTTGATTTTACGTTAAAATAAACAAGAATTAACGTGTTCCAATTTTCATTAAAGCTATAAGAGTGAGAATCTTCTATTTGCATCAAGATTACGAGAATTTAATCTATTATTATTAAAATTGTAAGGATTAATATGTTTCAGGTTTTACATATAAGTTACGAAAATTATCGAGTTTCAGTTTTTATAAAAGTTAGTTGGAATTAAACGTCTGTTAATTTTTATTCATTCGTTGTTTCGCAGTTACGTGGATGAAAGGATTGAGGGACATCACGGACGGTCCTCGATCTCATAAAGAAACCATCGACGATTACGTGAGGCTAACATTGAAGAGAGTGGTACCTTCGGACGAAGGCACGTACTGCATTTTGCTCAAAAACAGACACGGTTGCGATAGAAGTTTCTTCTCGATCAAGGTAAATATTACACGATCACGAAATGATGTACACGATGAGAACTTTCATCAATCATTTTATTAAATTGTTGTCCAGGTGAAGCAGCGAGCTAGGTCTCTGACACCTGAATGGAGCACTTTGAGCAACCGTACCGAGACCGGAAGTTACATCGGCCTGTCCAGCGAGAGCCGCGACGATGATCTGCCCTACGTGAAAAGTAAGAACACGTATTTTTCAAATCAAAAATAGATGAAGAAAAGAAAAATTCTTCTTAACGAGTAATTTGTATATAAATTAGTTGAATCAGGAAACTTTTATCGTAATTTCTGGCTTCCAATGTGTGAATCATGTCATTTCGAAAGATACATTCCGATATCTTGCCAAGAATTGCAGTTCAAACATCCCAAGAGGCATCTCTGTATAAATTATAAGTTAGAAATTTCTGCAATTTTGTTAATTTTGGCACTGATAACGATGATCACCGTTAGAATCGTCGTTTTGTAATTCCATTGCTGATGAAGTGTTTCGAAAAATTTTTAATTTTGTAACTAGTCTCATAATTCTATAGCAAATTGTTTCCAAAATATCTTTCCTATCTATTTATAAAATTATAGATAGTAGAAATACATCTCACCCGGGATGTTCCTCAACTGTTATGCATTACTGATTACGTCATAATACGCACAATTAAATGATTATAATTAGAAGTTCGGCGACAGTGGCTGTAGTTTCACTCGTACACTTGGCCCAGGTTTCAATGGACATAGTCCAAACGAATTAGACTAGTTTCCCTTGAAATGACGTCAATATTTAGGGTGATCATTTGTCGACTCCGACAAACAAAAGGCACAAGATCAACCGATCCTGTTTTAACAAAACATCAAATTCTTTCGAACAATCTTTTCTAACGCAGTAAAGAATAAAATACAATTGTATTACACTTTCGCTAAAAAATTTTACGTGTCAATATTTACAGCAAAAATACTGTTTTCGTTAATTGTTTCGTAACTCTAAATTGAATAATTATGGCAATTAATTTTCTTTAAAAATACTTAAACAATATCCAAAATGCGAAACAAGAGATTACAGAATAAAAAAGTATTCAAGAATAATTATGGCAATTAATTTTCTTTAAAAATACTTGAACAACATCCAAAATGCGAAACAAGAGATTACAGAATAAAAAAGGATAACAAAACTATTATGTAAATAATTCTGATCAATTTACAAGTTGCAAAAAATGATAAAAACAAAATCCGATCGAAGTTCCTTCCTTCGTGATCCTTCGAATAAAATTATAAACATTTCCGATTCACGGTTGATCTCGATGCTGGAACAGAGCCAAGTGTGACAGTTCCTTGACCAAATCTTTCAAATATAATAGCACGGTACGCTGTGTATTAACGAAACAAATGTAATATATCCGATTCACAATTAAACGAAAAGAAACCCAGATGGCATGATTAAATGCTTACACTGAGTACAGAGAAGAGAACTACCAACATTGGAAGGGAATCATGATTCCGAAATTAGAATCAAAGATCCGCAGGTTCATTGCAAATTAATTTCAAATATCTTGAGATCGTTGAGAATTGCACAATACGTATATATTATTTAAATATTTTTCAAATACTTCTTGGAATATTTTATGGAAAATATGGTTGGTTAAGCTGTTTGATAGAATTTTTAATGCTAATATTCAACTCCCCCCAATCGCCAGAAAACGTGTAAAAATAAACATAGCAAAGTGTGGGAACACCTGATTCCTTCAAAGTAGGCCGTCCAATAAATAAACATTCTGGATCGTATTACGGAATTTGTAATTTTAGAGGCAACGCCTTTACACATCTCTTTCCTGAAAACTTTAAAGTTGCTCAAGTTGTTAAAGTTAATCCCGGAAAAAGAACGAAGTTGATAAAGAATTAAGAACTGATTGATTCATATCTAGAAATCGCAGATCACATGTTTTTGTGAAATAAAAATGAAGAAAAAGGAACAAAGAAGGAGGAAAAGTATTATAAGAAAAATTTTCCCATCTACTAAAAGAAATCATAAACATTCTAATAATAGTTTGTCAAATAAACTGTTCCTTTAAAGATTATAAATGAGATAATAGAAAAATGATATTATTTTTATAATTATCAATTATTTTTTTAACAACAATCATATCATTATTATTTAGTAGATTAATGACAATAGGAAAAGACAAGACCTAAAATAATATCAACCCAACAATTAACAAGGAATTTTACGATTTTTAAAATACAATGAATAATACTAACTATAATGTATTGATAGTTAACTATAACTATTAATAATAAGTATTATAAGAAAAATGTTCCCATCTACTAAAAGAAATCATAAATATTCTAATAATAGTTTATCAAATAAATTGTTCCTTCAAAGATTATAAATGAGATAATAGAAAAATGATATTATTTTTATAATTATCAATTATTTTTATAACAACAATCATATCACAATTATTTATTAGATTAATGACAATAGAAAAAGACAACCTAAAATAATATCATCCCAGCAATTAACAAGGAATTTTACGATTTTTAAAATACAATGAATAATACTAACTATAATGTATTGATAGTTAACTATAACTATTAATAATAAGTATTATAAGAAAAATGTTCCCATCTACTAAAAGAAATCATAAACATTCTAATAATAGTTTGTCAAATAAACTGTTCCTTTAAAGATTATAAATGAGATAATAGAAAAATGATATTATTTTTATAATTATCAATTATTTTTATAACAACAATCATATCACAATTATTTATTAGATTAATGACAATAGAAAAAGACAACCTAAAATAATATCATCCCAGCAATTAACAAGGAATTTTACGATTTTTAAAATACAATGAATAATACTAACTATAATGTATTGATAGGTAACTATAACTATTACAGTTATAATATATTATCTAGTTAATAATATACTAACTATAATGTATTGATAGTTTACTATACAGTTATAATATAGTTTACTATTACAGTTATACTATATTATCTAGTTAATAATAATTAACTATAATTATTAACAAAATTACTGGCTGTTATTGGACAAGTAACAGTTGCTCTAAGTCATCGTCAATGCCATCCTCATTGAGCTGACTACAATTGCCAACAAATCAGTGCAACTTTGCCAAGGTATAACGAAACGACAAAGTCATTGACGAGAAACGACGAGAAAGAGAATAGGTGGTTGAAACTTTGATGATCGATTGATTCACTAGCTGAAATAGATGACACAGTTCCAATAAGGTGTAACGATCGTAATGACGAATAAACGACACCACCTACACCTGCAGTTGCAAACTCCGGTGGGAACACCTCTCTCTCGTGTCGAGTTATTTTCGTTTGCCTTGCTTATTCGCCTCCCTCCAACATGCTCGTTATATCCACAAATTCAAAATTCAGTCGGCGTCGGGACGCGAGTTCTTTCGCGTGCCCCACATTTCTCCCCTCGAGCCTTGAAGTCACTTTAATGAAAGAAAATAAATACCTTGACATTTTTTTCTCTTTTTTTTCTTTTTAATTTCTTTCCTTGAAACGCGACCGGGCGGAGTAATTAATTTCTGCGATATAATTATCGAGTAATTATGATTTTCGTAACGTACGACAACGATCCGAAGTCGATGCGAGGGTAATGTGAGGAGGTTTAATTGTGAGGAGGAGATTTGTGATTTTTATCGATGAAAAGTTGCAACAAAATGTGAGGTGAAACCGAAGCGAGGATGAAGCCTCACGATCATGGGATCGTCGTGAACGACGACGAAGATACGACGATTTGTCGTTTGAGGCGATCGTGGTCTGAGAAGGATTGCTTGATCACCGATTTTTTGGAGTATTTGTACGGGCATAGAGGTTAGCTGGATTTTTATAGAACTGTCTGTGATTGAAATAATTAATATTGTAGAGATATAATATAAATAACGTTTATTTAAAGAAAATAATAGAGGAACAAATAATTAAACAAGACAAATTACTCTAAAAGAACTCAAATAAACTCTTTTAACAACACAATTGACATTTTTTAACAGTTCTCTTTCAATACTCTTTCACAACTCGGTTTTTCAACTCGCTCGACTCTGGTGTTCCAATAAAGAAAAGCTCTTCGCTACCTACTTGCATCACATTCATATTTTATCATATTTCTATCAACAAACAGGCCATCTGTTACATTTATACATAACTACAGATTAATTATAATAACCGATATTACAATATCTTAAGTTCGAATCTATCTTAAAACAATTTATTTATGCAAGACGTTTGTGAAAATTGCTACGAAGGCGGAACAAACGATGAACTAAAAAACGATGAATGTCTCAAAACAAGATATACCTTGAGACTAATTGTTTGTACGAAAATTTCCCGAAGATTGATTGATGTAAAAATTTATTGAAATAAGGGTGAGAGTGGTTGTTTCTGTCAGATGTTCCAGGGCCAATTACGAGCGAGCCAGTGGTGGTCGATGGAGGAAAGAACTGGTTGTCTTTGAGCTGGGGAAAAGCAGAGAGGAGAGGACCAGCACCTGTCATCGCTTACAGAGTCGACGCTTGGTTGCTTGGCAGTGACGGTGGTGCACGATGGGTCGAGGTATCATCGATATTATTTCTCATTCTTTCAATCTTGAATCTCGTAGAGTCAAGCATCAAGTGCTGAAAAGATTAACTTGTCCACTGAGAAGGAAGCTATTATTAATATCTAAAAATCAGTTGGCAAAATCATAGAACGAAATTCATTTAGAACTTGAGAATTTCGCAGTATTGCGCACGATGGACATCTCGACAGCTCTCGAGATCTCATACATCACAGCTACGTGAATCTTTACGTGTTAACATAAATCTTTCTTCTGTTGCAATCTGCAATCCTTGAGGACTCTATACAGTAAGAGATGCCACTGTGCTTCAACTTGTCATAATTTTTTACTTTTTAAATCTATCATTTCTCGTTAATGAAAATGAAAAAAATCTTACACCTGAATGTATAAAAATTTGATTTTCTTATCTTCTATTTCGTGCACTTTCAGCTGGGCATGACACCAATAAACGTGTTCGACGCGTTCAATCTGAAACCTGGTGGCGAGTACAAGTTCCAAGTAACGCCACGGAACCGCTATGGATGGGGCGAGTCCGTCACTATGACGAATTCTGTCAAGGTCAACGAGACCGTCGACCTTCCAGAGTTCACGAAGATACTTCCTGGTCAGCTCAAAGTCCTCGAGGGGGCCACGGTGAAACTAGAATGCGAGGCAAGTACGCTGTCGTTGGTCAATCAGGATCAACCTACTTTCGTTCCGGTCGGTTTGCCATTGAACTCGCAATACACGTAATCGGCAATTGGTCAGGAGGCGGCAACAGATTTATTTTGTGAAACGTTGTAGATTCGAGCTGATTCGAAGGTGGACATAAAATGGTACTACGAATCGATAGAAATCAATCCGAACAGTGGCGCCAGATTGTCGATCTCTCACAGTGGATCCAAGTGTTGCTTGACGATTGAGAATGTTCAGGAGATCGATAGTGGAAGATACGTTTGCGAGGCGGGTAATTCGGTTGGGAAAGTGTCGTCGTTTGCTAGAGTTCTGGTTGTCAACGACCCGAAAATTATCGAGGCTGATGAGAAACTTAGATCGAGGTATGCACGATCGATACGAGATCAATGTTTAAAATGATGATTTAAAAACTATAGATATTTGTGTAGATACATTGTCTAGAAAAATATATATTATACACAAAATATCTAGAGATTAAGATAAATTTTTATTTACAGAGTAATATAAATTTCTTTTGAGAATATTCTATTCCCCTCCTATAATTGTATTAATTATAAATTTGCATAAACGTCCACGGTATAACTATAGATTTTCCAAAAAACATCGACATCTTCGAGCAAAGATCAAAAATATGAAATAAAAATCTATATAGCGTATCAAAATTTGTAACACCCACTGAAATTTAATTTGGAATCAGTGAATCTCCTTTCCTATAATTTCCTTTCCTATTCAAATAACTTGAACATATATTATATAATTTCAATTTATTATATTATTCAATATTTGAATAGTATAATATATAATATATTATTTATTATATATCATAAATTATATTATAATATAATTACAATATAATATGTATAATTTTTATTATATATATTAATAATTTTATATTATAATATATTATAATATAATTACAATATATATAATTTTTACTATATATATTAATAATTTTATATTATAATATTATTACATTAATATTATAAATATTAATATATTATTATATTATATATTATGTATTATTAATTATAATATATAATAATACAATATAATATTATTGAATATTTGGATAATATACTATTTTCGTATCAATACGCAGAGCCCTGGGAGACGAAACAGAAGACAGACCACCGGAGTTCACAATGAGACTTCGAGACAGAAGAGTCCAAGTATCCTTCCCGGTGAGACTCACGTGTCAAGTGACAGGAAATCCGGCTCCAGAAGTCACGTGGTATAAGGATGCCGACGAGATTCGTCAAGATGGTAAGTACATCTCGCCGATATTTCCTCTTTGTTCGTACGATTTTCAATTTCAGATTAAATTTCCATTCTTCCTCCGTAGAGCGTCACGTATTTTGGAACAACGATTCCAACTTCTACACTCTGGAGATTATCCACTCGGTGCTGGAAGATTCTGGCTGTTACATGGTAATGGCGAAGAACGCAAGTGGTTCGGTGTCTTGTCGATGTATCCTGGTGGTAGACAAAGGAATTCGCGCTTACATCGCTCCGGAATTTCTCTGTGGCCTTGATGCTGCGTACACCATGAAATTAGGCGAAGATCTGCGAATGACAGCTCAAATAGAAGCGTATCCCAGTGTTGGCATTGTGTGGTAAGCTGGAAATCTACAAATTTTTTACGCTTCAATAACAACAACAACAATAACAATAAGAAGAAGAAGAAAGTACTTTTTTTAATTGTAACACTAATATTATTATAATTATTTTGAGATTAATCGAGGACAAAATATCCGACGATGTAATTGCAGTAAGTTATAACAGTGAAATTGAAAAAAGAATTAAAACAAATTCATTTCTAGCCTATATTTAACTTTTTCGTATCCGGAAACAAGATATGTCAATATAATTTTTACTTGAATCTGTGAATGAAGCATGAAAAAAATTAATATCTATCGAAAGCGTAGAATATCTTATTCATTAAAGAAAAAATTAATATCTTATTTAAAAAAATTTATTTTCAATAATATTTTTATATAATCTATTGTCAAAAAAAATTAATATCTTATGAATATCTTATTTATAAAAAAGATTAATATCCATCGAAAGCGTAGAATATCTTATTCATTAAAGAAAAAATTAATATCTTATTTAAAATAATTTATTTGCAATAATATTTTTGATAGTATCTTATTATTAAAAAAAAATTAATATCTTATGAATATCTTATTTATTAACGTCTATTGATCGATTTGTTCAGGCATCGCGATGGAATTCGTTTACGGCCGAGCAGAAGAACAGTGATGACTTTGAACCACGATGGTACCGTCCAGCTGTCCTTGGCCAAGGTCACCCAAAGGGATGTCGGCGTTTATTGTTGCACAGCTACGAACGAGGTTGGCTGTGCCGAGACTTCAACGAGAGTATCCATTATTGGCACGCAAGACGATGAGACGTTCGTCGAAGGAGTGCCAACTGTGACGATTGCGCCTATGCCAGACATACCGTACGTTCTTCACGATAATCCGTCCGGAATGAAGATCATTTTACATTTACATAACCGAGATGAATTGTATTTAGTTTTGATAAAAATTTGTAGATACTCGAGGGAACCACTTTTCGTCACGAAGCCACTGTCCACCGAGGCGATTGAAGGCGATACGGTCATTATATCATGCGAGGTGGTCGGTGATCCTAAACCGGAAGTGATGTGGCTGCGAGATTTTCTCAGGGTAAGATTGTTCGTTTGCTTCAGTTTCAATGTTGTATAATTTCAGCGATATTTCAAATATTTAAATTACGCGTCAAAGGAACTTGAGTTTTGGCACTATTTGAGGTATTTTAAATATCTGAAATTTGATTTAGAATTTACTATCTTTACTTTTGAAAATAATTATTACGAGAGATTCAGTGAGGAGAATTCATCTTGAACGTATACAAAGAAAATACAAAAGCGTAGAAATATAAAATTATATTTTGATATTTTAAACGAGATTTTTTTATATTGAAGAAAATTTCTCTCTGAGGCAACTCTAAAGAGCTTCTATTTAAAATAATTCCAAAACAACTCTAAAGAACTTTCAAAGTGAGTGTTGCTCTTTTTTCAAACGTTCCTTCACGCGTCACACAAATTCTTCTGCATAAATTCATTTGAAACTTGAACCTCGAATATGCATCAGTTCGATAATCATTAAAATAAAATACACAAATCGCAACTATAGAAACAAAATCAACGACACACACTCGTCACACGACCAACACATAACACGTTCTACGTTTCTCAAACAAAATTGATGGACTTCTCCTTGAACTTTATCGATTCTTCATCAATCATCATCGTTATTTCCCAATCTTCTCAAAACAACGTCGACCGAAAATTGAAAGAGAAATCAGATCGAACTCCATGAAAAAAAATTTCAACTCAAGCGAATCTTTCGCACGAATCGATTTGTATCGCGTGGAGGTCTGTAGATCGGCGGGTGGTTGATCGAATGAACAGGGAACGACGGAGAAAAAGAAAAAGAGAGACGTTGTGCAATTGGTGAAATGACGTGTCCCTAATGCCGTGCTGATCCATGATGTGGGTCAAGGTGATTGCGAAAAAGAAATGACAACGTAACATACCGCATTATGCCCATAAATGGGCCAGGCATTATATGCGTCGGGGAAACGGCATTGATATTGGACGGCACTTTAAAAGGTAACAGTAAGTGAGGTTAGACACCCGGCTCCGGGAGAAAGAGAGAAATTTATTGCTCAATCGTTTGGAAGGTCCCAATAACAATGGGAATCGTCCAGGGGATCTTGTTACTGCGGGTCTGATCACTGAACGGATGAAACTACTTCGAACTACACTGTCGTTCAGAAATATTGAAACACTAAGGGAAATCATAGCTGTCTAAGTAAAAATTTTGGGCATTTGAATTTCCACACGTGCTTCGATCTAATACTTAAATCATTCGTGGTAATTAAATAATATATTAAATTATATATTAATTAGTATATATAGTAGTTAAATAATATATTAAATTATATATTAATTGGTATATATAGTAATTAAATAATAAATAATATATTAAATTATATATTAATTGGTATATATAGTAATTAAATAATAAATAATATATTAAATAATAAAATATTGACGATAGTTAAATAGTTAAATAATCATAGTAGGCAATGTGTCTGAGTCAAACTCTTGAGAATTTGAATTATGACACACGGTAATTTTTAAACCATTTATAATAGTTAAATATATCTTCTTCTCGTGCATTGAAAGAGTACAATGAATTTAATGAATATAACGAGACTATTATGCTATTCAATTCTTTATATACACAAAACGCGACCAATAACTCAGACCATTCAGGTTAATAATTAATTATATTTTAGTATTCGGTGCAAAAGGAGTTGAAATTATTTGCGAAATATTATAGAATTATAATAAACGAATAATGGTCGGAATCCTGTTGAAAAATTTGATGATGAATTGAATGAGAATTAATTGAAAAAGAATTCATTTATTTTCACCTGCATCAAATGTGAAATAAAAATTCTTAAGGATTTTGATAATTTTGCAATTACAATACAGTGAAATTTTCGCAAGTATCCTAATACTTATGAACGGAGGTGTACTTCAGTATAGTTATCTACCCTGTTGGTATTGTTATCTGAAACGGGGATCGTATTCTATTGTATTCATTATTGACGAACGAAGAAAAATTAGCCGTGGTTCAGTTTGACGTGAAGAACGTTTACCAGTTCGACACGACATAATTATTTCCCAAATTCCACTCACGTGTTCGTGTGATGATCCTTTCGTACCAACACTTTCGAGTCTATTCTGGTGATAGCACGCGCGAAACCACGGCCAACGAATGCTAATTAATAGTAATTTTAAATACGTTGACGTCACTCTAACGATGACGCTAAACATCCTTTCAAAGTAAAATGAAAAATAATCGGAAGCGTTAATAATGAAGATTTTTAATTAAATATGCTTGTATATTTAATTACTTAATTTTCATACTATAAATACAAGTATATCATTATCATTTATATATAATATATACATATATATAATATAGTATTTATATTTAAAAAAAAGTAAATAACAATAGATAAATAATACAAGAAGTATATTTGCCAAACAAATAGTAGTTCGGATTTGTGCAAAATCGAAAAGGAAGCCGGAAGAGTGACCATGTATAGTATATATTCGCGTCACGGGGGATATATCTGCATTAATGAAAAGAGTACAGAGAAGAGACTCCCCACTTTTCCCGATCAAGTCGACTTTCTTCGTCGATGGATCGGTAGTGCAAAAGCACCGGCGGCGAAACAGTCGTCGCGTGTCTTTGGCCAACGAACAGCTATTCCTCCAACGATTCCTCCAGATCCTGGCTTTTACGATCGATGAGTGACATGGATACTTTTTGTTCAAACTACTCCGAGTACTCGTTGAAAATCTCTTGACCAAGGAAGTGATATTTTGAGCTGTCTTTTTTTGAGCACTAATCGTCCTATCGACTGATTCTTCTATCTTGGATTTGGATATATTCGATGTGGAAATTCAGAACGTAAGCAGAAACCAATTCTTCTATTTTATTTCATTATTTCGCGTACTTTTGAAATATCTCTTCATTATTTTTGAAATGTTGAGATACTGAGATATTAGAAGAATTACAACAATCTAGCTTGACGTTGAGTTTGATATATTTTTTTAAGGATTTTTTTTATTTTTTTTTTTTTTTTTTTTTTTTGGAGTTGCAATTTTTAGGATTCTTCTTTGGATAAATTTATTTACACTCGCAAGTTCTTTTTTCAACGATTAGTAGTGATGGTAACTTTTGACCATTATTTTGCAAAATTTCATTGCTTTTGAATTAGACGCAAAGTTTAACTTTTGTTTGGTATGTATGTAATAATTACGTGACAAGAGTTAGCTTATCAATCTAAAACTCGATTCATATTTATCAATTTTACCGTTATGTTTCTTCTTTCTAAAATATAAGATACTAATTAAGTAAATTTACTGAAAAAGAAAACAAACACCGAAGTAGTTAAAAACATGCGAATATTTTTATTTTATTTATGTATTTTCGAAACAATACTCGATGGTTCTTATTATTCAATACCAAATTTGCACAGGTCTGCGAATTCGTTTTTCTGCATTTTCCACAGCTGATGTTTTCTTTTCTACTTGACGTCAAATTTACATAAATCTATGATATTACTCGTATAAACATTTTCACGAATCCCGCAGATGTTATTCAATATTTTCTTCTACGACTTCTTTCGTGCATAAATTTATTACATTTAGCAAATCGAATATTTAAACCAAGCGTGTTTTTTACATAACTACAAAAAGTAACTTAAATGTATGCAAATTATGAACAGAATGCTCATAATGCGCGAAAATATATCAAATATTTAGACAGATAATTATATAAAATAATTAAAACTAGAGCTGTCAAACGCGTGATTAAAGTGCAAACTTGATATGTTAGAGAAATTAAACTGTAAATCTGAAAAGTTTCGATGAAAAATTGCAAATTAATTATTTTCACCACGCTGACATTTCTAGTATCAAATTTCTGTGTACAAGTTCCACTTTCTCAATGACAGTCACAATGATATTGATTTGCATTAAAAAAGATCCTTCTCTCGATCGAACAATTATATTATTCCCACGCTCCTTTAACTTAGCCAATTCAATTTCTACAAATCTATTACGCTCAATATCACTCTCTCTCTCTCTCTCTCTCTCTCTCTCTCTCTCTCGTTTGATGATAGCGCCATTCTCACTTTTATCGGTGAAACTTTTATGCGGTTCGATCCGAGTTTATTGAAATATCATCGAGGATCTAATCAGATCTGTAAGATCTCGAAGCCGTGATCTCCGCGGCGTGAGTCATCCGTCGATCTCGGCGGTGTTCGTTAGGACATTCATCGAACTGGTCGACGCTTAAGCGCGAATGTCAGCGCCTGGTCGCCGTAATATTGGCCGAGTCCGAGTTGCCTCTCTCGTTCTTACGTTCCGTCGCGCGATCGGAGGGACGCGACGCGTCACGACTACCAATGTGCACCGCCAAATACGTCCAAGTTTGTTTTCAGTGCAGCTGCAACTGCTAAACGGGGAGAAACGAGCGACGATTTCGCGATAGGGACCGATTCTCGTCGCTCAAAAAATCGCGAACATTTCTTGCCTGTCGAATTTTAATTGGGAAATTTGCCAATGGGTGGTTCAAATAGTTTCGAAGTCAAATGTTTCGATTGCATTTAATAAAAATATCTTTACACGAATTAATTTGCTAACAACGGTAATTTCTCGTCTGAGATTAATTACGAATCGTCACAGTTATTTATTTTGACTAATATTGTGCGTATAGAAGAGTTTATTATTATTCAAGTATAGGACCATCTATCACAGAGGTGAATTTTTTGTTATTATAATACGATAGTTATATAAAATCGTTAAAATAATTAGACGTGACAAAGTGCTCTGTGAAGAATATTAATTTTTCATCTGAGCTTGACAAAAAGTCATAAAAATCAAACCTCGAACTTTAGTAAATATTTCACTGATCTGTCATTTAAATATATCCTAGTAGAAATTGAAAAATATTATCTCTGAGTGATCTTAATAAAAAGACTACTGCACAAATTTTTGATATTAATATTATTTATATATAAATAAACAATTATGTATATATTTAATATAAAAATATAAAAATATAAAAATTATACATATATATATTATTATTATTGAAATTCTATATATATATTATTATATTTTAGAGTATTTCAGAGTATTTATATATAAATAATATCAATAATATATATATATATATATATATATATAATTTCAGTAATATACTTTCAATAATTTCAATAATATATGTATATATCCTAGTAGAAATTGAAAAATGTTATCTCTATGTGATTTTAATAAAAAGACTACTGCACAAATTTTTGATATTAATATTATTTATATATAAATAAAAAATTATATATATATTTAATATAAAAATATAAAAATATAAAAATTATATATATATTATTATATTTTAGAGTATTTCAGAGTATTTATATATAAATAATATCAATAATAATATATATATATATAATTTCAGTAATATACTTTCAATAATTTCAATAATATATGTATATATCCTAGTAGAAATTGAAAAATGTTATCTCTATGTGATCTTAATAAAAAGACTTCTGCACAAATTTTTGATATTAATATTATTTATATATAAATATAAATAATATTAATAATAATATAAATAATATTAACTATTATATATAAATAATTATATATATTATATATTTCATATTATATATTTTATATATTAATATAAAAATATACAAATATAAAAATTATATATATATTATTATTATTGATATTATTATTATTTATATATAAATAATCTGAAATAACACTCTGTCAACTAAAAAACAAAATTATTGCCAGGGGCGCAGAGTTTTTACTCGCCTACGCATTCATCGGCAAGCAGATTTCCTTTATGTCGGCAATCTGTTTTACACGCATAAATATAGATCTATATAAGATGACATTGCAAGAAGAAGTCCTTGCAGTAGCCGGCTCTGCTTCGGTTTATGGCGCCTCTCTTCCGTAACGGGAAGTGTCGTCCGCATAAATTTCATCGTAGGCGAACCGAGACAGGTGAAAGACAGATGGGTCTCAGAAGATCCATTATGTCACGATTCGAGAGTTCGAGCATTAGAGATACTGAAAACTTCATTTCGCGATGACAACCGCGCCGCTATAAATCAAAGTCGGTTTCGGTGTTTGACATGTTTCTCCACACTGAGTATCGAATCCTGTTATTACGTGTTTTGAGCCTTTTGTCGCATTAAACTTAGACTTGTCGACGACAGGGAAAAATATCCTCGATATTAAATCAATTTAAGGGAATTATTTTATTCCAAGGTGGTAGATCGAAAACAATGAAGTGCAATTGAAAGTCGGATGTTTACGATTGTCCAGTAAAAAAAAAAAAAAAAAAGAAAAAAGAACAATCAAGCCATTCCTTCTCGGCGACCTTAATTTTCGAGGGTTTAAGAAGGGCGTGTCCGACAAAGAGACGCGCAATTAGCGACGAGAAAAGAGAAAAAAGAAAGAAAAAAAAAAAAGAAGGGTAATATGCGTTGGCACTCGTGTCATACGAGCAACGAGATCAGTCTCGAACGATCTGCTTCAACTTTCGCTCCCTATATGGACTAGAGCCCCGACGAAGACGGTTCCCGTCTCACTTTTATCAACGCTTCCTTCTCTTTCTACCCGATTTCATCTCTAAATATCTAGAACATTTTGTCAGTTCAATTCCACGGCCAAACCTTTGAATTTCTGAACGATGTTCACTTGAAATTGGAGAAAATCGGCACGGTGCTCGAAGGACATTACAAAATTTGCAAATTAAGTAGAAGAAACTAGAGTGAAAATTGAAAATTTTGCAAACGGACGATGACAACGATAATTCTACTTGTCAAAAAAAGAGTATACCGTGGGAATAAGTATATTGAGAATTCTTGCAAGATGAAAAATCTCTAGATTTTGCAAAGAAACGATAAAAGTAGCCGACTGTCGAATCACAAGGGGTGATCTCAATGTGGGCGTTGAAAGTCACGGAAATGTCAGTATTTTCCATTTCGAGATCACTTCCCGTCAACAGGAAATCAAAACTTCTAAATGATGTTTCTACTCTCGACTTTGATGGTTCTTCTGGCGTGAGTTCGCGTTGGATATTTATGCACGCACTCAGATTACGCGTTATCGTAGTCAGCAATAAAAAGTTGCGTTCAGTAGCGCGAGATCGCAGAGTGCGTCTTGATAAACACAACGAATACGCATTTGTGACGCTTGGTGACGACTTGGTAAAGATTTCTATCCTCTGAAATATGTTACGAGAGTGTTGTTTCGTTTGATCTGTTTGTAAACGCGAAATACATTTATTTATTTATAAAATTGTACATTAGTTTGAATGGTTTGTGATTGGTTCCACTGATCTGAGAGAAAGAGAGAGAGAGAAAGTCCTGTCTATGATTTTTCATTCTAAAAATAGGAAGTCATTTTTAAATAACTAAATTCAACAGGAATTCACTTAATCATACAGTGACTGAACTTTCATATCAATAAATTGAGCTCTGTTTTAAATTCTGTGTAATTGACTACATTCTCCAGTGAGTCATAAAATTGTTCAAACGATCAAGAATGTAAAAATATATGGAATAATAATTCAGTAATGAATAGTAAAAAAAAACAACTTTTTAATTCCAATAATAGATACTTTTTATTTCGAAATATCCAGTTACAGTTTCATCATCCCAAAAAATAATAAATTCTTATCGATAATTATTGATAAATTCTTAAAAGTATTATATTTAAACTTATAAAAAATAATATAATTCTAAAAATTAATATTCTTACAAATTAATTTAAAATAATTTTATATCTTTGAAGGCACAATTCAATATTTTCATTTAACTATTTAAGTAAATCATTAAATTAAAAGAAATAAATTTACTGGAAATAAATGTATAAATAATCTTAAAACAATTTATTGATTTACAATTATAAACTTTAAAATTTATAAAAAATTTTCCATGTTCAACAAATCTAAATAAATATGCCGAATAAATAAAAGACAACAAACAATAAATTATTAAAATAATAAATAAATATTTATAAATCAATAAATTAAACTTATTAATAATAAAATTTCTCTGATTAAATTTAAAGAAAAAGATTACGACCTACATTAACAAATTAAATTTCTCTCAATCGTGCGAATAATTTCGTGAATCACTGTTTTACCCCCGATTATTAATACTTCAATCTGTGTTTTATGAATCTCTCTGTTAGTTTTAATTTTCACTGTTCTTTTACAGCCTGATTACTACAGGGACGCAGCCCACTTCCGGCTGGTCGGCGAAGGACCTCAGTACCGGCTGGAAATACCGTACGCGAAACTCGACTTCACGGGAACGTATTCCGTAATAGCGCGGAACTGCCATGGGGAGGCCAAAGCCGTGATATCTTTGCAGATCTACGCGAAAGGTAACTCCTTAGCATTCGAAAGAAGCACGAAGCACCATGGACAATTTGCTTAGACGAAAGGATCGTGTATTATGCTTTCAGGTCAAGGCAAGGAGGAGAAAATGAAGAAATCAGGGGTCACGCACGGGTAAGTGGTACATTCGTGTATTCCAGATTATACCACGTAGGTAAAATTTTGTTACACGGCATGACACCAGTCACGTAACTTTGCGAAACGATCATTTAACGTTGGCCAAGCGACTCTCTCGATCGTGTTTACTAAATGACGAATTTCTCGATTTGGCAGAAAGGTGCTGACTTTGCCGGTAATCACGAGGGAACTGCGAGATCTAAGATGCTGCGACGGAGATGCTGTTGCCCTTGAGTGCAAGGTACACGCCACTCCCGAGGAGCCATTAGTGCGGTGGGAACGTGGAGGAAAGGTAAATATTAATATTAATTCGCTTTCCTCTTTGGTTTCGTTTCCTACTTAGAGGAAAAGGACGATACACGAAGAATATGAAATATCTAACATACACCTTTGTGGTATTTTATGGATACTTTTGCACGTAAATTAAAAAATTGGATTCTCAATTTGCTTTCCGAAGAGTTAAGTACTAAATTAATATTGTAATATTAAATTAATATACTAATACTATTATAATATTATAATATTAGATTAATATAATATATATAATTAATATAACTTTATATTTGAATGTAAGTATATTATGTTTTGTATATTATACTATATATTTTTATATTTTAATATTATATTTTATATATTATACTACAAATTTTTATATATGTAAACACAATTAAATAATAAAATCTACGGTTAAATAATAATATCACGCCATTACACGCTAATTTAGAAACGCAACAACAACAATTTTACAACAATTAATATTTACCGTTTAGATTCTCCAAATGGGGGGCGATTTCTCCGCTGAATTCGACGGAGAGACCGCACGCCTGTGCATCCAGCACGTATATCCGGAAGACGAGGGCGAGTACACATGCGTGGCATACAACGACCTTGGGAAAGCATTCACGTCAGCGTGTCTAATAGTGGATGGTAATTTCGTGTTTAATTCACGATCGTTTAATAAGGCAATATGGAAACGCCAAGTGATACAAATACGTGAAACCTTCGCTTCAAATTTAATTCAATTACTACTGTATATCTGCAATGTATGTAAATCGCTTCTATCGAGTGCAGCCAGATTCTGCCTTTACTGATATTTCTCGATGATGAGACACGCGTTTGCTACCTACGTTCTTGAAATACTCGCGAGGAAAGAATATGGAGAGCTACGTGTTTGTAAATTATCATTTTGTTTCAATGCGCTTCAGTGCCCGAAGGGAAAGAGAGTATACTGAGCCAAAGATTGACGAGGCCCGCAGGACTTCTGTCGGCAGGATCTACACCAAGATCGACGCCACGCTCGACACCGATTAGGACTCTGTCTCCTGCAGTTTCACGTATGTGTGAAGAATTGATCGATAAAATGCAGATTGGTCAAGTCAGACTCTTGCAACTTTTGGAAAACACACACCACTAACAATAATTTGAAGTAAAATTCAGAATAATAACTATAATCCACAATACTAATTCTCGTTCAATTTTAATGTTAATTTTAATATACAATGAAGACAATTTAAATAAGTAGTAACTGTAACCCATAATAATATCCCTTTTTTAATTTCAATAAATATATTTCTCCTTATATAATAAAATTCACTTAATGGAACAACGTTCAATAATAATAATAGAAAAGAAAAAATAATTTTACCTCGTTATTATTGAACGCTGCTTGATTAGGTCAATTAAGTGAATTTTATTACGTGGAGAAATTTTTTTTTTTTTTTGAAATTAAAAATGGGATTATTGCTGATTGCAACTCGTTGTTTTGTTGCTGAAGAGTATTGACGAGATCGAAAGGAAAATGCAACAATTGCAGATGGTCGAGAGTTAAGGTCTCCGCAGCTTCTCCCACGAAGCAGGTCGATGTCGAGACGGCCAAAGATCAGTCCACCGAAATTTTACGCGGTGCCGCACAATCGAGTGGTCGAGGAAGGGGAGACCGTGCGATTCCAATGCGCTGTGGTCGGCCATCCGGCTCCGTGGGTGAAATGGGACAAAAATGGCATAATCGTCACGCCGACTGCGAGAATTTCGATAAAGGAAAGAGACGACGTGAAGATACTGGAAATCGTCGAGGTGACCCAGGAAGACGCCGGACTGTACAGAGTGATCGTGGAGAACGATTATGGTCGCATTGAGGCCAGTGCTCGCCTGGAAGTAATAAGTACGTTTTATCCTTTATATCGTTAATTATTAATATTTTATATTACAAGGGTAAAACTTTGGTAGGGGTGTAATAATTAGACAAATTGAAAATTCTTCTTGCTCAAGTATAGTTTACACACGGAAGTTTAAATTTTTGTAAACAAAATGAAACAGAAATCAAACAGAAATTTGTTTCACTCGTTAGATATTATAACAAGTACTATATCTTGAATATTTTACGCATTTATATGCTTATATATTTATATATTATATTTGTATGTATATTTGTATTATATTTGTGTATATTTTCTACAAATGCGTAAAAATCTGCAAAAGTTTAATAGTTGCGACATCGTAATTATATAGCCACGTAATAGTACGTACAACAATTGATTTTTAAATGGATATTCCGTAGAATATTCACTGTTATTAATTCTTATAATTTTTATTATTTGTTGAGAAAGATCGTCAGTTACTTGGATCGGTTGCCAGAACAATCAGAACCAGAAGTGCATCGCCTAGAACCTATCCATCATTTAGCCGAAGTCTGTTAGACACGACTACCAGAATAAACGGAAGATTATACCTCGATTGTGGCATCAGAGGAACTCCTAGTCCAACACCAACATGGTTCAGGTAAAATTTTTTCGTCTGTACGCTCGAACAATTGGTATTTATTTCGATGATTTCATTATGAAACTGTTCAGGCAAATTTCTAACTCTTCCTACATTGCAAGAAACTTACTAAAGTTATTATATGGTAGATTATTTCTTCGATAGTCTGACTAAAAAGTGGCTACTCGATCGAACTTGTGAAATTGAAGAACAGTTCTTGGAGAATAAAATTAATTTTCTACTTTTATTAATTTTCTACTATAATTGGATAGTTTTATACACTATTTTTTTTTTTTTTTTAATGTAACGAAGAGAGAAGGATTCATTCCATAATCACAACTATGAAGGATATAATTTCAAGCTAGCTAAATAATGTTGCATCTCGCTATTGTCATCTTCGGACTCAAAGAGTTAGACTTGAGACTTCAAAGATCTTTATCTCAAGACCAAAGAACGTTTTAGTTTCCCATGCCTGTCTTTCACTATCCAACGACAAAAATTCATAAATCTCGCAGTGTCTAAAACATCTTGCGACAATGGTTAGCTATCTAATTGTTTCTGCGTCGATCTCGAATCGTGTAATTTAGGCAGAATTGAATAAATTCTAGTTTCCTAGAATAGAATCGCCATTTCCAGTCACAAATCGCGTCAAGTGTGTAGGAAGAGAGAACACAAATGATTTTCAAAGACACGTGGCACAGTCTTTGCGTACTTTCTTTTCAAATGAATTAAACAGAGCGACCAACGAGAATATAATAAATCGTTTGAAAAACGAACGATTTCAGAAATGGACGGCCGTTGGAACGATCGATTCGAATAAAAAGGTACTTCGACGGCAAAACTGCGAAAATCGAAATTTTGAAAGTGAAAGCGAGCGACGCGGGCGAGTACACCTGCGTGGCAACGAACGTCCTTGGTTCTACGAAGAATTCTTGTCAGGTAAATAATCTTAGTCGCATGCTAATTACGTGTATTTGTGCATTCTGCGAGAAATTATATATGTTTTTTCTCTCACGATGGGAAACAATTATTTTCATAATCACAGGTGACCGTTCTTGATCCTTACAATCCGTCTACGTGCGACAAGGATCCACCGAAATTTTTGCAGTCCCTTCCAGAGGAGTCGATCGTCATGGAAGGTCACTGTTATGAACTTCAAACGAGACTCACGGGTATAATAAAAAAAAGATATAATAATACAATACAATATAATATACAAATATAATAAATAATATAAGTCAATTTTCTCACGATCTGTAAATTTCTAGAGTCCTCCACTTTTTATCGAACTTTCCAAAAGTCGAGCCGAGCAATTGTAATTTGTAAATTTCCATTTCACTTCTTAACTATTTGACAGTTAATGTTCAATTTCCCAAACATTGAATCACTTATTTCTATGAATATATAACGCCATAAATAATTCTGAAATTCTATGGCTAACTCACTGTCACAGAGTTATATCCACTTGTCAATTTATGGAGTTGATCAGTGTGACACTGTAATGTGCCTGCGATGAATTCTTTCGACTTATAAGGGATGAAATTAATCGCGCCAATTAATGTAAATGGTCGACGATATGATTCAACGGATATGAAATCTTGTCTGTCAGGTACACCACCATTTTCGGTGACTTGGTTAAAGGACGGTCGTGAGATACCTGACAACAATTACCATAAATACGTCGTATATGGCGATGGTGGTATCGCTTTGAGATTGTCCAATGTTTGTCCACAAGATGCTGGCGAGTACACTTGCCTCGTTCGCAACAATTTCGGAGAAGTATCCAGCAATGGCCTGTTTGCTGTTCAAGGTAAAATTTTATCTGAAAATTCATTCTTACAGGATATGACTCATGCAACACTTCAGACAGGATATCTCTCATAATTAAATATTTAATATTTGACGTCTCTTAAGTGTTTCTACGTGCATCTCGTTCGAGGATTCAATCGTGCACCAATTTAAAATTATACTTTGACATTTGCATTAGTACTTTCTTTTACATTTTTTTTTAATAACATCTTCATATTTTTATTTATATTTCGTTTGAAGCTTCTCTGTTACTTTAACATTTCAATTTTATTATTTTCTCGAACATTTTTGTTCAGAGATTTTACAGCAACTTGAAGCATGTCCAATATTGTAAGTATATTCTGTTTTCTGCACAGATTACAAAGGCATTCCGAAATTGGCGCCACAGTTTACGAAAGCCCCAGTGTCGGTCATCGCATTCAAAGGCGAGACTGTCGGTTTCTGTGCTCGAGTACAATGTGGAAAACCCATGGAGATCATGTGGACGATCAACGGAAAGGACGCCAGAGGAAATTCAAGGTGCAAGGTACGTCCACTCAAGAAGTAATTTAAATATTTTTTTCATTTGTAATTTGTTCCTTACGTCTCTCTTCTTCTGCATTCAGATTGAAAAAGACGATAACGTTAGCATTCTTAGGATACACGATGTACAGCCGCGAGATACCGGTGAGATTCGTTGCACTGCGTCTGTGATTGGAAAGGGGCCGTCAATCAGTTGCACAGCAGAATTAAGACTAAGTCGGACAGTAGAAAATTTCGAAGGCTCGACATACCATAACGCGTGCGAAATTAAAAATGAAAGACCACCGAAACCTCCTACTCGTAGCCGTAACAATTCACTCAAAAGGGCAAGAGACGTGCCATCTTCCCCACGGAATGAACGATGCGAGTTCCCTGCACGAACCAGATCATCCTCGTTACCTCTCCGATCTACGCCGAGTCCCAAACAATCTCCTACGCCAGCGAGGAAAATTAATCCTCCAAGTCCGTCGCTCGACGCCGGGAAAACACTGGCGACCAACAAAAGGAAAGACATTCGTTCCAAAAAGTTTGAGCGCAAAGTTACTCAACGAGTGTGCCGACGGGGGATTTCGTCGTCGTCGGAAGACGAGGAAGAGCCGAAGGATACTTCCAGTGGAAAATCTCCCGAAGTATCGAAATTAGTAGAGAACAAAGAGGAAGCTGTGCGCAGTTTGTCGGAGGTTTCTGACTTGCGTAAGACTGACAACGGTGCGAAACAAATGCAGGATGGTTACAATAAGCACGATGATACGCCTATAATATGCACGGAGAGCGCTCTGCAAGAGTTGGAAGAGGGTTCAGTCGCGGAGAAGAGCGAAGCGATCGTGGCGAAAGAGGAGAAAGTTGCAATTAGATCGGAGGAATTCGTGGCTGCTAGTATTGTAAAGGTACCGGCTGACGTCACGGTTTTCCGTGGAAACAGAGTAGTCCTCAGGGTCACGTATCGAGGCCATCCGGAACCAATCGTCAAGTGGCTTCGAGCGGTGAATATCACTTGTATCTTGTTTTTTTCTTTCTTTTTTTCTTCAAATTTCTCTGTCGAACGTGTTCGACGTAGCTAGAGAACAAAATACAAGAAGATTTTTGTTCTTGATACGATTAAAGACAGTACTGTTTGCTGGACAAGGCAATCTTTCTTCGCGTGGTATCGTCAGTTCGTTAAATGAAATCAGTATATCTGTCCGGAAATAAAGTACTTGAAATCTTTCATAAATATGTGATGTAAATTTCATTGGCGTTAAAACAGGACATGACTATATCGCGAGTGCATTGATGAGTAAGAAGTTACAAAATATTTATTACGAACGTATGGGTTCACAGAAGTCGGAATATTTAAAACTGTCAATTTATGTTATATCGATATACTTCGATATAGTTGACGATATTATGTAAATAACGATTGTCCTGTAACTTTTACATATTACGTATCATTTAAATAAATTTGTCGAGATAAATATATAAGAAACGTATCTCGTTTACGGACTGCACAAAACATAAAACTCTCATTATATTTAGAGGATTAAAAGATCATTTCTTTACTTGAATTTACAATTTAATCGAATTAATTTAATACACACGTATACATTAGTCAGCTAGTTACTTTACATAAATTTCCTGTAATAAATATTCAAACACTCTCGTGAGTCACTATGTATATACTCAAGAGATAACAGTAATATCACCTTAACAAGACCTAATTGTATCTTAATAAAAATTGGGACTTCAGTGACGTATTTAATTCCGTATAATCGCGTACGATTATTTGCAATTACATAAATATAGCAACTAACAGATACGTGCCTCTATATGTCGTTCATGTGAGTGAGTTTATGTATGTGTATGTCCGTAGAATCGTTTATGAGCGTCGATCAGTCAGTCGTAGTCGCTCGTAGCTATCCGTAGTTACTCACGTTCAATCAAGTATTTAATCGAGAATTTTTATTAAAGGGTCGAGAGTTGAGTGCAAACAAAAAGACTGCGATCACCTATGGCGGTGGAGTGTCTTGCTTGATATCGGACGATGTGACTGCTGACAATGCCGGAAAATACGAGGTGTCCGTGGAAAATAAACTGGGAAGAGATCGACGGTGTTTCAGTGTCGCCGTCGAAGGTACGTGAAAGAAATATTAATCTTCAAACGTAGTACCGTTGGGTTGTAGATGGCTGCAGTAATTTATTTTAGATTACTAAAATTTTGATTATTTAAATTGTGGATTTTAGAGTGAAAAATTTCTATATAATAAATAATAATATTTATTTTATATATATATATATATATATATATATATATATATATATATCCTTATATTATGTACATTATTATTATATTTTACATATCAGCAGAGAATAAAATTACGTACCTATTTAGGCTTAAATTGTTGTGGTTCCCAAAGTCCAACGATACTGCTTAATAATTAGAATTAACCAACAAGTCATTAGTCACGTACGAATAATTATATAAAATTGTAAAAAAATTACATTGATATTTTTTATGTAAATGTAGGCTTAAGTAGAAATAAAACACACTTGTTCAAACTGTCTGCATAATCAAGGGCCATAAAATACTGTGTACAGAGCTTTGAAATGAACAGTGTTACATCACTCGTTTAAACTTACGACCTCATGTATGTAGCACAAAACACATGTCTGTGTTTCCGTCTACAAACTGTATGAAATTAAAGATAGTTTATGGTATCAGGGACATTAACAGTTTGAAGTTATCTTGCAGAGCATAATTAAATATGAGCTACAAGTTATAATGTGATTCCTATATCTGTTATTTCTATTTTCTTCCATAAAAATTAATATTGCCAGAATAGAAAAGAAACGCGAGAGAAAAGTAAATATAATAGAATTTTTGTAGAACATTGTTAATTAATACACGACAGTATACTTGACAGTGAATACACACGTGAGAAAAATTGAGAAAATTCGTGGAAGCAAGTAAAGCGAGCAATCGTAGGAATGAACTTGTCAATTATTTTGAAACCAATCATTCCAAAGCTAATTTCAAAGCTTCTCTTTTGAGAAAGTGTGAAGAATTCGTGGAAGTAAAGTAATTCTAAAATTTCAAAACCTGTTGCAACTTCTGAAAAAAAAAGTATAAAGCGAGGAACGTGGGGAATCGCAAAAAATGTAATTAATCAATTTCGAAATTTGTCGCCTCTGGTAGGAATGAAAGGAGACAAATAATCATGTTTTCGCTAATTTCGAAATCTCTAGAGTTCTCAAAAATATGGCTACAAAATATGTTAGTACGTAGCCATATTTTCCAATGAATCATTTTTCAACAGAGTTGAAAATGATCTATTCTTCATTTTCTTTAGTACCAAATGTTTGTAATTATACGAAAATATTGTTAAAGAAGTGGAAAATTTAATATACATAAAGACCAGAGTAATTAGCATATGGTAAAATGGTGAACACATATCGTGTAAATATCTTCACGAAATTGAGAGAAACGAAAGTGACGAAGAATCGAAAAGGAGCTTTCGACCCAATTTGAACGAACGACTTCGACTAATATGAAATTTTGTCGTACACGTCGGTGTCTGGAAACGCAATTTAGAACGAGACGACCATTGTTCCGCGTGCGTAAGCGCGTGTCACACGGTCCAATTCCGCTTCTTATGTACAAGGCAGACGACAGTCTCACGTGACGTATCGCGCAACAATTCCTCCTTCCCTCGATTCTACTTCCACCTCCCCCACCGTCAGCTTCGTCTACACTTCCTCTTTCCTCGGGATCACGATGAAACAAACCAGTTCTGAAAAACGTGCGTGCGCCGTGGAAGCCCGAGCAAGTCGATAATTGTCTAGAATGATTCGCCGCGCCGGAAACACCGAGAAATTCTCACGTTGCGGTTTCGTTTAGTGCTCGAAACAATTTTCAAAGTTGTTTGTCGTGTGGTTCTTTCGTCGAGGAGGAAGGGGAAGTTAATTTTCGGGGAAGAATGGGTAATGAAAAGTTATTTCTATATTATTGGCTGTCAAAAACATGATTGCGAAAAGATGTATGAAATTCGCGTAATAATCGATCGTTGTCACATGCGGCGCGATGACAACACTTGCGGAGGATGATATTCTGTAGTAAAAGTCTTTTCATAAATTTTTGTGGAAATGGTTAATTCATCTTTATGCGTTGCACGTTGTACGGAGATTTATAACTTTAATTTGTTCGATTGGCGAGGTTGAATCGAAAGGAGGAAAAGTATGGTTTGCACGGTTCTTGTTTATAATTTCAAATCGATCGTTGAACGTGACGCCCTTGAGACATTCTTTAGCGGCAAATAAATTTAAGAAAAACTGGCCAATTTAAAAACAAACGGTACCACCGAGGCGACATATGTTCCAAGTCTTCTTACAAAGCTGTACTCTACTCAAAGGGACTATAACTAGAAATTCTTTATGTTTCTCGCAATATGAAACACTTAAAAATAGGAGGTAGACATAAGTTATACTTTGAATAATTTGTTTCAAAGTTTGATTTGTTTATGCACTTAGGAAAATTTTAAATAAGCAAAAGTGCAGAGAATATAAAAGTGTACGAAGTATCCGAAATAGTAAATCACTCGTTGTAATGTTTATAGAGTGAAATAAATGTCTCGTAAAGATATAGATTTGAGTCAATCTTGAAAGCTGTAATTAGTAAATTTGGAGCACTTCTTTCCATAAGTCACGAAACACGTTTAAACAGAAAAATTAATAAGATAGCCTGTAATGAAATCTTCAAAACATACTGCAATCTACTTTTCATATAATTGAAATAAATATGTAATTTATATAATAAATTAATAAATTATATTAATTTAATATAATAAATATATAATATATCATTATATTAAATATATTAAATATATTATTAATTATTATTTATATTATTTATATAAATATTATATAAATTTTAATTATTTATATTAAATATATTATTAATTATAAATATAATATTATTTAATATTACAATTATTTGTATTAAATATATTATTAATTATTATATTATTAATATATATAAATATATGATAAATTAATAAATATATTTTCATATAATTTTCTAATAATTATCAACTTCATTTAACAATTTTTAATATTCATTCATACCTAATCTCAATATATTGCGGATTTATGTGACTCATGAACAACAGAGTGTACATCCACTGTTTACATTAACTTTCGCAATTTTTGTCAAAATTAGTCGCGTGTAATAATTTCTGATGAAACAGATTAAACAAACAAGTCCGCGAATTTTTTCACAGGTCCACCCGACCCGCCAGCAGGTATTCCGAACGTATGTTGTTCCACGGGGACAGCGACCATCAACTGGCGGTCATCTCCCTACGATGGTGGTTGCACAGTAACCGGTTACACTGTGGAAATGAACCGTGCCGGTGGAAACACTTGGATGACGATCGCAGAATCCTGTCTCTCGCTGAGCCTCGCGATACCAACCGTTGAAACAGAGACCGTGACACCTGGTGAGAGATACCGTTTCCGTGTAAGAGCTGAAAACATCCACGGGGTTAGCGAACCTGGACAGGAATCTGAATTCGTTCAAATTCCGAAGGAAGGGGAAACGTGTCTGCAGAACGACGAGGAAGGTAAATACGAATTTGTAAACGAGATAATATATTTCATTTCTTCGGATTTTCATGTTCGAATCGGTGTCGCCTCGGCGAATAGAAAGTTTGAGTAATTTTTGAACGAAGATTGAGATGAGATGATTTCATCTCTTTCTTCGAACTTGAGTTTGCAAAAAGTAAAAGAAGAATGCGATTGATTCAGTCAAGAAACGCAGCAAGGTTTTAAATATCAATCTCTTTGCTGAAATTTGACATTTTAAACATTGTCATTTTAAAATTTGGACATTGGGCATTTTTTAAAATTTTTAATTTAATCAAGTCTTATTATTAATCTTTGTTTTGGAATGTAAGTTTTGTTCCTCTGAGGGAACTGTAAGAAAATGAACCAAAGACAGAAATACGGAATCGAAACGCAAACATAAACCTGACTTCTCAAAATGACATACAAAAAGTATTAAAATATCTCAAAAACATAAACTACTACACACATATCTAATGGCACCGTCGTCGCTAATGTCGATGCGACATTAAAAAAAAAAAAAGAAGAAGAAAATGAAATTGAACGATGCATGTCTGTATATTGTAACGAAGAAAGTATTTGTTGTTTCCAGAATTCGAGCCACCGTTCGAAGCTCGAATCGTAGAAATGGAGAATGGACAATTGTTTAACGATCGATACCAAGTATTGGAGGAGTTGGGTAAAGGTCGATACGGAACTGTAAGAAGGGTGGTCGAGAAGTCTTCAGGTACAAGTTTCGCGGCGAAATTTGTCAGGACCATCAAAACGAAGGATCGAGAGCAAGTCCGAGAGGAAATTCGAATTATGAACATGTTGCGGCATCCGAAACTGCTTCTTTTGGCAGCTGCTTTCGAAAGCCCTCGAGAAATTGTGATGGTTACCGAATAGTAAGCTTCGGTGTTAAATTAAATTCAACTTTGATTTGATTTATAAATTCACACTTACTAACTTATAAAACGTACACTCTAGTATTTCTGGCGGCGAGCTTTTCGAGAGGGTGGTTGCCGACGATTTCACCCTGACTGAAAGAGACAGCATACTGTTCATGAGACAAATCTGCGAGGGTGTCGAATATATGCATCAGAACAAAGTGGTGCACTTGGATCTGAAGGTAAAAGAGGAAAACACTTTTTCAAGGAAAGTGTGAGATTGCTGTTCGGACAATGCTGAAATTATCTTCTTAATTTTCCTTCAATTCACTTCCTTTACAGCCCGAGAATATAATGTGCAGAACACGAACTTCCCATCAAATAAAGCTCATCGACTTCGGTCTAGCACAGACCCTCAAGCCAGACACGCCGATCAGAGTACTTTTCGGCACGCCAGAATTCATTCCGCCAGAAATAATAAGTTACGAACCGATCGGTACCGAGTCGGACATGTGGAGCGTCGGTGTAATCTGTTACGTCCTGTAAGCGATCAAGATGCTTGACTGCAATCTCTAGGAATTCGTTACGTAGTTAACAAGGTTGTAAATGTTTAGCTTAACCGGTTTGTCGCCATTCATGGGCGACAACGACGCCGAAACCTTCGCCAACATTACTCGAGCCGATTACGACCTGGAGGACGAAGCCTTCGATGCAATCTCGAACGACGCTAAAGACTTCATCAGCGGCTTGCTTGTCAAACGAAAGGAGTACGTGTTTTAACTTTTAACATTTACGGTTGCGCAATTCAACATTTCTTTCGCCGTCTTTCTACACAGCTCAACGAGTTTATTTGTTTAACAGCTCGTTTATATTAGATGGAAACAAATTTTTTCATACTCAATATAAAATTTTAATTTAATTCAACGGTGATTTTACGATCGATGAGCTGCAAAGTTTTAATTTATAAAGAATTTAAACACATGAAACGGGGGGACGTACATAACATATGAAAATGTACAAAATATCCAAAGTGCAATGTTTGTTAGAATATATAATAGATAGAAACACGTGTCTAAGTTGTTGGTGATTATTTCGCAAAAATATGAATTTGCATAAAATTCTGCAGTCCAGTAATCAAATATGTCGGTCAAATTTTCTTCACATTGTTTACATCAAAGTAATTATAGTGAATTTATTGCACGAATGGATTTATAGATCGCGAATGTCGGCAAGACAGTGTTTGGAGCATCCTTGGATGGCACAGCACGCAGAAGCGATGAGTAGGATAGCTTTGCCGACAGAAAAATTGAAGAAATTCATCGTACGAAGAAAGTGGCAGGTAAGAATTAATTTGGTACTCGTTGTTTTGCAAATATTTTGCATCGTTTGTTGTTGCAATGTTTTGCAATTTCTGCAACTGTTTGAGCTTGTTTAAAAACGTCTCGACTTAAGGCATGCAATTTGATATCGAAGCCTGAAACATCTGTAAATTATATCTTGTGAAATAGTCTACATTTAGTACGTGAAAGATCTTTTTGTTTTCTTTTTTTTTCAAAAATTAATATAATCTCGTATTAAATTTTCGTCAGTCAGGTTCTTAACAGATTCTTATCGAATACTTCTAAATTTAAAAATATTAATGAATATTTTGACTTATTGTAGAATGAAAATGGACTCCATAGACTTTGTAAGATTTACAATTTTGTAACTTTATGATTTAATTTGATCCATAACATGTTCACAGACACGCTTACAGCAGTTGCGTAACATGATGAATACTCTGCTAAAGAAAAAAATTAGGATATATCGTATTCCTATAAAAAAAAAGAAAAAAAAAGACAAATACGATCAAGTTGTAAAGCCATACAAATTCGTCCGCTCTGGTTACACAAATCTCTATTTCATTGTAAATCAGTTTGCTCCTCTCAGGGCCGGGTAAAAATTTTGGTACCATAGTTGCGCTATTAATCTAAGCATGTGAATTTCATTGTGCTGCGTGTGCGTGCGCTTTCGTTTGTTGCGATAGAAAACGGGAAATGCCATTCGTGCACTGGGAAGAATGGCGATCCTTTCAGCGAACAGCCGACGAAGTCCAACAACCACCGCGGAATCATCGCCAACCTCGGATCCCTCGAGTTCCATTGAATCCCCGCGAACGATCAATTTCGACGTTTCAACGGACGAACGGAATCGTGAGAAATCGTGTGACGTTGAAAGTGCAATTGAGAGCCCGAACGAGCCGGATACTCGAGATAGGAACTTGTACTCGTTCTGTTACAAGTCAGAGGTGAACCTCGTGCCAGAGGAAACGTTAGACCTGACTCGAGAGGAGGAGACGCGCATATCGTCGGACCTTGACGAGTCGTCATTGAAAAATGAACGGACGGTGGATCACGCGGGATCGTGTTCTCAGGGAACTGAATCCGGAGGGATTCAAGAAACTGATACCTCGGAGAATACTCAGGTCCAGAGTGAAGTTCAGTCGGAGCGATTGCTTCCGATGGAGAGGATCGAGGAGGAAGAGACGGAGATCGTGACGCGATGTCAGTTCGAAGAGAGCATCTCGATAACCGAAGAGACTACGATTTTGACGAGCGTCGAGGAGAAAAGTTCGATCGATTTCGACGAGGTCGTGACGAAAACGACGACTAGCGATGAGATGAATTCCGAGGTGTTAATAACTACGGAATGCAAAGACTCGACGTGGAACGTCGAAGAGAAAACAGTCAGCGATGATTTGGTGATAGAGATGGAAAGGGAATTGAAAGAGAAGACGGACCAAAAGTCCGGTGTCAACTCGCAGAAGTCGCGTCGTGTTTTCAGAGGCGATTCGCGAGATTCTGGGATCGGAGACTGCATCTCGAATTTGTCCGCGTCCTCGCAGCAAGTGAACGAACTGGGTATTTCGTCGATCAAAGAAGAAGAAGCGGACAATGAGAATAACAATGATGATAGAAACGTGTTGCAAACGGTGGAGCAATTTGAAAATCGGACATCGCTCGATGAAATTAGCGAAATGTCGAACGCAGAGGTTTCGGACCCAAAGAAACATACCAAAGGAAGTATCGAGGTAGCTACGCTGAGTGGTGTGACTAAAGCTTCGCGTGAAATTAATCGACAGCACGAAGGTGTGTTCAATATGCAATTTCTTTATTTTTTTTTTTTTTTTCTTCTTCTTTAACTAACTGAATTCAATCTAATAGGTACCTACTTTTGAAACGAATTGCAAGTGACAAGCACATACATGAATTTGTATGTTTTTTTTTTTTTAGTGTCTAGCGAAATTGAGGACCCAAGGTTACTAATCGGAAGAATTCGTAGCAAGTTCGTTCCGACCGGAAACGTGAGTCGTACGGCTAAATTATTCGAGAAAGAGGCAGCAACGTCGAAATCACCGACGAACGTTCCGCAAATATCACAACGCACGTATCCTGCGGTTACTACGGCGGCGGGGAAACCTCACAATGAAAGGATACAAAAGGCTTTCGCCTTTTGGAACAAATAGAGACCGTGCATATGAGACATCAACGATGACACTTGAAAATAAATCGCGTGAAACGATACGTTTAAAATCGTCTGACGACTGAAACTCTATGCACCTGAAAGTCTTATTTTCATGTTCTCAAGTCACGAATAGAATTTGTAGTAATAGGTAAGTTCTTTTTTTTTTTTTTAACGTACGTGTTATTAAGTAACATTTATCTAATGATATTAATTATCTGATTCGTGAAAATGAAATAAAAAGCAGAAAATTTATGTATATAAAATTCCCTTATACGATGAGGGAATTTCATCGAGGAAAAAGATATTTATTTAATAACACGTATTTTATTTCAGTCCCATGTAGTCTTGAGACAATTGAGCCGATAACCATTATCTCATTGTCATTATTTATTTTTCCTTTTCAACCGAAATTGTATCGAAATATTCTTCAATCTCGGGACCTAATTGAGATTTGGTTTTAACATTAACATTTACACATGTAGATACCTTCGATGATTTCGATGAACTCTGATTATGTTATTGCAAGCGAAAGGAAAATTTACTATGCGTGTAAATAGCTATTAGTAATATTTTGCAAGCGTAGATTATACAATGTGTAATGTATTTATTATTTCCTTTACACCTTTCGTCTTTCTTTTAAACGTAAGAAAACGATTACATGTATTACTATAAGTTATGTGATTAAAAAAAAAATAAAAATTCTTCAAAAAATAATTGAAATAATAAGAGAATCGATTGAAATCTATTTATGGAAATAAAATATCTTGCGGAAGAGGCAGTAACTGTAATTCGTCGCCAATTTTCAACTGACAGAGCTCTTTCGACGTTGCAGGTTTCCAAGTGACATTGACATACTCGTCTTTAACTGAAGTAGGATCCCTATATTAAACATAATTAATATATTAAACCTGAAGCTCAGTTCAAACTTTTTTAGAAATCACGTTTAAAAAATGTGATACCCTGTTTTAGCAAAATTGGTCCACATTCTAGTTATTCGTTCTAACGTAATCCTGTCTTTCGTACCAATCGCTGGTGGATCAGGATTTTCAATTTTACATTTCGGTAAATACAATAAGTACGCGATCTCATCTACATGGGAAGCTCCTGCAATATAAGAGTTAACATTGTATTTGATAGTCTCGCATACAATCTATTATTATAACCACGCAATCTAATACTGCTAACAAACTTCAAAGATACAATTACCAGAAATCTGTCGTTTCACTAAGCGATCCGTTGAGGTTTTCTCATTGCCAACGTACGAAAATACACAAATATAATTAGGCGCAGTCGTTCTTTTCACTCGATCCTTTAGCAACGTCAGCGCGGGAATGCCGAAATAAATAAGAGAAAACAATTTTGAGAAGTTGAGCAATGTTTCCTCGGTGACTGGTTTTCCATCGAAATACTGATCTTTTATCATCTCGAATAATTTTTCAACTTCTGCATCCTCTAATTTCATCGATGATCTCAAGTTGTTCACATGCGTATACAGATACCGATTGATCTCCGCCATCGTTTTTTCGCTTTTATCTGTAAAAGTATAAAAGTTGTATAACATCGATGTTCCTACACTGAATTTTTCTTTCCTTTCCTTTCTAACTGAACCCACCTTTCAGGAACATGATATATTCATGTTCCGAGTAACTAATAATTACAGGCACGTTTGCATCATTTGCAAGTAATTGTTCGATCGGTTGTGATAAAACAGGATTTTCCGCAACTTCGTCGTGATCAACTCCGTAAACAAGGGTAAAAGCTTTCATTTCCTATAAGAATACGTGGAATTCTGTTTGTTTCAATCTCCAGTAATTTATTATAATTATGAAATATATGTGAAAGGAAAATTTGTTGCCTCTGAAGATAAAATGGATGCTTGAGCTTTCACGATGTTCTCAGCGGGGACCGTTCGTAAAAATTCGACAGCTTCGACAGGATCAGTGGTATCTTTTCCAAGGATTGAAGCAAGCTTAAAACCGTATGCAGTACGAGTTTTCGTGCTTTCAGTTGTCCAAGGGCAATACAGTGTTCCACTGTGCAAAATCGCCTTGTGAAACAATCCTACGTTGGATTAAAAGAGATTGATTGGAAATTTATTCCAATATAAAAATATAAAAGAATATAAAAGAAGACTAGAAGAATATAAAAATAAATTAATCGACTAAAAAATTAACGATTAAAGAATTTCACGTTTCATCATGATTGTGATCAAAATCATGTTTTACCTCTCGCGCGAGGTGATATGAGTAAGGAATGAACTAAGGCTCCTCCAGCGCTGGCTCCAAAAATCGTAACATTATCGGGATCTCCACCAAAGTTGGCAATATTTTCCTTGACCCACTCCAAAGCCGCGATTATATCTTTCACGGCGAAATTTCCTGGAGCGACTCGGTGACCCAAATTTAAAAATCCTTGAAATTAAAAACGATTAATCAGTTTTGAGTTTTTTTCTCCTTACCAGAGGAACTAAAAGTTTTCTTCCTGATTTTTATTTCTTTCTTTCTTTTTTTTTTTTTTTTTGTATGAACAAGTCCTATCCTAGCTGGCGAAGATTAGTTAAGAGAAAGATTAGAAAAGTTAATCAAAACTAACCGAATGCGCCAAGTCTGTGATTAGCTGAAACAACTACAACGTCCTTCGCGAGTAGATAATCAGGTCTTGACTCGCAGAAACTCGAATTGCCGACTAGAAATGCACCTCCGTGAATCCAGAACATAACAGGTTTTGATTGATTGAGGGAATTCGTGTACACGTTCAAATAAAGGCAATCCTCATCGCCTATAATATTGAAAGGAGCAAGTTCTTCCTTCTGTGGGGCGATGTATTTTTGTTCTTTGGAAATATCCTTGATACCAGTCCATGGCAAAGGTGGTTGAGGATCCTTTTTTTTTTTTTTTTGCAGAAAAAAAAGAAAAAGTTAATTAAGTATAACTTATCACTATTGTTTAACCAACTAAGCTATTACCAGCCAATTTATACAAATTTGAGTTACGATAAATTTCAAATTATTTCAATTGTATCGATTGGAATTATATATTAAAATTATTCGAAATTTCATTTGATAAATAATACGATATTTACTTGATTGATTAATACGTGATTGATAAAACGACGATTAATGGCCTGATGTGATAAAATAAGATATGAATGTCTCATATCTCAAGAAAAAATATTTGAATGTCGAAAACATACCTTAAATCTGAGGTCTCCGACAGGAGGAGCAGCGAAAGGTATCCCTCTGAAAGCTAAATATGATAATCCTAGGGCACTTTTCAGCTCTGCACCTTCTAATTTCCCTTGCTGCACAGTCACGACCGGTTTTCTCATTGTTAACCAAGTTCTCACTAACTTCATACTGTGACGCTTATCTCCTTTATAAAGAAGTCGTGCGTGACTTATATTTGCTTTTTTTATCATATTTACTATCATATACCCGTTTGTTAAACGCTTATGTATGTATTCATAGGTTACGTTGCGATTATATTTCTGACCGATTATCTTTTTTGATACATTTGCAAATACGAAATATTCTCTCATATTAGTGACAATTCAAAAAAGAAAGGAATTTTGCCAATGGCCATAAAATATTCATTATACAAACAAATCATTACTAATTTTTTCTCTCAATTGCAAATTTATAATTCAAAGAGGAAAATAAATTTTAAATATTTTCAATCATTATTTACATATAATATAGTTTAGTTTTATTTATCTTGATTTTAAAATACAAATATGTCGAAGATTATAAGATCTAATGTGTGATATTAATACAACATATGCTAGTCATATTCAAAGTGAGGTAACAGAAAAAAAAGCAACTGTTACATCAAATATTAATTATAATTTGATAATTGAGAATATTATAAACAGAATCAACAACTATATAAAATCAATTATAACATATATAATAAAAGAAATGAGTTAATATTCATTTAAAAAATATGAATATATAATATATATGATGACAATGTAAATATGGATGCATGAAAATTGTATAACAAATGTTACATAACAGAGAAACATGTTGAACAGAGAAAAGAGAACAATATATACTAACAATATATTTGCTACTGTATATGAATACAATATTGTGGAAGAAATTTTCAGAGGCACATTATTCCTTTCAACATGATTATATAAAAAATATAATTCAGTCATTTCAATAAAGGCATCCAGATAGATTAATTGACACTGTATTCATAATGTTTTAGTAATTGCAATTTACAGTAAGTTCAATTACTTTTTCTTCGGAATGAAAATTGTATCGAAAATTAGCGTTTCATTTTATCGAGTATAGGAACGACCATGTCAAAAGACGGACGTTTTCCCGGATCTTCATTCATGCAAATTCTAATAAGCTTAGCCAGATGCGGTGAGATTCCTGGAGGTATACTAACGCGTAAATCTTCTAGTGCGATCTATAACAAGCAAAAAAAAAAAAAAAAGATACACTGAATGAGTGATATATATTAAATGAATAATATGTATATAAATCTTAACAAACTTTCATGCCACATTCCATTGGAGAAAGATCAGCAAATGGAACTTCTCTAGTCGCAAGTTCCCATAGCAAAACGGCAAAACTCCACATATCACTGGCTTCGAGATTTATATCTGCTGGACGTTTACTTAAAGCTTCCGGAGACATCCACGCGGGCTCATAGATTCGACCCACCTCTTGAAATGAAAATTTGGAATCTGCCATATTGACGCGAGCAGTTAAATCTTCGTCAATCTATAAACATCAAATTTATTCGTTATCAAAATTCTTATATTAATAATATTGTATCATCTTAAAAAGAACAAGAACATACCATGATGTGCTTACTGTTAAGATGAAATCTGCATCTATTTTGTCTTTCAAGCCCATGAAGAAATGCCATGGCTCTTGCAACATCGAGAGCAAGTCTAAGTGCACGAGCGGTGTCAACCACAACGCCTGTACCTCCATGTAAAAGTCTATGTAAACTTCCACGCGCCATATATTGCGAGACTGTTGCTAATTGTGGTGGTTGATTGACACAACCAAGCACAGGCAGTACATTCGGATGTGAGAAAATTCTTAATTTCGGGAATTCTTCGTTAAAATCTCTTGAAATTCGAGCTGTACATTCACGAATATTCAAAATTTTTGCTACAATGTCGTTATTTTGCCAACGTCCTCGCCATGTTTCACCACTTGGTGTACTAGCCAAATGAGTATGCAAAGAAAGATCTGCCATGTTTATTCCTTTATGCCTTGACAGTGTAGCATCACCTAAACAGTATAACTAAATGTCAATAATTATCAGTATTATTTAGTATTCTCAGATACATACAACATTATATTACTCACGACTTCTAGTTTTTAAACCCAGCCAACTCTGATCTTTAAACTGAATCTTTTTTAAGTCTTGTCCATATTCTACAGCTAGATCTGAAAAATTAATTTGATGATACAGAATGATATATATTGATATATATTTAGTGATTTTAGTGTTAATTATTAAATACCATGTAATCTTTTAGCTAAATGGCCTCTTGCTTTATCCAATGGAGTGTCACCATCTTTATTTGCAATAGATACCAAAGCACCAGCAGCCACTAATTCCTCAGAAACTACTTGATCACCCCAAAAGCATGCATAATGGAGGGCAGTGTTACCATGCTCATTTGTGACATTGACATCAGCTCGATTTCTAAGTAACTGTAAAAATAAATTTCATTAAATTTTTAAAAGCAATATAATAATTGTTTTCATTACTTTTATAATATTACTGTTCAATAGTTAATTATATCTGGTTACCAATTGAACTATTTCCTTGTGTCCATGGGCAGAAGCAAGGTGAAGGGGGGTGTCATCTCCTCTGTTAGTTGCATTAATACGTGCTCCTCTGCTAACTAACAACTCGGCCAATTTTAAATGTCCCTCTTTACAACACCAGTGGAGTGGACTGAACCCATGATCATCACTATACATAGAATATGAAATCATAAATGAAATCAAACTTGTATTAAAGTTTATAATTTAATACAATATAATTTAATATAATACATTATGAAAGGGTAATAACAAGAATTAGCAAAAGCGAAATACACTTTTGAAATTACTATTATAACATTATTATTATATTATTATATCAAAAACATTTGTTCAAATAAAAAATTTTAAGCAGTACAAAAAGAGCATTCAAAAGGTATTAAGAAAGATGCAGATATACCATAACGGTTTTAAAACGGGAATAACAAAAAAATGGAAAAGAGAGACAGCGGGAAAGAGGAATTTTTCTGCCTTTACCCTTGATTCATGTCATGTTCGGTGTCATCTAGCCAAACGCGTACTTGCATAGCATTCCCTTCACGACACCACTGAAATATATCTTCCATTCTTTTTCACTTAGAAATATGCAATCAAAAAACCGTATATAAATACTATAATGGGGGAGTGGCAGTGCTTCGGTGCTTCAAAACACTGTAGTCGTCATATACTAAATATAACCATAATTCCACACACAAGCAATTCTGACACAAAAACTGTACATTACTTCGTTGTATTTAGGCCGACTGGTAACAAGATGTGAAACTTATAAGATAACATCGAGGCGTACATCAATTGTGTAAATTATTATAAATTGTTATGATACATAATGTTTAATGTGATATCGTAACAAGTGTAATTGTACGTCTGACCATATATGACGCGTGGAATTGTGTATTGCCACAACCAGTAGGTAGTTACTTCATACTATGACTGACTGTAGTCAATGATACTACCCACACACTTTCACACAATCTGTGAAGAACTCTTGTGCTACCATCTGCTGTTATATTATAGACATACATGATCACAAACAAGGTCACAGACGAGATATATGAATAGACAACGCACCTTACGAACTTTCGTGGCCCATGATCTGGAATACCGACATACTAAAACATCACTGGTTTTTTAGCGCACTCTAGCGTTCGAACAATAGTGACACAGACGATGTATATGAATATATCTTGTTTGTATCCGTGTCACATACTTCGTGTGTCTATGGCAATACCGTACCTACAGTTGATACGTGCGGCTGAAATGATTGCGAAATACTGCAGCAGATGGCGTACTGGAGTTATATAAATACTTAATTACGATGAATTATTAAGGTAAATTATAATTTTATATATCTCTCGTGTTTTACGTATTCAAATATTCAAATATAAGCCTAAGATATTAAAAATAAATGATAAAGTAAATAAATTTGGATTATATATCACATATTAAATGCTTAATTTAAAATATTAGTTTTATCTAAATTTATACACTTGCAAGTTATTTTACGTGCATTGCGCATTACAAATTATCATGTACATTTATCAATGGAAATTACAAGTCACGTAATTTTATAACATTTTAACGTGTCAACTGTACGATATTATTATAATATTGTTCTTTCAAGGTTTGTACATATTTCAGTGTAATGAGCTGTTTTGCACGTTTTCATTTTTATTTCTCTATTTTTGTTTTGCACGCCATTTATAATTAAATTAATATTTCTTTTAGTTTATCACAGAAAATGTTCAGAGATAACGGAAACGCAGAAATAACAGAAAAATATAAAATTCCTACATAATATTCTACAGAAAATACAATATTTCTGTTGAATATTCTACAGAATTTTACAAATTAAATCGACATATTTTTTCCTTATGTCTTTATCATCAGGAATTCTAGCGATGTTTATTATATTTTCCAAATAAAATATATTACAATACATATAGTCAAATATCAATAAAACTCAATTCCATTTTCCTTCATTCTCGATATAAAACAATAAACCTCAACCCCGTTGGAAGAACTTAATTACACCAGAATCAGAAATAAAAGAAATCCATGAAGAAATCCTCTTACCTTTCTTTCATTCCGCTTCTGCTTCGATATTATCCCCAAGACATTTTCCGAGGGTGGTTCTTATACTTATCATTGGACTACCTTTCCCTTCGTGTATAACGATAATTACTATGATCTGTCATGAATCGATTTTCCGCTGTGCAAGCAGCACTTAATCCTGCATACGCGTGCATTTCTTGCAGATTGGTCGATCGACAGACATGTATTTCTTAACAAACGTCATCCCAAGCTATAATTCCTCCAAGGTGGACAGTTAAAACGCATTCAGCCGGTGATTTTTCTCTTTAACAGTCGATGATCTTATTGGTCACCAGCCAGGCAGGCCTCCGGTACGTGATATTGTGGCAATCCTATTTGAATTGTTAATATACGGAGAAAAAATCGCGACATGCCAATGGGTGTGCGCGATTCACGTAATCACCGAAGCCGGTAATTGCCGAAGGTGTGATCTCCACCGGTTTCCTTGCATCAAATCGTTCTTTTCTTTTCTCTTTGATTATTGTTACAACAATTTAATGCTAACTAATTTAAGAATTAACAAATTGAAATTCTATGTCAATAATCGAATTCCAGAATTTATCAGCGAGTCTCTTAATTACGAATAAACTCGTGGAAAATAATTTTTCTACCACAATATTATAAATATGTATATATTTCGTAATATTTTATCACGTATGTCAGCACGCTACAACGACGTTGTAAATACGCATAACGACTTTGTTCGCCCTTGATATATATGTATGTACATAGATACATAGCTAAACTACTTATTTTTTCATAAGAATGCGAAAAAAGAGTGGGATAAATTGCCAATCGTAATTACACCCTGTTTTTGATCTTACACAGATATTTGGAAAATTCACGTATATCGAATATGCAAAGCTCGATTAATTTTCATTTATCAGGAGGCGAGCGATTTTTATAAATGCATCGTATACTTTAACGATCGACTCACGTAGCGCATGAGATCTTGGAAAGTAGGTTGGCCGCAGAAAGTGATTCAAGATCTTTACAATTTAGAAAAAGGGCGAAGAAGTGTTGGCCGGGAAGAATTGCTCCCCGCGAAAAATTCCGGCAGCGTTATAATATCCTGTAATGTCCTATTTATCTAATAAACGGTTGCGTACCGATATATATATATATATATATATATATATATATATATATATATATATATATAATGAATCATTCGGAGAGTGATTTCTATTTTTCGATCTGTAGGTTTCCCTTTTATCATGCGATATTAATGGCACCTGTTGTCGATTCCGTTTTGACTGATCGAATCCAACCTTGCCTCTCTATTAAAGTGGCATTGTCATTGAAAGAACCACTTTCGTTGTTCTTTAGTGTACAGTCTTTCGTTGTTCTTCGTACGAATATATAATGCGGATGTGTTCGTTCGTCACGCCTCTAAACATAGGATGAAATCGGGAGGGTAATAAATTACCAGCACGTGAGAGAACTTCATTGGGAAGAACGACGGGGTTTATGATGGATATCGTTAAAACCATATCCTTGTTTTATGTGAGTGTACGCTGATTTAGGGGATGACGGCGAGAGAAACAGCGGCGACGTAAACGTGAAACTGCTTGATAATTAAAGATCGATAGAGCTCGTAACTTTTCGGTAAATTAACGTTTCGAATTATTGTCACGGAACAAGCGTTCACCCATCGGCGTGTGAAATATAACCAGCTGAATTATTCAGATCAGTGTTTCGATCTCTAGGAGCGATAATCGAAATGATAAAACAGTTTCGATCTAGCGAGCGGGTGAAGCAATTTTGGGGGAGGGGATTAACGAAATGACTGATAAGCGAAACGCATAAAAATTAGCGGAACGTGGCGAAATAAATCCTACGTACCGGCATACTGGCAAACCAGATAAAAATCTAGCCTTGCATCGCAGGTGTGGTCTTGTGTACTATAATTTTTACACTGGTTTCACGTCGCTGCAATATGAGTAATGACGACTTTATCGGCTGGCTCTCGCGCTCGCGTTGCAGTAACAGTAATTTGAAAATTACGCGCGGTGCCGTTCAACTCGTGCGCATTATATGCAAAACCAATTCGTTGCCATTTCCTCTCATTTCAGGAGACCTTCTTTCTCATCCTCCCTGTGATACGACTTCACGAACAACGACCATGAAGATAAAACGATACGTAAGAAGAAATCTAATCCTCAGCTGAGCAGCTGTCGAACAATACCGTAAAGATTTGGTGAAAAGAAGGATACTTTGTGTGGCGCAATAATGCCTGCCCTTGTTCTAATTCGTTTCTTCGAACAGTCTGGACTCAGCCTCGGGCAAAAGCGGAGGCCAACACATTAATAAGAAGGGGGGAGGGGGGAGGAACTGTTGTCTACAGTGTTGAAACACTCGTGCAATTACTCGTATAATTGAAATGTGTAGATAGAACGTCGAAAAACTTCAACGTTAAGCGAGAATGTTACACGGATTCCTTAAACGCTATTCGAATGCGAAGGACGTTGGTTACGGTTGTCTGCGAGTTAGTTAATTCGAACATGAGGACTATCCGTGCATGGCGATTCTCGATGTAATAATTAATAATTAATTAAGCTGTCTTATTTACCATAGGAATTTAGGTGTACGGATCCTCCCACGGGGGAGCGTGCAGGGATAGTTCCAATATACGTTGAAAACATCGAGGTCGATAATTATGCAAAGCAGAAACGGCCATTCAGCGTGAAGAAACGTGTACTTTGATGTGGATTAATCATCGAGACGTATGGTGGTAAAATATTAAAAAAAAAGAAAAAAAAAAAGAAAAAGAAATGTGTAATTTATTATTTAACGTGATCTACCTACTGGTTCAGATCACAAATATCACTTATGAAATCTGGAACGCCATTTGATTTCTCTTCTTACGAAAGTTACTCAGCGATCTATTCTTATTAACAATTGTACTATATACGAGCGTACTGGAACTGTCTCGTTTATCCATCGTGTAGAGACATTTATAATAATATCTTGCATACAGAGGTGCAGTTTACGCTCGCGTACAGATAATTATGCTATCGCTCGCGTACAGATAATTAACTGGAAGATGTAGTGTTTCAGCTCGTGTGTGACGGAACGTGCTCCTGTACTTTGAAACGTGTGACGGAAGGCACGCAAATTAACTCGCGAGATACGATCTTAATCCTCTCGCCTATACACCTCTGTACTACGTGGATAAATAATTAAATAATTATTCAAAGTATTCGAACATTTGGCGTAATTGACCGTTTCGTTTCCACATTTCGTACTTATCTCCTTTTCCTCTTTCTTCAAAACAATTTTTATATATAATTTTTCTAATTTCATTTCTAATGTCATCTCGTTCCATTGATAAATATATAAATTACAACTATAATAAAATTAATAACGAATTGTCTATCGACGATGAGTTGAGCGATTATGCAAGGATTCGAGCAATCGCGCCTGGCTTTGTTCCGTATAACTCGAAAGCCCGAGGAATAATTAAGACGTCCAATGATTCATCGATGTTGATAGATCGTGTCGGATATTCTGCTTTCTCTTCGTAGCGAACGTAACGTATTCTCGTTGGCGAATAATCGCGCGTTTCACAGAGAAAACGACCGATCGTCGCGATAATTAGAGGAAGGAAGCGAATTTGCCCTTAACGAAATCGGAAACAATACGCAACGATGCGGTGCTCGTGGAAAATTTAAAAGTAAATCGAAATCCTATACAATGTAAAATTAGAAAAAATTTGCAAAAATTCAAAAATTTAGAAGTTAAGAGGTTTGAAAATTTACATGCATAAAATTTAAAAAATTAAAAGATTCGAGCATTTATACATACACAGTTTAGGAGTTTGAAGACTCGAATGTTGAAAAATTTAGAAATTTTATATATAATAATATATTAAAAATATATTGAAAATACCTTTACGTTATTGAGAGATTATCCAAATATATGGAGCACAAGTCAAGGTTTCTTTGCTCTTAAAAAGCCTGCAATAATGGTCTCATTAACGTTATTTATCATGTATATTTTTTTAATCAATCTTATGAAGACACGGTCGGATTATTCATTATTACGCTATGATTATTCATTATGTTTCCTATATTCGCATCCTTATAATTGTTAGTAATTTGCACACTAATTTTTATTTTAACAACCTCGTGAAAGACAAAAAATTGATAATATCCTTGTCACATATTTATCAGTCGAAATTGAAATATATGTGACAGTTGCACGTATAAATTAAGCGTAGCCTTATAAGATCCGTCTGTTCAGATTGCAGCAATTAAACCGAGTTAATTAAATAAAACGAGGTTTCATGGCTTACTTAATATATAAATCTCGATTCTTTTTAAAATACTGCACAGTTCTAGAAAAAAAAATAAGTTTTTGGTAATCTTGCATTCTGTCGTACTTTTTTTGTTAGAAAAATCATAGCGATCATAAATTAATATGCGGGACGAACTGGGAAGATTTAAATATACAGAAAATTTCCGACATTAATGAAACATTATAAACCTGAGTAAAAGTTAAAAACGGAAGACAAAGTCGATCGATTGTGAAATCGTTTCACAAAATTCACTCGTTTATGAATTGATATATGCAATTGTTACAATTCATGCATTTTCTTCTCGATATTTCATATTTTCATTTTCTTACCATATACCATAGTATAAATTCTGTTCTGATAAAACATTTGTTCGTTTCTCAATCTATAAAACAGAATTCGCCGCACCATGATAAAAGTTTACGATGCAGTGATTATCAAGACACGCGTTAATTTCGTGTCTGTGCGTTAATGACGCATTGTTCGATACTGAATCATAAAAACGGCCGAAGTGAAATTGGCCAACAACAATAATATTTAGATGGAGAAACTCGTTGGTCGGTTTCAACCTCGACCTCAAGTTCAATTAGAGGAACAATGTGTATGTTCACGTACTATAATTTGCCAAGGCAAAAGCGGATTTCCTTTATTGTTTCACTTCTATTAAAAAAGAAAAATCAAATGTTGTTATCTCGTAAAATAATCTAGTTTTGTTATTAATACCTCAGCACCTTGCATTAATACAAGCAACTGCATGTTAATTTGTTTGGAAGCGTTAACTATTTAGAAATATAATTTAATTAAAATTAAATAATATTATTATTTCGTCATTATAACGATTATAACGAATTCGTTATTTCAGGTGGTAAATTTTTATATCTCTAATGTTCCTCTTTTTCTTAGTATCCTCTTTCTTTAATCCTATCTTTTCTCTTAACTTTTTTATCAGGGCTTATTTTAATGAAGCTTCTACTTTCACAATACTTACAATTAGCTTTATTTCCTTCAAAAATACTTTTACATTTTGAAAGTAAAGCTATATTTTTTCCCTCGAAAATCTTGCAAATTCGCTGAAAAAAAAAAGAATACTTCAGAACTAAATTCGCCACGATCTTGAAGATTGAAATTCCCTCACTTCAACTGGATGCCTTAAAAATTTGTTACACGATTCATTTTCCACGAAATTACGAGAATTTTTCATCATGTGTACGAATGCTTTCTATCGACGTTGTTAAATAAACGTAAGACAAACAAGTCATTTATCATTCTTATCATTTCGGTTATACAAAACTTCAACGATCACGTGTAATTTTGTGTTAGCAAAGATCACGCATCAAATACCGTATCTAAGCAATATTGCGCAACATTGAACATCAGGACGAAGTTCCGACTAGAAAAAAATCGCGTGACTTTTTTGCACCCTAAATTCCAGAAATTCTTCCCAGTTGAAGTATCATCGATTGCCGATTTCGTAATCGCGTCGATTATCGTAATTAGTAACCGATTTCTTCTAGCTATTCTACATTTATAACGACTCGTCGAGTGTTTTTTTTTTTTTTTTTTTTTTTTTACTATTACATTGCATTACACGAGATTACGAATGGCACTTGCTAATTATTATGTAATCAGAATTCTAGTATTTCGCTGAATTATATGCTAACTTGTCTATCTCTTCTTTCTATAGTTAATGAATCTTCACTGCAGATTCATGCTTGATAACATATGTTGCATATTGATGTAACAACGTGCAATCAGTCCATACTTAGTTCGACGTTCGTTGATTAATTATTAAGAATTGCGATTAACTTGATCGATCGATCAATTTTCAATTGCATATATATATATGGTGAAGGGAAATCGAGGAATGGTTCGATAAAAATATTTTATCACATTAAAACATTGAAAACACAATAGCTTATGTTGATCTTCGTCAGTTTTTAATTAAAATTGTTGATCGCTAATCGTCAGTTCTTTCGATTGAAGTTGCATTAATTTCAATTTGATATATCGATTCAAGAGTGGACAGAGAAACAATGAAAATTATTATACATGAACCGGTTCTATTTAATTCTGTTTCAAAGTTGCAGTTATTTCTGTGTTGTATTTTGCTTGAAAAAAAACTGCGTACTCGGTATTTACTATTGATGTTGAAGATATTTACTCGTCCATTCTTAAAATCAACGAGACAAAAACGATATAGACAAATATCTATTATAAGATACAGCATAGACAAATGTCTATTGTGAAAACGTTAGTCATTGATGACTGACAATGTAAAAGAAAAAAAAGAAAAACGATGTTAGAAATTAAAACTTTAAAATTGCTAAAAAAAAAAAAGTAAAACTACGTATAAACGTCAGTCACTGATGACTGACGATGTAAAATAAAAAAACGAAAAACGATGTTAGAAATTAAAACTTTAAAATTGCTAAAAGAAAAAAAAAATAATACTACGTATAGAGCTGGGCGTTTACGGTGTTAAGTGAATTCTATTGACAATAAACTATACGATCGAAGGCAAGCATATTCCTAATATTTATCGACCCGACATTGACTTTTCTTGTTTCTCCATTGTACCGTTACTTGTTGGACAGTATTGAAGAATCGTTCATTACGTTTGCGACTGATATAGACATTAAGCCAATAAAATGATCGAGTGCTTGATTGCGTTATTGTTAACTATGAGTATAATCGCGAACTGTTATATTGGGTCGGTTTGCTGCCATAAAATATTGGAAGGTGAGTGTGTTACCAACTTGTTTAACATTCGTTATCGATGATTGACACCACTATTAAATTAATCGTAAACTTTAACTGTTACGTGAATATTATGAGAGCGTGTCACGGCGATGCTACAACGAGAAAAAGATAAGCAAATCAAATAGAACGTAATGTCATGCTTCGTTAAAATTATCATTATAATTTGTCGTTATAACTTATTGATTGACAACCGAGCAAACTATCCTTGACAAGAAGAACTTAATCGTGACACGATCTGATTACTTTTGACACCTGTTACGTTAAGAAAAAATGCAATCATTGTAAGAATCTTTCTGAATATAAATAATGGAATGAAATTTATTCAAACGTTTGTTGAATGTTTTCACACTTGTTTGCATATTGTGTGTATTCTATTTTTGCAACTGAAACTAAATAAAATCAGAAGCATATGGTTAATTAATTCAATAAAAAAATTGTTACAAAATTTTTATAGATAGAAGCAAGTTTATAGATAACGAGTCAACTTTAATTCAGGAGCAAATATCTCTGTCTCCGTTACGAAACGTCGTCTCCAATGTGTCAGATAGAAAAAATAGTTCTCTAAATTCGGGCGAAACTAAGAGAACGAAACAGGTTGTGCAACAATCCCTTGATCAATGCAGGTAATATCACGTAGATATATTTATTAACGTATTTACATTTTGATAATGGTAGAATTGGCGATCTTCGATCTTCGTAATCGAGAAAAACGAGCTTAAACTCGCAAAGAGTCTCTAAACAAATAATTATTATACTCTAAACAAATAATTATTGCACTTGTCAGTTAGACTAATAATTTCTTGGACATAGAGATCTTTTATCTTTTTCTCTATCATTCTATTTCTATCAAAACTAGATTATTTATACTAGTATATATATTTGATAGGATTGGTTGAAATCGATTTTTATTATTTCCAAATTTTTTGTGACCTAATTGAATTGCCAACTATAAATACACTAAAATTGCTATGAATTAAAATGATATATACAACACTTGTATACAGATAATTATATTTCTATCTGACTAAAATTAGTTAGTTCTATTACAATAAAAGCACTTACTTTTTTCCTGTAGTTGTAGATAAAAATATTAATAAAAATATTTCTTCTTTTGCAGAAACAGTCAATTAGACAGTATCACAAATGCTACATCGGAGGTTTGTAAAAATGTAAGAATAGAAACTCAAGCCGACGTGCATGCTACGAAATGCACATCGACGAATGATTTTACTGAGTCCCGCCATGACAACGATAATTCTTCCAGAAGGAATTACTTAATCTATGAAAAAACGAAGAACTTTAAGCTGAAGAATTTTATGATTGGCAGAATATATCAGTAATTATCATAATCCCGACGTTATCAGATACTTTATTTATAAAGATTGCATTAGATTGTTTGGGAAATTTGTACCGATTTATTCTTTTCTTTTTTTTTTTTTTTTTTGTTATATATTTGACGAGATGTAAAGAAAAAGATTTATTATATGATTTCGTAAAATATTATTAAAGAGAAAATCTAAGAACGTTTACAACGTCTCATGTTTTCACGAGAAACAGGTATTTTAATTTTTATGACGTATTTTTTTCGCGACAAGAAACTGAATGCTTCAGAAGTTTGCATAACTACAAGGAATCTATTGCTGAGAGTTTTTTTTTTTTTTTTTTTTTTGGGCTTTAGGAACTATAAT